AAATTAGTAGAAAATAGGACATAACAAGTTGATTTTCAAATCAAGCATAACACAGTTTTGAATAGTTAGTAAATTTACTCACCAAAGGAAAACAATCTCGTTTGTTTGAAACCTGGGTTTAAAATGTTTGACTCTAAAATTAATTTGCAACCAGCTGGTTTACCTGTACTTAAGGTAAGCTGCTACTGCTAAACCGTTATCAATAATTATAGTTCTTGGTCTAGAGCCTTTACTTGAAAAAGAAATTACAATGAAAATTGCTAAGACTATTTTATACACATTAAATACAGGGTGTGTAATTTGAAAGTACGCATAACAAAAGATTTAAGCGAAAAGATAATATCTTTGTACCCGGCAAGTGTGCTCGAACGATAAAATCAAATTTCCTCGTCGATCGTTTAAGTCTAGTGGTCGGGAAATATTCCTCAAACAATGTCCTTCATCTAATCCCAATGTATTCAACAACTGTATGCTGAATTGTGTGAATGTTTAGGATAATGTGTCTCTTTGAGAAGAAAATTCTTTAGAAGTAATATCACATGATAAAAAGTAGCCACTGCTTTTATGGCTTCTCTTTAATCTGTGGAAATACTGAGGAGAAGTAACTTCAAACAGCTGCAATTACTGTATAATTTTAATTATTCGTTAGGTAGTAGGACGGGTGCTTTGAAAGGACCTAAACTCATTACACACATTATTAAATCGACGAAATATTAATTTTTATTCAACGATATTCAGGAACTGTAGGCCTACCGTTGATCATCTGTTTTTACAGATCCTTTGATTGACTTAGGCCACAGTCGGGACGTCTGTGATTAGGTAAATGGTTAACTTTATTTCAAAAGTGAAATCCGAACATTATCTTTCAATTTGTCAATGTTTTGTTATTTAACATAAGTAAGGAATTAGAGAAATATATTATTCAGAACTAGTGATTCAGTGTTATTAGTGGAGTGATAGTGAACTAGTGACTATTCCTTTTTATTTTATATATCTAAGGAGTTTACTGATCCTCGTTCTTCACAAGTGAATAAAATAGCGAATATTACAACATTAGTTTAGAATGTTAGTTAATATCGTTCAAACCACTTATAAATTATGGCAAAAATGTCAAAATTTAAGTTTAAATAATTAACTGGACGGCTATACAAATATATTATAAATTAACAAATATTCAGTAGTTATTGGTCTAACTGTTAATGTCTACACAAAACTGCTACTGTATAAATAAGTGTTGGAATTATTGACATAAAAGACAGGAAATGAGAGGTTGGGCGTCAGGAAATTGAGGTGTAGATCATAGCGATATTGATCTTGATATCGTCCACGATATCAAATTTTATGCGAAATTGAGTTATTCACGGTGATATTGATATCGTCTGCAATCATGACCAGGCAAAAATACCTTAATTTATTCGTTGTGATAATATAAAGTTTTGGAAAAAATACATTATTAAATAAATGTAAACTATGAATTGTACAGTTTTGCAATATGTATCTCAAATCATACAGCAATCAATATAAATAAAAAACGAATTAATTCCTTCATCATCAAAACCATTGAAAATGAAGTAGTGCTTAATCAAGAGTATGAAATATTTTAATTTGGTTTTATTAGGTAGTGTGCTAAATTTAATTAACTATATCAGTTCAAGTTCTTAATTTTTGTAAACATAGAATATTATACTCCCCAAATAGTTTAGTAAAATTTGTGTATAAAGTTATGAACGTGGGTTGGTATTCTGTGTATTCACTTAGTCTTGAGTCTGGAAATACCAAAGACAATAGTTTCTGTTGTATTATTATAATTTTAGAAAAACTGGCGAGCAATTTTATTCATATCTAACAATAATTCTACTTTTTCAGAATTGTTTTGACTAAAGACCTTTAGACTTGTCTCTTAAAAAAACCACTGTGTTTAGAGATGTGTTTCAAAGTATATTGGAACTTTGAAAAGATATTGAATTTTGGTATTTGATTGGTAACTAGTTTTTAAACAATATAATTATTTATAATTTATGCTATTGATTGCACACAATTTGTGAAAGTACATTTTTTTAATAATTAGCATGTGTAAAGAGAAATAACAATAAAGTTATTTTAGGAATTGTAGTAATGAATTATCCTTTCATATAATCTCTCAATTAATTGTCATATTTTTATACGTCGAGACAGATTTAACTTCAAGGCAAAACAGCTTACAACGGAAAAACTATCAATTCTAGTTTAAAAAGGCGAAACTCAGAAACTTATAAATAACTAGGCTGGTTTGAAAGATAAATTTACAAAACGTAAAAAAAACTTATCCTCAAATTGTATCACGTTTCCATTGTTTTTAGGTTCAAGTAGCTCATATTTTTAATATAAGCAAAATAAATATTTACTCTTTCAAAATAATTTTAAAGATTTAAAGAAACTATCACTTTCCTCATTCTCAATCTAATACGTCAAATGCCATAACACGTACAGACAAATTATTGAAAGAATCTGAACACACTTTTAAAAATCCACTTTAACGAGTACAGGATAATCGGATAGAACATGACTTTGGAAGTGCAATTTTAAAAGCGATCATCCAGAAATAGATATTTCGTGTGCCGTTGTTTCACATGCGGGGGCGTTGTTCAACATTCAACTGTGTAGGGGTGGTAGGGGGAGGGGTGCAGTGACGTCAGAATCATCGACATTTCATTCATACCTCCCCCCACCCCCGCGATACCGGCGTCGTTGCTATGACAGTGCTTACCTGACCAGATATTCACTATATCTTATGTATTTCTGCTTATTGATCGGATAAATTCATCCGTCTGATGCAGTGGACTGGATTATCAAGGATTTGATGAATAAAACTGTTCTGGACAAAAAATTGGACATTGGATGAGTTTAGTTAGAAATAATCTGACATGGTCGATGTTGAAATGTCACTGGAACGGATAAAGATTATGTTTGTTCAGTCAAACAACTAAAAAATAATCCAAATAAATTGAAAATTAATGAATTAATTTAGGATATTTGTTGTGTGTAGGAGTGTATTAGCGCCATTGACATTTTTTTTATTAATTTTAAGGAGACCATTTTTATCTTGTTACTATCTAGTTTGACCCTTTGTTAGTTAGCATCAGCCCAATGACAACAATGAATCTAGTAACGAACTGGGGCTTGGAATCGAATTACCGACCTCCAGCTTTGAAGGCCAGCACTAAAACCCTCGGATACCTAGACATTACTTTGTAAACCTTTCTAGACGTTACCTTGGGACAACCCTTGTATGTGGTGATACTTAATTTACTCAATATATATTTTCAATTTTCAAATTTTTATGGGACTTATGTTAGCCAAAAATATTCTACACTTTTGTGTTAATCCTATATATTTGAAAAATGTTTTAAAGCATAAAAAGTTAAAGAGATGTGACTCTTAATGGCTTAAAAATTGATGACATTTATGAAATTAGGTTCAATTGATAAACTTTTACACATTCCTCACACTTGTTCATAAAATTGATACTGTATATCAAACCAAAAACAAAATATCCAAAGAGAGTTAGCATTAGAAAATGCATCTCCTGTATAGTGAGGTTATTTTTTGGGACAAATTATACATTTTGGTAACCAAAACCTTTATTTGCATAACATTTGAGTTATATATTGTTTACCTAAGGCCATCTTTAATACCCTCCTCCAAAACACCTACAGTATTCAAGCAAATGTTTTAAAAATTTTTCTTGAGTGTCAGCTTTGTATTGGAATTTGGTACTTTTTTCCTGGAGGGTTCGGGCTCAAATCCTTCCAATTACCAGTCGCTTTCAGCAGTGTGGTAATGTCGTAAAGTAATAAAATTGTTTGGGGTCCATATCAAGGCATAGGCTGCACCAGACAAGTATAAAACAAATCCACCTCTTAGGAAAGAAGAACCGTCCTTACAAAAACGTACATTCAATAATTTAATTACACTTGATTTATGTCAGATCAAAATATCAAATTTAATATGTCAAAACCATGTTTTGTGAGTTGAGTAAATGTAAATTTCACAATTCCATTGCAAGTAGCATGATCAATCAAATACGACTGAAATGATTCTCTCGTTGACTAATTAACTAGGAAATAATAACATGATAAACCTGCAATAGTGAGAGCTATTCAATAGCAAATGCATGTTTCTACTTGATTGCAATTTACACAGGATGCTTTGAAAGTTCAATGTTCAATAGGAATAACGAGATCCCTATTTACTAATCTATTGATGCTCCTTTTGTTTAACTACTGCATATTTTTCATGTTTTTATTGTTTCTTTTTCACCTTTTTTACTGTTTATATTTATACTAGAGCTCGTCCTTTGGTCCAAAACTCAACAAATATATGTTACAGACTTCTTTATTCTCACCCCACGCTGTAAATAAAACATGTAATTGGAATTTCTTCCGTTTGTTTTGATTTTCTGTTTATATTTCGTTGTTATTTTGTCACCAGCATGGCAACTCATGAGGCCCATGTTAATAAAAAATAATTAATCAATTTTTTGTGCTATTTTATTTTATAAATGGATTCTGCACATCTACATGAAAATACCTTTCTAACAGTATGCGTAGATTTTCCCTGTGATGTACAGGAGCTGAGAAAAAAGGTTTTCAAGAAACATGCTTGCCTATTAATAGATTAAATGTCACCCAGGTGTTGAAAATTCAACCAAAAATATATAATGTACATGTTTCTTCAATTTGTTTTTATTTTCTGTTTATATTTCATTGTTATTCCGTCACCAGCATGGCAACATTGACAACCCATAAGGCCCATGTTACTTTTTTAAATTTTAAATTAATTTTTTGTTTTTATTTTTTAGCCAATTTTAATGTAAAGGGATTCTGCACACCTACAGGAAAATATCTTCCTAACAGTAAGGATAGATTTTCCCTGCCATGCACAGTAATTAAGGAAATAGATTTTCAAGAAACATGCTTGCCTATAAATATATAGTTTCTAATTTTGTTTTATGTTTTCAGGATGTCTCTTTAGTCCATCATTATGTACACCTGAAGTGGAATGGTGTTACAATGGTAAGTCAACATTAACTTTTCACAAATCCATTGCATATACATAAAATCGTATCCTAAAATAGTAAAATGTATGGTTTCGTGGTGTGCAATTTGACAAATATAGTTAAACAGTAGGCTAATGTTCCATTTCAGTTAGTAGTTTACTAGTATTAGTAGACCTCAATTTATTTTCAACACTAGTTTTATAATGATCTATTATGTTCTCATAATACATTCCAAGGCTTGTTTCCAAATAGCTAAACTTTCAAAATAGTGAAAGATTCCCACCTTCTACATGGATAAAACACTTTGCCTCCTGCTATTTTGTATATAATAAAAAAATTTGACATTTTCTTGGAAAAATTCTACATACAAATATTTTAAAGAACTTATTAAACTGAAATGTAGCAAAATGAACAAATGAATGAAAACCTAAATGAATGAAAACTGTTTCCAAAAGGAGTTGGTTTAAACGAGGATAAAAATACTTTATAACTGTTTCTAGGAGGATATTTGCTTTATATATTGTACTCTTAAAATATTTAGTACTGGAACCCTTAGTCTCCTACCAGCCAAACTAAGTTCATTGAAGTACTGGTACTTCTCTGTGCTTGTTAAGGAAGTTTGTGAACAGTTGTTGGGTTTGTTGAAGGAATTACATGGTTATTGTTATAGTTTCATACTTGCTACAATTTTGTGGAATAATAATGTCACCTTGACCTTATTACTTTAGTTATATTCAAGTAACCACTGCACTGAATAGTTTATGCTCAACTAATCATGAAAGGATTATTATTGTCTGTAAACTTTCCTCAAATAAATCTTGAAATATAATTGTTTCTAAAAACTAATTTGAAACTACTGTACATTCTAGTGTTTTCGAGACTATTTAATGGTTTTTACAATAAATTATATTACTGTACCCTAAACAGTGATTTAAAGTAATATCTTCCTTAAGTAGCTAAGTAAAACAAAACCGCGATAAGAACTTTAATCTTAAGCCTCCAACACCATGTCATCTTTCATGTAGAAAAGCTACAAATTACTACTTTTCTAAAACCTACTATATATTTTTTCAACTTTCCAGATGATGCATTCGGGAGATGTCTCCAACAAAACGTAGACGAAGAAGACCTTTACAGGTAATTTAATTACCGTCCTTAAATATTTTAACTTTGGCGTGAGCAGTTTTAACATTTCCATGATGACGAGCTAGAATGGTAGAGACTAAAATTGAATTTGTTCATTTATAAATAATGTGGAATTGCATTACAAACTCAAATGCAATTATAGAGCTCTATTTAATTTCATTTCTAGAAAGGTCAGAGTTATTAAATTAGGGATATTGGAGAGAAAGGCTGGGAAATAAGGACACTCTTGTATATTGGTTTGGAATTCCATGATGTTTGAATAAATGATTGTCAACTTTATAGAAAAACAACTAAGCCAAAGATTTTTTTTATCTTTAACAAGTATTACGCTATTTATTACAATGAGATCCCTAGATTAGGGAATAACTATACTGCTCTTTGATCTTTAATTTAAAAAGAGGACTTGAGTTTTATAGTCAAACCCTCCCATAAAAGTTTGTAACTTTACCATACAAAACGCTTACTCCTAAATATAACCATAGCTTAAGAAAACTTCCATTCAAATAACTTATTTCTGGGCCCTGGCAGGGTAAAATATAGCTCCACCGGAGACAAGATGCAAAAAGACTCTTTCTTTTTCGGAAGGGAGTTGTTTAAAGTACCAAAATTCATATACTACTATCATAACTATGAACAGTTCCCCACGGAGACTTTTTACAAAAAGATTTTACAGTGGCCAGAACAGATTCCTAAACCCTTTATTTGACCAGAAAGAGTTGGTGGCATGACCCTTTCATATAAGAGCAGAAATTAGTAATTTTTGTTCTGAGGTAAATATAGAGTCAGTTGATCAAAATAGAAAATAACTGCTATGAGTTCTGAAGATACAGTGTGATGTTTCAAACTGAATCTGGTAGTTTTCGATCCTGATGTGGCTCTTTCTAAAAGATTAGTAGATTTGCACAGGTTGACCAACTTAAGTACAGAAACAGCACCTATGTTAGGAATTTGAAGTAATCAGACCTGCGGTTCACAAGTGACAGGCTATGGGTCCAAGAGGTATAATTGCGCCCCCCCCCCCCTCCACCTTCCTTGTGCACCCAACAAACCTGAAGCCTCTTGCGCTCCTGGGCCCTGTCCAGCAGGTCCATTTACCAAAGGGTCCGTGAAGGTAATAAGAGCTGTGTTGATTTTAGACATGAGTTGAGCCCCGATGAACTGCAGGAGTTGGAGAGAGAAATGGAAAGACTGCTAAACACCGGCTACAGATGGAGTCACAGTTACACACAATGTCTACTGCAGGCAATGTTGTATGCTTACAAGATCCGGTTAGTAGTTTAAAGTTATCATCTTACGTAATAGACAAGCATGATCTTATTCAAACCTTTACTGGGAATGTTTCTATCGGGAATTAGGGAAGAAAATAATTAAAAATTTGCACCCGTCTACAAATCTTTTTCAAATGGCTCAGGAGGTTCAGTGTTAACCTCATAAGCTCATAAATTGCTCTTTTACAGTTGTTTTAATTGTTTGATAGTGTGACGTTATATTACAATTAAACTCTTTTTTCCCAAGACAGAGTTTAGAATACTACGTACTGTAATAGTGTAATTTGTTAAATCACAATTAAACTCTTTTTTCCAAGACAGATCTTAGAATACTACGTAATAGTGTAATTCTATCTGTTTATTCATATTATGTTAAAAAGATGTAATAGGGAACAATTTCACAGTTTTATAAAACGACATTCTTGGTATCACAATCTGCATGATCTCAATCTGGCTATATTCTTTATGTAAGCACAATAACCTTGCCAAGTTTTCTAATGAGCACTAACAGCGGGGAGTGAGCTGGTCTAGTGGTATAGTAGCTCAGGACTTCGGAGACCGAGGTCCAAGGTTCAAATCCTTCAAATCACCAATGGATTTGATCCATGTGATAATGCCACAACACTCTAGGACTATCCTGAAATAAAAAAGTTCTGAGCTAGAACCTAGCGTCTTAGGATGCGTGAAGGTGGGACATTAAAAAATATATAAAAATAAGCACTAAAAGCAAAAATAAACAATATGCAATACATAAATGGTTTTTGGACACTCTTGAAATTTAGGTGCTAGCTGCAATGGCCAGTTTGTCAAAACCATATTTGAGGAAAAATATTTTGATACAAACTCTCATCATCACATCATGAGATAACAATTCTTTTAATTCCCTAAGATTTCAACTTGGAATTAGTGTAAAAATATATTCCTCTATTTTATGAACAAATTTTTTTTCAATTCTACAGGCCCAAACTGCAGCGATTCTGGTGATGTAAGGAAACTATTATGTCCTCAAAAAATAAAACAACTTTTTGTTAGAGAACAAAAAGTGTAATTTGTTTTTGCTTTCACAGGACAGTCTATGAGTCTGATGTGTGCGAGCATCTGAAAGATCAAGATCTGTCAGCTGCTTTAAAGGCTTTTGAGAGTGAAAAGGTCAGATTTATTTTCATGCTGTTGCCTGTATGTTTTGTTATATTATATGTGTATTTTTAGTAAAAATAATCAGTTAGCTTACAGACTTTTAAAGCACCTAAAAAATGTAAAATGGTACCTCAGCCTGGAACCATCAGGAAAGGGTCGAATAAATGTTCCATGCAAGCAGCACCATTTTTGCACTCTCATTTACCCACCTATGGAAGTGTAGCTGCAACTGTCATGTAGCTGTGATTTGTAGAATCAGACTATGAAACTATGGGTCTAGATTTAATTATTGATATTTGATTGCTTTTCTGGTAGATTTCCCTGTCAAAGTTTAACATTAATGGACTTCTGTGTATGGGCTTTAATTTTACTTAGTAAAGGGGAGAACTTAGGTTTAATTTTAAATTTTACTATAAAAATTACTTCCTATTTAAAAATTTTTCATAATTTTAATGATTATAATGGCAGGGGTAGGTGGTACAGCCACACATTTACCATTGAAACACAATTTAGTCATACTTTGAAGAGTTAATGAGTTTTATGTAAATACATACCTTACATAAAAAACATATTTTAATGAGTTACACAACAATTATTATCTGGATTTTTAAGTGGATATTATTAAAGTGTGGTCAAAGAGTAAAGTTCATGTGATGAGTAGGGTTTAAACAGATTGTTTGATGTTGGGCGCAATAACAACGTAAACGCTCATTATCTCACCCACTACATGCTACAAGCAAACTCAAGGGTTATACGCCCTCAGTATACACACCCCATCATCCACAACCTACAGCAATGCCAATACGTTTGTTGTATATGCTGTTACTAAAACAAATATTTGCTAAGCTAATTTAAAAGTTAATCTGCTGTTTCATATTATTTTTCTCCTGGAATGAAAATCGATAGTAAGATTGATGTAATTATAATTTAAAATAATCAATATTTAAGTATAAATATTTCAATCAATTATATTTGACTGCACAGAAAAGTCAAGAACATTGTGTAAGTACTTTTAAACCACTAAATATTCTTGAATCAACTGTTCTACTTTAAAGTTCCTGTAAATTAAGATTTCAAATAAAGAAGAAATTATATAACAGCTTTTGGTGTTTGTTAAAATTATGTTACCTTCAAGGGTTTATTTAACAAGAATAAAAGTAATTTAGAATAATTAAAGAGAAAACACAGATTAAGATTAGGTGAATCACTTTTTCACCCTGAACTTAAGAGAATATTTGTCCCCGGTGAACAGTTAACTCTGGAAAGGAATGTTAAAAGTTTCAACAATCGTCATTATTTGTATGCAAAACTCAGAGTTGTTTTAGAATTTGTAAATTTTACTGTGATAAGACTCAAAAATGCAATGTAGAATAAGGAGGAATGTTAATTAGTTAATTTACAATAGTTTTGTTCATTTTATGTGGTGTAAGGTTGAAATATATTTTTCAATCTATTTTTTGATAATATTTGAAATATATTTTTCCAGGAGCTAGATCCAGACAATATAGCTTATGTCCGGTTCACTCCAAGTATAAACAATCCTCACGCAGATTTTGCCGATGAAATTTATTTCCCTCCAACACTGTTGGATTCGGACATAATCCCTCTTTCTGCGCAGCTTGGTGGTAAGATATATTTTACTTGTAGATTAAACAGGCTATAAAGTTAAAGGTGAAAAAGGAAATGTGAAGATAAATTTGGTTATTTTCTACTTCATTGTCCAATAGATATTTCAAATTAGAAGCAATATACATCAATGTTTGAATCAGATAAATTTAAATTCTGCTTTTGAAGTATTGGAGTCAAAGTCTTGTCAGAAACTCTTTGACATAAAATTGTTCATTAAAAATAGTTATCTCACAGCAAAAGTTTTAAAAACAGTTTAACCCTTTTTTTATTTGGAAAACAACAAAATTATGTTTGGTTTCTAGTTTACTGATTACAATTATCTAACAATTTCAAAGTGGTTTGTAATAATTATGATGTTTAAATGTGTAAGTGTAGAGTCGATTAAAATTTTGTGGATTCATGAACTGAATGCAATGGGGGTGGGTGTAATATACCAAGGGTTAAATAGCTGGTTACAAATATAATCTTTGGTTGTCTGAATGGCGATTGGTTTTAATACACTGAAAGTGTAACTGTCAAGCCCTGAGATATGAAATTGTTTCTCCTAGAAGTGTCTTCAAAACACAAACAAAAAATATCAGAGACAAACATTTTTACAAACTGCGTGCGACAACTTCACGTAACACGTATGGTATCAAGCCTAATTTGTCTTAGGGATTAATAATGACAAATTAAGTGTGTCAAAACCGGTCAGAATTCTGATGACTGAGAATAACTATTAGTAACCAGGTATTTAACCTCTTTATTAGTTGTATTGTATATTGTTAAGTAATCTCGAAGACAACACCTACAAAATGGAGGAGTGAAATGATTAAACGGACAAAGTTTAGAGCACCAAACCATGATTTTATTCATATTGCGATACATTTAACCATAAATGGTTACTCCTTACCTCATCTGCACATAAACGGTTCAAAAATATCAATCAAAAATTAATTAAATACATTAATTTAATTTCAGAACCAGAAGACTACAGCAGGATGGAACTTGAAGAGCGAGAGCCAGGACTAAATTCAGAGCCAATTTTGGAAGATGTTCCTGTGATTATGGACCCCGACGAGGACGATGAGTCAGAGGCTGACTATCCAAACGTTGGCTTTTCTCAGAAACAGTTTCCGTTCTCTCTTGTCCGCAAGAAGTCCCTCCCCCAGCGTAGATCTCCGACACATTTCTCTAGAACCTACAACACTCCAGATGACTTCCGAAGGGGCTTCGAATCCAGGGATATTGTTCCTGATTTTTCACCTGGTAAAGTATTTTAATTTTCAAAATGGTCAATTACTTCTTTATTTTGACCACTTTATTCTTAGGAAAAAGTGTACAGGATGGGACATCATTTTGGTTTGTTATTTTATAAGTAAATTTTTTTTTACAGTTGCATCGATACAAATATGAGTATAGAAAACTTTAATAAACTGCTGAAGTATTGCTATTACATGGAAAAAAGACCAAACGCTTGGACCAAACTCTCTGTGCTCTTTTGTTTTACTTAAGTATAAATTCTTTGACCTTATCATAAAGAATCAAAAAGGCAAAGTAGTAAGGAAGAATTTACAGCATTTGAAGAATAGACACAAACAGTCATGCCCTACGTAAAGATGTTATTTTACAGGGAACAGAGAATGAATAGTATGTTCTCTCTTCTACTGCTAGGGATTTTTAACATTGCCTCCTTGTCATTACAGACTTCATCCTTTAGTGGAGGAATAACCCAATTGTGAACTGGTATTACATGAGAATAAACATTCTCAGGCGATTAATTTCTGTGGTTTGCCTTGTTTTATGTCTTGTGGGACAGTTCCAGTTAATCTGCATTAATCATTAATGAGTGAAAATTTAAAAACGTACGTTTTCATTTCCCTGGCCTTTTACTTCGTAGATACTGGATTTGTAGTTTATTATTATGTGTTTTAATATTTTTTGGGACGGGGGCAACATGTTACACACATTTATTTGGTTTTAAATAGGTTCTAGGTATTTTTTTCGTATTTTTAAAGTCTCGAAATTCACGACCATGACGTGTCCCTAGGGTACATTTTCCAACTTTCACGCTGTTTTTAGACTAATTATTCATGCCGAAATATATAAAGCCATATTTTTATGTCATCAATGGTTATTAAACTTACAAAAAAGGAGCATATTATAATTTTATTGTCTTTGCAAACTGACTACCATGACAAAATAAGTCTGTCCCTCGATTTGGCGTCACAACCATTTGGGAAAAATTTTCAGCTTTGGAGCACGACAGTGGCAAGCCTGGCGTCGATGGAGTCAGTTGGTTTTAGAGACTAGTTCGGGGTGTACGTCAGGATTGTAGTGCCGGTCGTTTCGAGTTGAAAGGAGGAATTACAAGATTAATAAAGGAAAGATTGTGTTTTTTGTAATTTTGGTGTGTCCATGACCGTACTTAGTCATTCGATGAAGTAGACATGGTGTTAATTTTTGTTTATAAGATATTTCAATTGCTAGATTAACCTAGAAGTCCACTTTGTATCCTCGAACATGAGGTGCAGGGCTACCGCCAGAACAGAGCCAAATAACACGTAATTTCACGACCAAAGTTTCACGACCATTGCGGGTTTTTTCACGACCAATCCAGCCTTATGGATTATAGTGTGTTTGGTCGTGACAATAACTTTAATATAATTGTAAATTGAACAGTTTAGTTCAATTGAAACACATATTTTTATTATAACTAACAGTATAATTGAAGGATTGTTTAGAAAGATTTAGATTATTCCAGACAATTCACGACCCTACCGCTTGTCCCTGACCATCACGTTTATGATTTCTATCATAAATATTTCAAAAATTAAAATATCGTCATATTTCAATGTTTTATACACAAAAGAAGCACACCTCTATACAAACATAAAGATTTTTCGGGTCTCAGGTAAGTTTTTTCGGAGTTATACAAACTTAAAAAGATTTTATTGGCTTTTTTCAATTTTTTGAGTTTTTTTATTTTTTTCTAGAAAGACCAAATATACCAAAAGCTCAGTGACCTTTTTATTGTATAATGGTCATAAAAGTAAATTAGTTTATAGCTAAACATAGTTATAAAAATAATATTAACCATTTTTAATATTCATTTAAACGTCCGTTATGGTCGTGACAGGATTTTGTGTTTAAAAAAAAACTACCTAAGATATTGCGTTACCATGGACATTTTATGAAACTTCAAATGTTAATGAAATTAAAAAAATAATAAAAGTTTTGAAAAAAGGGGAAAAAAATTTGCAAAGTGCTTTTCCTGAAAACGTACGTTTTTAAATTTTCACTCTAATATGCCTTATTGTGTCATGTCATGTTCGATGTAGTACCGTGACAGTCATTACAAAGGAATATTTGTTTGACCTTTGTAATAGCCTTGTTCGAAAGCTGGAACTATACAGAACCATAACGAGCTGCTTAATTTTACACTATTCATGAGAACTAAAAGTAAATGAGTGGTTTATAACTCATATTTTGTTAGCCTTTTACACTGTTCAACTTCTAAAACAAATGTTAGGGTGAATTTTATCTCATAATTTTTTTTTCATATGCAAGTTCAATTACAACTTGCTAAACTTGTGCTTTTGGCCACAGAATAAAGATCTAACCCAGAACTCTTACTGAGCCAATAAAAACGTTGTGTTTAAATCTGATAGAGTCTACATCAGAATCTAGGAGCGCTGGTATTGCTGGCTGGCAGACTAGGTCAGACATTGGGGTGGTATGAGAGAGAGCCGACGTCACTACACTGTGCTACAGCTGATCGTATACCTATACAAAGCAAAATGTATCGGTACTGTACTTAAAAAAAAACATAGTGGCAGAAAAGCTTCTAGGTTCAGAACACTAGCAATCAAAATTTAAGCTACCCCACCATTCTATCAAATTTGTTGTAACAAGCAAAGTAAAAATACTCATAAGCTAATCGGGTCAGTTTCAGAAAAACAGTTTGGCGAGGAGGGTGAAGACAACGACTTGTTGTTGGTCAGGCTAAAACAGCTGTTCCAATCAGCCCAACCTGAAACTGAACAGCTGGACCCGTCCCAGTCTATCTTACTTCCAATGTTACAAGCTATCGGAGACAATTACCCGACAAGCAGAGACACGGAGGTGGGCGGAGGATATACAGAGGGTGGTCTAGTCTTGGTACCTGACAAACAAACAGGTATAAACATGTTGCAACCAGCTGATACATTCCCATTTGTTACAACAATAGTACATCAGAGGTAGAAAACATCTGATAAAAGGCATGCTTCTTTGCAACTTACTAAGAAAGGAGCATTGGTAATATAAGTAATATAATTATGGACAGTGCAAGCTGCCAAAAATTAACTGTGTACTTTCCACTGCAATGGCAAGTAGGTACTGGCAGTTAGAAATTTAATTACTGGACTGTGGTGAATCACATTTTTGGTCTGAGACCATTATCTGTCAAAACAGTGTTTTGTAGACTACCTATGTAGTTTAGGATTGATCCTAAAATATTTGTTTGCATTATAAATATTCAATTTCACCATAATATGTTGACCCTGTGATCTACTATTTACTATTAATTGCTATTGTTGAAAATATTATCATCTAAAAACAAAGACTTATTGTGTCAATTCATGAACTGCGGTTATAAGTGAAAATTAGTTACTTAAAGCCAGTATTTAACATATCGTCAATTTGAATGCAGACTCTTCTAAAGCGCATTAGCACTTGAGAGGTGACTACCCAGAGTTTTCCTCCAGGTGCAAGTATTTTATGAAAGAAATCCCGGTGTGTTTTCCCATGTCAGCACAGAAGTATAGAAACTCATGCTTGTCTTTCTTGGAAATATCTTAATCTTATTTCACTCTCCAAAATCCTTCCCCACTAACCCTTATTCAGTTTGAATGAAATATTCGAGTAGCGACACCACCATTGTGTTTCACTTCTCCTCACTTAAGTTCCAAGGGCTCAGTTATGGTTTCTGTTATTATTTGCGTACTTCTTATAGACTAATAAGTCTATAAGATAAGCTCATACTTATCTCAATACTTTAACTGGACAAATGTATAATGTTTATGCTAAACTATATTTTTATATGATCTTTTTATGATTTCATAATTCAGATAAATGCGATTCATCTGCCGTGTTTACAAATCATTTATGGAAGGTTAATCCTAAATATCAGTAAAGAATGAATATGGGAAGAGAGAGATAATTTGTTTAGCTATGTTACGAGAGCTCGCCCGGTCGTCGAAGACTCGACCAAAAGTATGGATTGTGCAAACTTCTCTAAACTATTTTCAACCCACGCAGTAAATAAAACATGTAATTGGAATTGTATACCACCTGTTTGTATGCTAACTTACAGAATGTGAGCAAGAGGATAAGAGGACTACTTACTACCATCAGTTCTAGGCAACACTAATTAATTGTGCTATGATATTTTTAGCTTCATCGGATGTTTGATTTTTAATAACTCATTACAGATACAGATCACAGTCTAAGTGAGTTCTTGGTTGGACTGAACTCCGACCTCAACTGGGGCTTCAAACGACCTGAGCGTCTTGATGTTAAAAAACCTGGCCCGCCTTTCAAAACCAACAACTACGCATTTAAGGTATAAAAATTCCCTAGTGTTCATTTTTTTGTGATAGCTCGGTACAGTTTATTTCGATTGTAAAATTTTGCTTGATAGACAACTCCTCCAAGTTAAAATAAATATCTCGTTTTTATGTAAGTAGTTATTTAAATTTTAGATGTATTGTACTATGTTTTTATAAAGATCAATGTAAATAAATATTTCTTATTATTATTCTTATTCTTCCTAATAGCTGTTACTGCCAGCTATCTTGTGAACATAACGTTTGTAAAATGTGGTAAAAGTGCCTTTCAATTTATATTAAAAAAGGTACTTTTTACTTTTTAACAAACAAAACAAGATTAAGTTACCAACTTAAATAAAAAAATCTCAAAACTTAGTACAGTAACATTCTTAGTTTCAAAACAGTCCTATATGCTACTTTATTAAAAGTTTAGATTACTACTAGTAAACCTATGGTGAATGTAGAATATGAAAATTCAACATTTTAAACAACATGTGTGAGCAGAACATGCAATGTCAAAAGAACTTTAAATAGAATTGAAAAAGACCATCCTTAACTTGTTAGCATAAATAAATTAACTTTTCCTACAGTCACCCGACAAAGTTGGCTTCCTTGTACTGTTTATAGTACAGAAAGCTGCTAATTGCTGCATATTTATACTTTGCCGTACGGTTTATACTTTGTCGTACGGTTTATACTTTGCCGCACATCAGGATTCTAACGAAACAACACAAAACAGCGTGGTTCTATTATGCACGTAATCCGTGTACACTTGGAAATAGGTTGGCAACACTTAAAAATAATAACACTATGAGCAGCTAATTGACTATTATAACTACGATTTAACCTGTCATTTCGTGTTTATAGTTTCGGTATTTCTGAACTTTCTGGACTTTTCTTTTAAACGTTTTAAAAATATTCCTACGATCTTAATAAACAAGAAAATACCTTTAAAGCATTTTTGTTAGGCACGGAATCCACTTCAAATTACAAAAACATACGGTACTATATTCTCAAAACGCGGAGCATATTTCTTGCCGAGGAAAAATAGTGGAGTGATACGGACCGCGGGTACTACTTTCTCTAGGGCACCATTTGTGTTGCCAGCTGAACCTAAAAACGTGTTGTATAGTGTTTGAAAGACTAATTATTTATATGCTTTATAGTGACTGTAGGAAAAATATAATGTGTAACACGAGTGAAAAAGGCCTTTGCTGCACTCGAGATTGCTCTCGTGTGCAGCAAAGTGCCACTTTCACCACTAGTTACACAAATAACTATATTCGTACTTTTTCAATTGAATTTAGTTCAAAACCGTGCATCTATATAATATGCTTATTATTTACAGAATGATGAAGATAAGGTGGATGACAATTCAAAAAATAAATCACCTGCTGGTAAGGGTAAGTTATCCTGCTCGTAATCATTATCAGGTCTTACCGCAAAGCTCATGGGTTTGATTCTCTGCCTCCTTTTATCTACAGACCAAGATTACTTGCAAGAGTAGATTTTAAAAAATATTGATATTAAAAATTCTTACATATTTATACATTGCGATCAGGGACGATCAAAGTTTTGGTTAGCTATAAAATCAACATGCAAAGAAAAAGTTAGTTTTCTGAGAGTAAGCATGTCAGATGGGGAAACTAGAGGCCTCAGAACATGCATACTGTGTTTATAACTAGATCAATAGGGAGGATAGGGTCACGAGGAAAGGAGAGATAGGATAAACCCTTGAAAAAAAACTGAAACCTTTCAACCCACACAGGTTTCCAATTCAACCTAGTTCCTTTTTCAATGTATTAATAACCAAATAAACTAAAAGTCTGAGTTCAAAGAGTTTCATAATCCAAAAAAACACATTCAAAGTCTATAAATAACTTCCCTCCGATCTTGTCGTGTTCTGACGATATCAGAATTTGTTGTCACTAAAATGTTCATGTTATTTTATTACTTTGTTCATTTGTTACTGTTACCTATTTATTATTAATGTTGACGACCTTCAAACTGCAATTTGAAACTAGTTGTCCTACTGCAATGCTCTATTTTAAGTCGCATGATTCACATTTACACAAATTTATAGCAAAAATACTAATTAATAAATAAATAGTAAAGTCTTACCTTAGCAATCCTTGTTATTCTATAACAAGGATTGCTAAGGTAAGACTTTACTATTTATTTATTTGATTATAAGCAATCCAGAGGCTGAAATGATAGACTAATTAATAAGCATGAAACACGTACTACACACACTCAACAACCAAAATGGTAACCAATACTGTGAAAGTTTCAAGATAACATTTTATACTGCTGTAAGAAATCAGAGAGCTTAACTCTGTTAAGTAGGTATTATCTTTGAATATCTTTGACTATTACTAATGGTTTTTTAATACTTTTTTTCTGATTGGTCTATGAACAGCTGACTGTGCTGATGCTAAAGACGCCCAAAGTAAGTCGGAAGAAACTGAAACTGAAGAAAAACAAGAGACAAAGGTGAACAGTCAGGACATTAGCAATAGCATTCCACAACTTATACAGGTCAGTCTTTGATACACCACTTGCTGGGTAGACAAGTGTTAGCAATAGCTTTCTTGAACGTTGCCATGATCGATTCTAATTTCTAAGGGAACAATTTGAAATCCCGTTTCTTATTTTTCAGTGGGTTAACTGATAATCAACTTTATTGATTAGATCTTACTTTATAGCTACAAATCAGAAAGAAATAAGAGCAGGGTTTCAGCTGTTCTTTTTTGGAACATAAAAAATCCTTTTAGAGTCAAAAGTTTTCCCAAAAGATTTAGTATAGGCAGAAACACTTTGTTTTGTTTCTCACAGAAAAATATCTACATAGAAATGATGTTTTTCAATTCCTATTGAAGAACCTGATTACTCGTATATGGTTGATGCAATTCTTTTGTACAAATTGCGAAGTAAACTATGTTAAAATTAATTAACGTTTAGTAACAATAATGTCAGCAGCAGTCTAGAGTTGATATCCTAAGAAATGTGAAGTAGAATCCTTTGTTTTGAATTCACTCTTTATACAGAAAGAAAAAATGGCTCTAGAATTATAACTATTAGTGCTGTCTAAAATTATTGAAAAACTACCCCTAAAATACCATGTTCTTACATATGTCAGAAATAAGTTTAAAGTCATGTTGTGAAAAAGTTAATTAAACTTACGTGACTATTATTGTAATTTACTCATTCCTATTAAAAAATATTAGATAATCAATCAGATTTATTAGGCTTTACAATAAGCCATACCAACATTACTAATGATATTTATAATTATTTTTAAAATACCCCCAAAATACCACATGTTAATAAATACCTCGGGACTACGTTTAACACTGGAGAATACTTGTTTTGTGACTATTCACACTCACTATTCATTTTGCAACAAAGTTTGAAAAAATCTAGTTTATTAAACTATTTATTTACATACCTCATAGATGTTTTGTTCAGGGATCATACAATATTTAAATCTACAACTCAATAGGTAATGATGAGGTCAACATTTCAAAATAAATTTGTTCACTTAACAATCATAAATAGTTTAAGCTGGCAACATTGTCGCAGAACTAATCAACATTGATGACTTTCCATTGTTTGTACAACTACTGTACAGTCGTACACATCTGTCTTACACCGGGTTCTTTCGTACACAACTGTCTATCGTTATAGAGCTGCGCCAGTCTCGTGGTTTTCGCCACAGGCCTTGTCAAGTCTTCAGTTCTAGTGTTGTATTAAGACATCTGTGCATACAAAGCCACATTGCCAAAGTTTTTTAAGTTACACTTTGAAATTTGTTAAGTAAAACAGGCTAATGCCGATAAATTTCATTAGTCTAATGCTTCTTTTGTTTGACCATAGGGTGAGTACTTTAATTTAATTTTTCAAGTTTAATATTGATAATACAGTATATGTGTTAAACTATTTTGTTTTATGTTAAGTGTGCACTAGAAATATTTCATTTAATACTGTAGATAAAATAATACAATGTAAATTTATATGAACTTAGTCATAGTTTATTAAATAGATTATTGAAACTTTTGAAAGACCATCTAAAATATTTTAATAACAACTAGAGCTCCCCCCTTGGTCGAAAACTCGACCAAAAGTATGTATTGTACAAAACTTCTCTATTTTCATCCCATGCTGTAAATAAAACATGTGATTGGAATTTTTTCCATTTGTTTTGATTTTCTGTTTATATTTTTATTTTATTTCGTCACCAACATAGCAACCCATAAGGCCCATGTTTTTAAAAATTTTAAATTAATTTTTCGTGCTTATTTTTTAGCCTGTTTTCATTTATGAAGGGATTCTGCCCATCTACAGGCAAATATCTTTCTAACAATATGTGTAGATTTTCCCTGCGATGCACAGGAGCTGAGAAAAAAGGTTTTCAATAAACATGCCTGTCTATTAATACATAGAATTAGCCCCATGTTAAATCTACATAAATGTTGAATTTCCATTTTTGACCTGATTAACATAAATATTTTCAAAATACAAATAAAACATCCAAATATAGGATCGATAACCTTTCTTTTGGTACAACCAGCGTATAATTCGGTCCAGTAGTATGGTCAGGCTAGCTGTCATAAGTTTTGCAAAATTTTTTTTCATATATACGATTTTGACTTGCTCTGTATGTTCAAAAATTGAAAACAAAAGTTTTACCCAGAGAAAAATTCTTCAATTAATTTAGTAAACTTTAGTATCATGTGAAGCCTACACTTTCTGGTTACAACTAAATTATTTCACTAATAGAAAATTCCTTTTGCTTCTTGAACTGGGGTACCAGTAATGCATTTTGAAGTAGACAGTATAATTATTTAGTTAGTAATTTTACTGATGGTTTTAAGATTAGTTCTCTGCTGTTTGCTTGCTGTTGGTTGTCTTTGATGCTACAATCCAATAATTAACAGTAATTCATAATTATGTTTTTGTGTGTTTGTAAAAGATCTACTACTTTATCATATCCATCTATTTTCAGGATGACACGATGGCTGAGCCCCCTCAGAAGAAGACTTTCCACCCAAAGAACTCAAACGAGATCAATATGTCTGGCACAGATAGATACAACATTGTCAACAACAACATTGCTTTCATAGAGTTCAAGGAAATGTAAGTATAACAGTTTGACAAAATTAGAATTGACAATGCTCATGTTTTAAAAGAGTTAGAGCAAAATAATCAAGATCAGAGAATAGCATTTTAAATATCTGACTATATAATTTTAAAATTTACATGGAAATGTTTGATTGTTTCATAGCTCTTTTATCTATAAATCTATATACCGGTATTATATAACCTACTATGTCTATAGATATATTATTTGGTCATATATATACTGGTATATATGCTGGTTGTTGGGTTGTTTGCCCAGTAAACAGATTACAGAAGGAGAACATTAAGAAAATGTCTGTTCTAACAGAATAAACACCTGGGAGCAAGGAAGGCGGATTATTGAAACAATCGCCAGATTAATGAGTGTACCAGAGAAAACTTTTGACGAGATGAGGTAAGTTGTCAAAACGTTACAAATGTAATATAATGTTCGACTCATTTTGTAATTGTAAATAAACATAACTGACTTTTAATGTACCACACAGCTCGAGGCTCAAAATCGATCTTGTAATGGGTGTGGAGTCAAATTACATTCAAAAAGCTGGCTTAACAGTGTATCTATTTGAAAATTTTCCTAGTTTTTAATTCAAAGGTATAACAGATTCTTATCGCATAGGATAAAGAAAAACAATACAAAACCTTCACTACCTTAAGTAAATAAAACATATCCGTAACAATAAACTAAAACACAAAATGCATCAAGGTCAATCAAACATTGAATTGGTTTTGATGAATTGAACTTTTGGTAGAATTTCGACCACTGGGATCTCTAGTAATATTTAAATTTCTTATAATTTTAGAGTGGACCGAAACGAAGTTACTTTTCGAGTTGTCGAGCCCAATGTAAAGAACCTGAATGCTTCTACTGTTGTACAAAACCTTGGTAAGTGTAAACTATTAAAATTGTAATAAATCTCATATTTGTTGTAAGGCTGTGCTGGTTTCTCAGCTCTGAGACATGAAGAGTTTTAACTCAAATTTATAGTCTAGCAAATAGCTGTGTATTTTATAATTTACGAACAGCAATGCTGATTATATTTATTGTATGTTTTGGATGGATAATTTAAAATACACATCATAATCATAAAGAGTAAATGGTCCTACATGCCATTATATGATGATCCTACTCTTTTGTTATTTATGTGAGACACTTATACTATAAATATCAAAATTCTAATCAGTTTAGTTATTTTGCAGGAGACATAAAGGATACTTTGAAGAAAGAAATAGGCGTAACAATCACTTGTGCTGGCATAGGAGACAAGGTATGTAGTTGGAGTAGATCTGTATATATCTAGAATGTGTGTGGTTTCTTGTTTCATTATGAATCTAAAACTAAAAGCAATAATAATTAAGAAGCTAACTCACAGGGCCGGTTCTAGGAATTTTTCAGAGTTAAGCGAACAATATAATAAATAGGTTACATACCTTATAAATCCGACAAACAGCTCATTTTAATTGAAGGTCGTTTACATGTTTCGGCTTGTATCGGCCATTGTCAAAACGTTGCAGTTGGATGGTGAAATCCTTGTCATTGTTTTCTACTAAAAGTACATACACAAACACATACACACGGACGGGACGAAAACATAACGAAAAACGAATAAAACTTTAAATAGGCCTATTATATACACGGGCAGGACGCACGCACACCGTTGTCAAGGTCAGGATGCAGACTGGACTAGTTGTGTCGGTGTTGTCTTATCAGCTGATGTGGACTGCTGACCAATGGGCGTCGAACTCTGCCTTTGTTTTAATATGCTATTGAAAATGTGATGGGATTTGAATTTAAGTTTTTCATTCAGAATTACGCTCTCAAAATTGTTGTTCTCATTAACCTGTGCCTTATAAATTTCGAATTCTTCGAGAGTGTTAAGTCTGCTTCCCTTTTGGCAAATATGTAGGATTTCAAGGCCTTTACTAATATCGTTCATATCATGGTTTTTATCGACCAAATGCTGAGCAAACGATGATTTTTGTTTTGTATTACGAGGATCTGGTCTATGCTCCTTGTATCTAGTATTGAAATCTCTACCTGTCTGCCCAGTATACGTGCTAGGACAACTGGCACAAGTTAATTTATATACACCACATTTGTCATATTTATCACCACATCTGGTTGAATTGTTTAAAATATTTACGGAACGATTAGTTGTTCTGAAGGATAGATTTATACCATGTTTTTTCAATTGTTTGGATAGGCCGTTATGCAGAATGTTACTGTATTCAACGCAAACATACTTCTCATTGTCCTTTCTTGTGAACTCAGATTTACTGGCTTTTGATTTATGTTTGTGAATGAGCTTATCAATTAAATTAATATGGTAACCATTGGCTATGGCAGTGTGTTTTATTATGCCTAGTTCTTTCTCATAATTCGCAATAGACATGGGTATGTTCAAGAGCCTATGTACCATACTGTTGTAAGCGGCATGTTTCTGAGATGGCGGGTGGTAAGATGAGGCGTGGATTGTCATATCTGTTGTGGTTGGTTTCCTATAAACACTGTAATCAAATTTGTTGTTGATTTTCTCAATAGTGAGGTCTAAAAAGTTGATTTTATTGGCGTTTTCAGTTTCCAGGGTGAATTTTAGCTTTGGATCAATGCTGTTTAAATATTTATGTAATATATCAAGTTGTCTAGCACTTCCATCAAACAACAGTATAGTGTCATCAACATAACGATGGTACATTAGTATTTTATTTTTGAGTTTATTTTTATCAGAAAATATATGTTCATTCTCAATGTGGTTAAGGTATATATCAGCCAAAATTCCAGATAATGGAGACCCCATGGCTAGTCCATCACATTGTTTGTAAAAGTTGTTGTTGAAAGTGAAATAGTTTTGATTAAGTATTTCCTTAAGTAGAACTATTATTTCATTTACTGCCTCTGGTAATAAATCGGAATCGGATAATAACTTGTTTTCAATGATGGTTAATGTTTTGTTGACAGGGACGTTGGTGTATAAATTTACAATGTCGAAAGATGCCAACGTTGAATGCATTTTTATGTTTGTATTTTTTGTCTTGTTGATAAAGTCGTAAGAATTAATTAAACTGTAGTTATTTAAAAACTTAAAGTACGTTTTCAAAATCTGTTCTAGCTTTTTAGCAACTTTGAAGGCTGGTGCTGTTGTGTAATTGACTAAAGGTCTGATTGGTACACCGTCCTTATGGACCTTAGGTAAGCCACGTAACGTAGGTGCAGAAGGGTTGATCATTCTCATGTTTTTTATTTCACCCTCAGTAAAAAGCAATTTACAACCATTTAGTATTTTCTTAATTTTCCTTTGAGAGGATTTAGTTGGATCATTATTCAATTTAACTATGCCGTTATCCCTAATAAAGTTGTTTACTTTTGTAATGTAATCAGTCCTTAGCAAGATAACAGTGGTGTTTCCTTTATCAGATTTACATAACACAGCATCGTTGTTTGAGAGCTTACGTTTGATGTTCTTCAATATAACCATTTCTTTCTTATGCATTGGAGAAACTTTACTTGTGTGAGACGGATTGTTGATCTTATTATTTAGACTCCTAGTTATGAGTACCCTAGCTGTGTTTTGGTCATCCTCATTAGGGATGGCTTTTATAGCACATTCGGCATTAATAAACTCGTCAAAAATGGCTTTGTTACCAAGTTTTGGGAGGTTATACTTTAGACCCTTTTCTAGTAATTTAGTTTCTTCGCAATCAAATACAATATTCGTGTTATTGATAACTCTAGGGTAAAAGTCAAAATCAGATAAAATTATTGTCTCTTTATCTTTTTGTTCATTTATAAGGCGTGTTAGTTTATTTTTAATGGTAAGTTTTTTCTTTCGGATGATTCTAGTCACACCTGATTCAAGGTTGTTTAGCAGACCTTCTAATTGAGCTGGATGAGTTTCATTTGAGAGCTCTAAATATTTGTTCAATAACAAAGAGTTTAGCATTGATTTCTTTTGGTATAAGGATTTAATTTCGTTACGAATCCAAATTTTTTCAGCAATTGATTTGGTTCTACGTGCTGCTTGTGACTGGTTGTTAATTCTTATTTGGACATAATTAGGCTTGATGTCATGTTTTAAACATGCTTTGTTAAAACGGATGTTGTGTACTGTGTTGAGCAGTTTAAGTTTAGTATTCTTGTACTGCAAAGCTAGGGATGCCTGTCTGGCTGAAGAATTAAAATTCATTTCCATTCTAGCTCCTGAGCTGTTGTATTCAATATAATAAATAGGTTACATACCTTATAAATCCGACAAACAGCTCATTTTAATTGAAGGTCGTTTACATGTTTCGGCTTGTATCGGCCATTGTCAAAACGTTGCAGTTGGATGGTGAAATCCTTGTCATTGTTTTCTACTAAAAGTACATACACAAACACATACACACGGACGGGACGAAAACATAACGAAAAACGAATAAAACTTTAAATAGGCCTATTATATACACGGGCAGGACGCACGCACACCGTTGTCAAGGTCAGGATGCAGACTGGACTAGTTGTGTCGGTGTTGTCTTATCAGCTGATGTGGACTGCTGACCAATGGGCGTCGAACTCTGCCTTTGTTTTAATATGCTATTGAAAATGTGATGGGATTTGAATTTAAGTTTTTCATTCAGAATTACGCTCTCAAAATTGTTGTTCTCATTAACCTGTGCCTTATAAATTTCGAATTCTTCGAGAGTGTTAAGTCTGCTTCCCTTTTGGCAAATATGTAGGATTTCAAGGCCTTTACTAATATCGTTCATATCATGGTTTTTATCGACCAAATGCTGAGCAAACGATGATTTTTGTTTTGTATTACGAGGATCTGGTCTATGCTCCTTGTATCTAGTATTGAAATCTCTACCTGTCTGCCCAGTATACGTGCTAGGACAACTGGCACAAGTTAATTTATATACACCACATTTGTCATATTTATCACCACATCTGGTTGAATTGTTTAAAATATTTACGGAACGATTAGTTGTTCTGAAGGATAGATTTATACCATGTTTTTTCAATTGTTTGGATAGGCCGTTATGCAGAATGTTACTGTATTCAACGCAAACATACTTCTCATTGTCCTTTCTTGTGAACTCAGATTTACTGGCTTTTGATTTATGTTTGTGAATGAGCTTATCAATTAAATTAATATGGTAACCATTGGCTATGGCAGTGTGTTTTATTATGCCTAGTTCTTTCTCATAATTCGCAATAGACATGGGTATGTTCAAGAGCCTATGTACCATACTGTTGTAAGCGGCATGTTTCTGAGATGGCGGGTGGTAAGATGAGGCGTGGATTGTCATATCTGTTGTGGTTGGTTTCCTATAAACACTGTAATCAAATTTGTTGTTGATTTTCTCAATAGTGAGGTCTAAAAAGTTGATTTTATTGGCGTTTTCAGTTTCCAGGGTGAATTTTAGCTTTGGATCAATGCTGTTTAAATATTTATGTAATATATCAAGTTGTCTAGCACTTCCATCAAACAACAGTATAGTGTCATCAACATAACGATGGTACATTAGTATTTTATTTTTGAGTTTATTTTTATCAGAAAATATATGTTCATTCTCAATGTGGTTAAGGTATATATCAGCCAAAATTCCAGATAATGGAGACCCCATGGCTAGTCCATCACATTGTTTGTAAAAGTTGTTGTTGAAAGTGAAATAGTTTTGATTAAGTATTTCCTTAAGTAGAACTATTATTTCATTTACTGCCTCTGGTAATAAATCGGAATCGGATAATAACTTGTTTTCAATGATGGTTAATGTTTTGTTGACAGGGACGTTGGTGTATAAATTTACAATGTCGAAAGATGCCAACGTTGAATGCATTTTTATGTTTGTATTTTTTGTCTTGTTGATAAAGTCGTAAGAATTAATTAAACTGTAGTTATTTAAAAACTTAAAGTACGTTTTCAAAATCTGTTCTAGCTTTTTAGCAACTTTGAAGGCTGGTGCTGTTGTGTAATTGACTAAAGGTCTGATTGGTACACCGTCCTTATGGACCTTAGGTAAGCCACGTAACGTAGGTGCAGAAGGGTTGATCATTCTCATGTTTTTTATTTCACCCTCAGTAAAAAGCAATTTACAACCATTTAGTATTTTCTTAATTTTCCTTTGAGAGGATTTAGTTGGATCATTATTCAATTTAACTATGCCGTTATCCCTAATAAAGTTGTTTACTTTTGTAATGTAATCAGTCCTTAGCAAGATAACAGTGGTGTTTCCTTTATCAGATTTACATAACACAGCATCGTTGTTTGAGAGCTTACGTTTGATGTTCTTCAATATAACCATTTCTTTCTTATGCATTGGAGAAACTTTACTTGTGTGAGACGGATTGTTGATCTTATTATTTAGACTCCTAGTTATGAGTACCCTAGCTGTGTTTTGGTCATCCTCATTAGGGATGGCTTTTATAGCACATTCGGCATTAATAAACTCGTCAAAAATGGCTTTGTTACCAAGTTTTGGGAGGTTATACTTTAGACCCTTTTCTAGTAATTTAGTTTCTTCGCAATCAAATACAATATTCGTGTTATTGATAACTCTAGGGTAAAAGTCAAAATCAGATAAAATTATTGTCTCTTTATCTTTTTGTTCATTTATAAGGCGTGTTAGTTTATTTTTAATGGTAAGTTTTTTCTTTCGGATGATTCTAGTCACACCTGATTCAAGGTTGTTTAGCAGACCTTCTAATTGAGCTGGATGAGTTTCATTTGAGAGCTCTAAATATTTGTTCAATAACAAAGAGTTTAGCATTGATTTCTTTTGGTATAAGGATTTAATTTCGTTACGAATCCAAATTTTTTCAGCAATTGATTTGGTTCTACGTGCTGCTTGTGACTGGTTGTTAATTCTTATTTGGACATAATTAGGCTTGATGTCATGTTTTAAACATGCTTTGTTAAAACGGATGTTGTGTACTGTGTTGAGCAGTTTAAGTTTAGTATTCTTGTACTGCAAAGCTAGGGATGCCTGTCTGGCTGAAGAATTAAAATTCATTTCCATTCTAGCTCCTGAGCTGTTGTATTCAATATAATAAATAGGTTACATACCTTATAAATCCGACAAACAGCTCATTTTAATTGAAGGTCGTTTACATGTTTCGGCTTGTATCGGCCATTGTCAAAACGTTGCAGTTGGATGGTGAAATCCTTGTCATTGTTTTCTACTAAAAGTACATACACAAACACATACACACGGACGGGACGAAAACATAACGAAAAACGAATAAAACTTTAAATAGGCCTATTATATACACGGGCAGGACGCACGCACACCGTTGTCAAGGTCAGGATGCAGACTGGACTAGTTGTGTCGGTGTTGTCTTATCAGCTGATGTGGACTGCTGACCAATGGGCGTCGAACTCTGCCTTTGTTTTAATATGCTATTGAAAATGTGATGGGATTTGAATTTAAGTTTTTCATTCAGAATTACGCTCTCAAAATTGTTGTTCTCATTAACCTGTGCCTTATAAATTTCGAATTCTTCGAGAGTGTTAAGTCTGCTTCCCTTTTGGCAAATATGTAGGATTTCAAGGCCTTTACTAATATCGTTCATATCATGGTTTTTATCGACCAAATGCTGAGCAAACGATGATTTTTGTTTTGTATTACGAGGATCTGGTCTATGCTCCTTGTATCTAGTATTGAAATCTCTACCTGTCTGCCCAGTATACGTGCTAGGACAACTGGCACAAGTTAATTTATATACACCACATTTGTCATATTTATCACCACATCTGGTTGAATTGTTTAAAATATTTACGGAACGATTAGTTGTTCTGAAGGATAGATTTATACCATGTTTTTTCAATTGTTTGGATAGGCCGTTATGCAGAATGTTACTGTATTCAACGCAAACATACTTCTCATTGTCCTTTCTTGTGAACTCAGATTTACTGGCTTTTGATTTATGTTTGTGAATGAGCTTATCAATTAAATTAATATGGTAACCATTGGCTATGGCAGTGTGTTTTATTATGCCTAGTTCTTTCTCATAATTCGCAATAGACATGGGTATGTTCAAGAGCCTATGTACCATACTGTTGTAAGCGGCATGTTTCTGAGATGGCGGGTGGTAAGATGAGGCGTGGATTGTCATATCTGTTGTGGTTGGTTTCCTATAAACACTGTAATCAAATTTGTTGTTGATTTTCTCAATAGTGAGGTCTAAAAAGTTGATTTTATTGGCGTTTTCAGTTTCCAGGGTGAATTTTAGCTTTGGATCAATGCTGTTTAAATATTTATGTAATATATCAAGTTGTCTAGCACTTCCATCAAACAACAGTATAGTGTCATCAACATAACGATGGTACATTAGTATTTTATTTTTGAGTTTATTTTTATCAGAAAATATATGTTCATTCTCAATGTGGTTAAGGTATATATCAGCCAAAATTCCAGATAATGGAGACCCCATGGCTAGTCCATCACATTGTTTGTAAAAGTTGTTGTTGAAAGTGAAATAGTTTTGATTAAGTATTTCCTTAAGTAGAACTATTATTTCATTTACTGCCTCTGGTAATAAATCGGAATCGGATAATAACTTGTTTTCAATGATGGTTAATGTTTTGTTGACAGGGACGTTGGTGTATAAATTTACAATGTCGAAAGATGCCAACGTTGAATGCATTTTTATGTTTGTATTTTTTGTCTTGTTGATAAAGTCGTAAGAATTAATTAAACTGTAGTTATTTAAAAACTTAAAGTACGTTTTCAAAATCTGTTCTAGCTTTTTAGCAACTTTGAAGGCTGGTGCTGTTGTGTAATTGACTATATGAATGAGTTAGTTAGTTTAGTTAAGCGAACACCTGAATCAGCGCCACCTAGAATTCCCCCCCCCCCTTGAGCATAACTTAACCCTATTTGTGAATTTTTTTTGGGAAGAACTTTTTATAAGTTTAGGTTGGAAGAATACTTGCAATTAAAGACGTTTTCCAACTACTTACTGTTTATTTTTCACAAAATTTAACATTTTTACACTTTTACTAAATTGCAGAATAAATAAACAGAATAAATTGGAGATGTGATGGTTGAAAAATTCTTGTGGATAAGTGGGATATAGGCTTACATTTTAGCAAAACCCAAAGTTAACAATTTATTTCTAAATGTAAAATCAATTTTTACAGGATAATTTGGATACGATATAAGCTTTTATAAAGCCTATTACAATGAAAAACAGTAGCGGTATACATAAGAGTGCAAAACAACGTACTGCTCTGCTCTAGGAGGGGTGAGTGATCAGGGGTAGAAGGGAGGGGGAAGTTTCTTGGGTTGTGACAAGTGGCCCTGCGCGCTTATCTCGAGCATGGAGCATGAGTCATGAAATGAAACCCACAGGCACCGCGCTGTACGCTGTGCGCTGCCGAGCGTCAGCTCACTAAAAATCGAAACTGCAAATCAATGCCTTTGAGTCCTTGAGTTGAAGTGCTGTACAAGTATACACATTTTCCAAGTGCTGTTGGTACAAACAGAATAAATGCCTTTGGTGTGGTGCTTTAGATAAACTCTGAGCGAAAAAAAATTAAGTTGTTCATTTTCACTAGGCCTAAAGATGTTTCCAATTTTGTATTCTGAAAACAAATTGTGTCCCGTTGGCGCCACTTTTTTTGGTGCCATATGCGACCGCGTAGTTCGCGTATGGGTTAAACCGGCCCTGCGAATAATCTCCTCAATTTAACGTTGTTAGACAAATTTTCTCAGTGTCTGAAATTTGGAAGACATCATTAGCCATGAGTGTTTTGTGTTTTATTTTTTAAAAGGGGTTGAATGTCCTTCAATTGTCTTTAAAGTATCAAGTTTTTGTTTGTTCTTTTGAATTGGGAATCAAACCTCGCCTTTCTTTTAGTTGAGGGAAAAAAACCCATTATGACCAAACATAAATTTGTGATCCGCAAAATATTATTTTAAAACTAACGATTACATTAAAAAAATTTTCACGGCAGTTTTTTCAGGAAGAAATCCCTGTAAATTCTCGTTAAACTATTGTCTAAACACCATTACCATGTTGACTGGGAAATTTACAATGCTGACACATCCGAAAAATTACAGTCTACTGTCTTCAGGGCAATCTAGACACTGTAAAAGCATAGTACAACTTTTTTTTACTTTCGGAGGAGTGCTGAGGCTACCCATATCTTTTCTATGGTGTTGATGACTTGAGGAGGGGGTGCATATTCTTGTTTTAAATACCGTACTGTACCGTATGATACATCGTTTAAACGAGTGAAACTATTTTGAAATATTTTAGCACAGGACTTTGGGCTTGAGTTCAAATCCTTCCAATTACCAACAGATTTCATGGGTTCATGGTGCTGTAACCTGCATGTTCATAGTCCTAGTCTGAAGTAATGTGAACAGTTCTGGGCTGTAGTCTATTTCCTAAGATGTGAAGGTGGGACGCATAAAATAAATTATATTTAAATGTATTTATTTGTTTAAACACTCATATTTGTTACAGACCAAGTTGCGCAGCGCCTCACTGTGTCAACAATTACCCACAGTTCTCAGTCTCAGCTCGGATGGAGATCATGAGTTTTTCATGGTCATGTTCATAGTTAGTGTCGTCTTCATCACGGTACTGCTCTCAACCACTCTGTTTCTACTGGTGAGACGATATTCGGCCTCCCGGGCGAAAATACGCAACCTAACCACACCTGACACAGAGGCCAGCAAGGACTATCAGGTTTGTGTTTTCCTAAAGAATAGAATATTAACACTATTCTTGATATATCGATAAAATTTATGTGTAAGAGGCAGAATTTACCATACACAATACTTCCCTCTGAGCACAAAATTGGAGGTAGGTAAAACATTATTATCATTTCTATACAGTTTAGAGTAATACTAAAACCAAGTATTGTAAGCTATACTGTGAGTAGGTTAGGTGCGATTTAAACCAAATATGAATAACAGATAAGTTTTGGATGATTAAGTTATTGTTACCAAATGATCAGCATTTTATTTATCCAGGACAATTTATTAAAAGCCCATAATGATCAAGAGGACAGCTAGGTCCAGTTCAAACCATGAAAAACCTACACAATTTTCACAGAGATAAACAGTCAACAGCGGATTTTAGATTGTTAGGAAAACACAATGTTTACTTTGATTTACAAACATAAAAAAAAATGTTTAAAAAAAGTGATAATTAATTTCAATAACTTTGGTTCTAAGACTACCATCAAGTTTTACAATATATACATGCAGTTCCCCTGTTCCTTCATTGCAAAAACTCTAGAAAACAACATTATTGTTACACATGGTGTGATTAAGTTCATGGTCATAAAACCTAAAATAAACTGTGAATCAAATAGGTAGTTTAGTTGAGTTTTTTTTTTTTATAACCATCACATGTAACACAAATGTTTGATTTCCCTGAAAACCAAACTAATATCATCAAAATTAGATAACAGTGATCTATACACTTAGCTTTGTGTTGTACACACCTTTGTACACACTTATCCAAACAGACGTCAATAAAGTTTATTTTAACAGCCATCACGTGACAGTTTACCTGTAATTGTTACAGTCATTAATGTTGTGGCAATGATTTTTACAACCTTTAGTGATAAAGAAGAGTTCTGGCATTAAATAAGAGAGTTATTCAGCTCATTATTGTACATGAAATGTGTTGTATCGTTCTCAGAAAAATTAAATGCATTTTTTTAGGTGTTTTGGTAAGCAACGTTCAAGTTTTTTGTTTATACTTTAAAGCATTACTGTTTTAATGAAATAACTATAGGATAATGTTAGGTATTGTTAGAATCCTATCTTTAAGATTAGAAACTTGAAAATTGTTGTTGATGATTTAATTCTGGGGTTTGTAACTGTAATTGCTAGCTTAAAGAGCAAAAGGGAAAGGAGAAAATATTTTATAGGTGTTTGTTTGAAGGGTCCAACATTGTGCATGAATATTTTGTATGGAAATAACAAATAGACATTCTTTTACAAATCAGTTTTGCTGTGTTTCATGAAAGCAGCTGGTTTATCCTGATTTGGTGAAATCCTGTTAGTGGTTTTTATAATCCTGTGACGATGTTGATCAGAGTCCACATTTAGCGGTGGGGTCACCCATCAAAAACAAAAAAAGAGGATCAGGAGGAATATTCTTTTCATTGGAGAATAACCTCCGCTAAAGGCTACAACAATAATCCAATAAGATTGTCAGCCACTGTTTGATGGTGTTGAAAAAATTTATAGGAAAGAGATAACATGGTTCATTTGCTGTGTGTAGGAGTTGTGTCGTGCCCGCATGGCGGCCAAGCCACCACATGACGCAGCCGCGCCCACCGCAGCATCACACCGCATAGCCAGCCTTTCACGCGAGTCTGACAACAGCCCATCCTCCAGGTCCAGTACTTCCTCATGGTCAGTCACTATCTTATAAAACTATATAATATTAGAATAGTTAAAATTACCTTGTCTGCCTTCATTTCTTATATGAGAGTTTTATCTATGGGGAGGAGGGAAATGCAGGGATTGTTTTCCAAATATTATATTAGTTACTCCAACGATTTAAGTAGCAATTTTAAAATAGCGTAGACAGGAACATGTTTCACTTAAAAATTGATTATTTTTATTACTTTAAATCTCCTAATTTAAAAAGACAAATGGTTTCATACTACACTAACATGGGAATTTTGGCCATGAATGTGGATCGTGTTGTAACGCTTAAAAGACACATTTAACGCTTTAATGTGTTGCTGTGTTGTTCTAGTATATGCCTTCATTTGATACTTAACAAATAAAGGTGATGATAGTTAGAAAGAGTAAAAAACCACTCAATAAAATAAAAAATATTTTGATCACAAATACAATTAAATTTTATTCCAACAAATCGTAAGAGATTAATTATTATTGATGACATTTTAAGAATCGGCTGATGTTTTTTTTATGTCGTGTTCATATATTAAATTTATTCAAGAATCCATTTATTTAAATGCAAGACGTATATAATTCACACTATAAAACTATGCAAAATAAACAAATTTACTTTATTAATTTATTAATTCTCCATTCATTGCTGTTTTAGTTACTATTTTATTTACAATAGTTCGTTAGTATTCTTTCAATTCATCCCACATCTGTATAAGTATTATATATAATATATATTTTTTTATTTCAAGATCCTAGTTTTACCTTTAATTCTAAAATCCCTGCAAATAACATAAGATGAAAACAAAGGTTTTATTTTCACTGTATTCATTGCTGAGTCATATCTAGTTGTCAAATATTATGTGTCATAGAAAAACAAACTATCACCGACCATAAACTATTCTGCTCACTGATAACACACTTCGCTTATTCCTGATTCACATTCAGAGATAGAACCAAGTGTATTCACTTTGAACTTTTTGCTTGTTTATTTTGTTTCACAAATGAAGAGTCAGCGTTTTCTGCCATTTTATAACTGGAAGTATCATTACAGGAGCGAGGAGCCAGCATTGACAAGTATGGACATATCTACAGGACACATGGTTTTGGTAAGTATTACATTCAGTATCTGGTTTCTTGAGTAGGTTATTTTAGATCCACTTCATCGTGTCTTCACAAATGTTCAGTGAATTTAAATATTATCTATTACTTATTTAATACGCAAGCAGGTTTTTTGTGACAATTACTCCTCCGAAACTACTGAACCGATTGACATGTTTTTGGTGTCATTGGAAAGAGCGTAACGTGAAGTTGTGCAGGAAACTTTCTTTTTAGGGAAATAATTAGAGGGTGAGGCCCTGGGTCCCTTTAAAGTTTCGTATTTCTCCATAATTTCTCCATATTTGTAGAAAATCTAAAAAACAAGATCAGTTTTTGAAAAATGATAAGATATTTACAAGAAATGTTGATTATATCGATCTGTTATATACATCTTGAGTATTCCATAATCTTTGAGTCGAATCTTTTAAAGTCATCAGAAATTGTGACTGTTATTTGTTTTAAAATAACACCTGTAGTAGGCCTACTTAGCAATTGCTCGATTTCGAGCAACAGGGACACTAGTTAATCTTGATTCAATTATGTGGTCACTGGCCAGATGGTATAGCAGCTAGACCACAAATACATCATTCAGTTTTAACGCTCAAATTTTGGCAGGATGATCTTTTGGGATTGGCAATCTCTTTGGACTTTGAATACGGCTCATTAGTAAAGCAAGGGAAAGCGGGTAAAGTAAAAGAATAAACTGTACTTATGAGTTTAAGGGGTGGCACTGGACCACAAAACTGCCTTGATTGTACAGTCTGTTGCACAACTGATTGAGCCACTGACTTCCCAGTTAACAAATAAAATAGTTGAATAAACTGTTGGCACCTTATGGTCCAACTTTTTCCCTTACTGGAATGTGCGCAATTCGGTTCTTCAACCTTCATCAGATCGTCAAATAAGAACTTGGCTGCCCATAATTCAGTCAGAATAAAACTTGGACGATAGGTTAACAACAGGTGATTTAAACTTTTTATTTTACATGTAGCTGGTCTGGAAACACCAAAACAAAAATGAAGTCACTGATTTATTTGCTAAATCAATTACCTCCAGGAAACACATCAACCTGTTTCCTTTCATAATGATCAAACAAGTTCTTTTCATTTCTGTTTATTTTAGTCGTACATGGAAGATCATCTTCGCAACAAGGACAGGCTAGAGACAGAATGGGCGGCTCTGTGTGCCTATGAGGCTGAGCCGTGTGCCACTATCATCGCTCAGAGAGTAAGTTAGAAGACATGTCATTATAGTTCTGGACAACCTATGGTGAACCAAGGATTGGGTCCGTGTCCTAAGCCGGGTATTTTGTTTACCAGTGCGGGGACTGATTTTTTAAAATTCCTACTATACTAGATAATCTGATCTTATCTCATCTTATCTTATCTTATGATAAGATATATAATGTTATCTTACAACTTTATATCTTCAATGTTTTGATAAGCTAATAATCTGAATTCCTTTTTTTAGTTCTTCTATGGAAGTATACCTAGTTATAAATTAGTAAATGTTTTCTAAATATAGGAAACGAATATAAAAGAGATATCTTCCCAATAAATAAGGAACTAATCACTGATGATTTACCTGTCAATATCCACATAACAGTTTACTATTTTATAATACTGGATGTATACAAATTAACACACTGTTGTTGGTATTAGACAGTACGCTTGTTGTGTAAATAATGAAAAAAAAAAAAAAAACAATGTAAAATAACAATAACGTTTGCTCTTGACTAGCTAATAAATTTGACAAGCACAAAATCAAGATTACGGTTAAAGTCGTGTTCTTCAGCATTTCACTAGAAATCTGTAGGAATGAATGTTTTCTCATATTTTAACAGATTTCAGTGCTTTTATCTTGATCCTGCTTTACTGGATTGTTGTACATTAAAGAAAATCTTAATAATATTCCTGCCAACAATTCAGTACATTCATATTTTTACCAGACAGAGCCATTTTATTAGAATTCTTCAATGCAATTATCAGACTACCATTAAATCTACTTTTGAATTAGGTAAGAAAATCTTTAATTTGCTGCCACATAATGTAAAATGCTTAGATGATAAAAAATTCAAAGTGCATTTGAAATCTCTATTGATAGAATAAAGTGTATATGATGTTGACGAATTTATCACTTATTTAAGGTATCAGTTATGTAAATAGAAATTTATTGTAAAATATGACGATGCCATACGTATGTTTGGTATGTTTTACGGCAATAAATGATTTGATTTGATTTGCAAGAGACATATTGTCCTCTTTTCCACAGTATTTGCTCTTTTGTGAAATTTCTTTGTGAGCTTTACTCAGTTTTATTCTTGTCTGGTGACATCCAGGATTCGTCATATACAGGGTGGGGCAATGAAAGCGCCCCAATTTATAAGCAGTACAAACTCAATAATATTCACCCTATGGATATAAATCGCACATCAAAACACAGCTTATCTTTTGCCATTTTAACTTAACAAAGTCATTTTTCCATTTCTTGAGAACGAAATCCTGCAAGTGACGTCCTTGTCCTACTTGACATTAGGCACTTGAAAACTCCATCAAATACTCCTCCAGCATTTCTTCAGGAATCACTTTAGTTTTTGGACAATTCTTAGCTTCGGTTCAAGCAAATCTGTGGGGTGACTTTGAAAAACCTCGAACTTCAAGTAGGTAGCTTATTAGAAACCCCACCCCCTTCCAAAAAAAGGAGCCAAGTTTACCCAGTTCACCATTGTTTTCCAATCTGGAACAGTGCCATGTTGACCAAGGATGGAATGTGGTCCAAACAATCTCTGGGTTTTTGCACAAGAACCACTATTTTAAAAATAGGTTTGCACATCAAAATCTTAGTGTTAATAGCCTCGGGCATAATATTTACTAAAATGGCATAGTTTAATTGATGTTTTAAGCACAGCTGATCATTCGTTGTTGCAACAATTAACATGTGACAGCTAAAACAAATTGTGGCGTTCTCATTGCCCCACCCTGTACTATTAAAAACACACACTATACGCTATAATTCTGGGAATCAAGTCCAACGTTTCATAGAACCAAAAAACATCCCACTGATTCAGGATAGAAAAACTCTATTTTACTCTAGTTGCGGGTGGAACGCCTAACCACGACTGCCGGATCAGTTGGGAAAAAATTTTAACAAATGAATAATACCTCATCTCCTAAATGCACGTCATATTTAAAAACCGTATTTACCCTTTTTCAGTAAAATAGTCTTCTTGGACATCATTATGGACAATTTGTGACATGCTTTTAACTTTTCTGGATTCTTTGAAAACTACAAAGCCAATACAAAACTGATCAATTGTTTGTATTTTTCAGCCTGAGAACGCCAAGAAGAACCGTTACGTCAATGCTTTACCATACGATCATGCGAGGGTTGTGCTCAATGAGTTGTCCAACATTTCTGGGTCCGACTACATAAACGCTTCAACTATTGTAAGTGAAATGTTGTCAAAACAAATTAGAAAATGGTATAATGGTCATTAGTTTAAAGGCCCGTGGTTGGACACAGAAGCTGGCGGAATGCATAGGGTAACACTGACTTTTTATCTACTCAAAAACTACAGGCTACAACAACAAATATATATATTTATAGCTCATTAATGAACTGTGAGTAAATCATAGACCTTGAGTACCGTATAATCTGTTACCAAGCATCGGCAATAATTCCAACCAAGGAGTGTTTAGTGAAAAGTAAGGTGCCTTGAGGACCAATGACAGCTAGGAAGTTGTTGTTGACATTGATGCCTATATTTACACATTTTATACCTCGTGTTACATCTCTCCTTTTCAACTCAAACTTTCCTTAGTTGAAAATGCTGTCAGTGATAGTAAAACAATGCAATTTTCATGTTTAAGTTTTAATAAAAGCTTTTGGGTTTCTTGTGCTAGAGAGGACTCATTCCAATTCAGGTGAGCCTGCCGTAAAAAAAATACTTAAGACCCCCCTTAAGGCCCTTGTGACCTATGTTTTTGAATTTGTGGTGTTTTACATAGTTATGTGTTGTAATTTTGTTGAGTCTCTTCTACTAAAATTCCAAATTGTAGGACAACAATAATATTCCCAATTTGTGACAGACTATTTAACATGAGTGGATGTCAATATGAAATTCAAATTTTTTCCTGACTATCAAAACATATGTTTAAGAAATTTTATTTTTTTGCCCCAGACTGACCACGATCCTCGGAACCCAGCGTACATCGCCACACAAGGCCCGCTACCCCACACTGCAGCAGATCTGTGGCAGATGGTTTGGGAACAAGGCTGTGTCGTCATGGTGATGCTAACTCGACTGATAGAGAATGACAATGTTATGTGTCATCGGTACTGGCCTGAGGAGGGCTCGGAGCTCTACCACATCTATGAGGTACGCTAGAGTTTGGTAGCTTATCAAGTACTTCCATGTTGAAAGGTTAGTAGCTTTTTGATTGTTTGAAACTGGACCCAGCTGCCTCTTATCAAAGACACAGCTGATCTCAATCAGTAAAAGAGCTACACAGATCATCTCACTTAATTCTACACTCACTTTGCATTCATATTCAGCTTAAGACACATTCACAGACCTAAGTGTGTGTTGCTGTCTTCAATTAATGATAGTGATAAAGAATGATAATGATAAATATAATCTAATTCTTCAGGTGCACCTGGTGAGTGAACATTTCTGGTGTGACGACTACCTGGTTCGTAGTTTCTACCTCAAGAATCTGAAGACCACAGAGACGAGGACTGTGACTCAATTCCACTTCTTGTCTTGGCCAGAAGGTGGCGTTCCATCTTCCACCAAGGCTCTACTCGAGTTCCGCAGGTTAGTTTGCAGTTTATTTTTACTTAAAATCATAGTTCTTTTATGAGTGAGTGGACTGAAAAAAATGTTTTACAACTTACAGACATTTAAACAGCAAGAATCATTTGTAGATTTTGCATTTGAACCATTTTACCATTGACTATTTGATAAAGAAGTAGACAACCGATCTAAATAGACCGACTGTCACTAATTTTTACTAATAAAGAATGTAATTGTGTGAGCCAGTCACAGAATGTGGTAGTCTCTACAATTCCATGATCTACCTTATTTATTGCTGCTGACCAAGTTGATGGGTCTCAACAGTTGATACAGCTCTAATAATAAGTTGTTCCATCAGTTTGACTTGGTAAAAAGCATTGTGGCTCACATCAACTACAACGGATTTTATAAAAAACTGGCGACAACTTAAACATAAGAATGAAATGTCTAGTTGTATCAATAGTCAAAGATTATACAGTACAAACTTAAGTACAAAAATTGCAATTTTTAATCATTTTACTCAAAAGTATTGTATTTGATTCAATCAGGTTGCATACATTTAAAATTTAGGTCTTTTGAAATTACTTACAGTTAAAAAATTATGAGGATAGAAGGTTTACCTAAATGGGAAAAAGTTTAATCCGGCACAAAGAATACAAAACTTATAACTATACATAAAACATTAGAATATTCCATGGTCACTGACAGCATATCACTCAACCAAGCAAGGTAGGAGTTCCTTTTGTACCTTCACGCATCAGAACTTATGTACCTTCTCTTTAGCTGAAAATTCTGCTAGTGACAGTGAAATATGCAAATGTTTTGTGTAGTATAAAGTTTTGTATTTCTCGTGCCAGATTGGACTCTTTTCCATTCAGGTTAATCTGCTACCATCAAAAAAATCCTAAAAACCTAGTTCCTTGTGATCTATGTTACATACACTATAACAATTGTCATCAATTAGTGAACTAGTGATTACCAAGATGATGTATTGTTTCAGGAAAGTCAATAAATCGTTCCGAGGCCGTTCTTGCCCAATCGTCGTACACTGCAGGTCAGTTGCTAATTGAGTTTCTCGTTCTAAACAATATAAACCTTTTAAATAACTGTATATTCCATAAAAATTGATACTTGCCCTTCTAGGAGTATGAGCACCTTCAGTAATTTTATACTGGGCAAACTTCAATGTAAAATACAAATAAATCTAGAAGTTTTTTTTTATGACTTTAAGTGTAACTTATTCCATAATCTATATTTTGGAGCACCAATTCATTGAGAACATAAAGCCAAAATATATTACATCCCATCTTCTACATACTATAGAATTCCAACATAACTTGGATAACTTGGTTCTGGTCATACTTTGGTTATGCTGCGTACTTTGTCTTTGTCTATTGTCCAAACTCTGCTCATTGGATATTTTACCATGCCCGTATAAAGTTGTATATTACATTTGATATTGAATTATATGGCACAACTACCTATTAAAAATTTAGACAACAAATTAATTTTACAAAAAATAGCCCATATCCATTATGTTAAACTTAGATACCAACAAATTGGTGAAACAGCATTTTGCTAAATTAAATATTTTTACTGTGTATTCATTTATTCATTTACAAAATATATAAATGAATAAGATATACCTCCAAAATCATAAGCCTTGTATAGTCACAATACTCGCAATTGGATTTAGCGATCCAGAGACATCATTTTAGAGTACATATAATGATATGAAACCCACAGCTACAGGTCTTAGGCTTATCTACTCTGTGCTAAAATATCTTGTGGAAATAAATTATATTAAGTTTTTTTTTATCAATAGTTGAAAGTGTTAATAGTAAAAAATACTATTATACACTTTTAATGAATATTTTAATGATTTTTCCAGACTTAATTTTCTTATTATGGACAACATTCTGTATTTACATTGTAAATCAAGAAAAATATATAAAAAAACACATTTTTAAACAAAGTAAGATCCTCTGAGTGGTCAGCATCTTGAGTGGACAACGTGATTGTTTAGTGACGGAGTAGGCCGCACGGGGACGTATTGCCTGTTGGACATGGTGTTGAACCGAATGGCGAAGGGAGCCAAGGAGATTGACATTGCGGCTACGCTAGAGCACATCAGAGATCAGCGTGCGGGCTGCGTTGCCACCAAGCAGCAGTTCCAACTCGTGCTGCAGGCGGTCGCAGAGGAAGTGCAAGCCATACTGCGTATCTTGCCTCAGCCGCAACCTCCCACTACCCAGCCATCCAGCCAATAAACCATGTAAGACATAGCAGTGATTTTCTTCTTTTGTAACTTAGAACTTGTTAATCAGCATCCTTTGTGTTATTAAATTCACTGAAAGTAAATAAAAATGTCTGGTTACACTCAAAACATAATATTTACACATAAGTTTGCAAATAAAACGGTAAATACGTTTAAAAGATGATAAGTGGTGATTGATTGGATATCCTAATAATAATCAGATCCAATATTGATGAATGACAAGAAACTCTATGGTGCCCCTAACAGCTTATATTCAATATCCAATAGGATATAAGTATAGGGACGTCTCTTTCTTCGTATTGTATTTGTTTTATTTAATCCAAACCACTTGAACCATCTCCAATTAAACATGTGGTTTACACTAGTTATTTTGCCATGTAACCTTGACTGAAGGCTGCTTGATTGATTCAGGAGGTTGGCCGACCTACTGAAGCACTGCTCGTCAAGATGATGGATATCCAGGAGTCAGCTCAACACATATGATTTGGCCTCGAATTAACGATGAACAAAGATCTTCTTTTCTTACTTCAACCTTTAAAAACCTTCCCATAAATTGTTTAAATTCCCTAAGGCCTACGTAATTGTTTCAGTCTTTTCCGAAGGGTCTATTAATTTCTCAATGTTCGCTTCTTGTGAAACAAAATACTAAAATGGAATGAACAAGTAGAGGAAGTCTGTTTCCGATGATAGAGTGCATATTTTTATAAATGTATACAGTTAATATTAAGGAGATTTTAGTTTTTGTAAGATTCAGTTATATATTTTTGCAAAATGACAAGACGTGTGAATATTTATTTTGGTTACAATGTATAAAGCTGTTTAGTAAATTATTTGCCTCCTTAGTAAAAACGTAGTGAGTGACTGAAAAGACTATCTTTTAACGGTTATGTTTCATAGCTTTATTTTGGATTTTAGTTTTTAGAGCTTGTTTCATTGTTGTGCATCATTTCCAAACTTGTAGCTTTAAATGATCGTTTGGTTTGAAACAAAACATAGTTTATGAATAATAAAATGATTATATATTTTATGGTAAAGAATGTTATGAGAGAATTGTTAAGTTTATTCTACTTCTAGAAGATGAAGGACCTTCGCATCTAGATTTATCTGTCTGTTTCTATATACTTGTCGTTTTAGTTTTTAGTAAATATATTTTAACATTTTCCTAATTTACAGATACTTTGGTTCGCTTTGAATTTTAAATTCGGGCTTGGTTATCGCTCAATTGATTTTATTTCAAGGTTTTAGTCAGTTGGTGTTTTAATTAGCTAGTTATACGTTCCATGTTACTTTGTTGTTATATTCTTTTATTTATTGTTACATGTAGTTAATATTTATTGTATTAAAATATATTAAATAAATGTAGATCGTATACTTAGAATAGTGAATATTATATTATATACAAATAGCTTTATATGTCTTGCAGATGATCTTTTTAACTAACAGAAAACAAGTTTAATATTTGTGTTGTTCTACGGATTAAGGAGATTAACCAAAACTGTAAATTAAAAGATTTATATGAAGTTATCTATAAAAGGCGAGGTTAGGTTAAGAAGTGAAAATATTTCTATTAAGGAATGTAAATACTCCATTGACATAATTCTTTTAGTTAACTTTTTAGACAATCATTAACAGCCAAAAAGAACAAGAAAAATACTTTGTAAAATTGTAAAAGTAATGGCTCCATTGTGAGAATAGTCTGCAAACGAGACCAGATAAGTTTTCCCCTTAGTTTTCAAAAGATTAAAATATAATTTGTTCTTTTTTTATTGCCTCTTTTATGAAAAGTTTGGGACTTACAGTTTTAAATTGTAATACAATGTCTACAAATTTGTTGGTTATGAAATTTATTATTATTCAAGTATATTCCCTTTTAATACTTGCTTCAGCAATATCTTAAATATGCAATAAGATCTAAGTTATTGTTGATTGTAATTTGACAACAGGTTTCATCACAACGACTAACATTTTTTCAATATATTTTTGACTCAGAAAAAAATAACTTGGATGTAATTTTGCAAATCAGTTGAAATTTTCTTCTAATCACATTGTTCTTGGTATATTGTGTCTACTTACTCGATTATTTGTATACGGTATTGTTACGTTCATTATTGAATGTTCAAGTTCGCTATTTACTTTCAATTTAATGTTGCTAACTCGTAACATTTTTCGTATTAAGGTCTTGGAGAATTCTAAACAAATTGTTGGCATGGCTAAGATTTTTTTGGTTGGATCAAAATTGTCTAGCTAATTTTTTAAAGTTTTTGAACAGATTCTTGACGTAATTAACCTAACCTGGCCAATCACATTACAAATCAAGTCAATTGAACAGATTGCGTAAGACTTAAAAGAGCTCAGTAGTCAGAAAAAAAAGCACAAATTTATTTCTTGAAGGATATTTTGTCGTTTCATTGGACCAGCCCCCAGGGAAACGACACTAACCCCCCCCCTTACCCTCCCTTACCTGACATAACAATACATCTAGTACACTGTGGTCTCTACAGTGAAATCTGCAACACTCGTAAATATAGCTTAACTTAACCGAATGTTTCTTCCCAAAAATTTGTACTGTAGAGATTAAACGGATTGTGTAACTACCACATCCTACAAAAGGAAATAAGACATTTGAGACTATAACAGAAAATAATTAGAAAATAAATAACTTAAAAGTAGTTTAGTACCAAAATTAACTTTGCATTCAACTAATACCCAAGCTTGGTTCAAATTCAAATCCAAACACAATATTGAGTGATACAATTTTCAAATTGCGGATGCCCATAACAATATATGTCTACTTATCTAACCTGATATAGAAATGCTCAATCTCATAGCAGTTTGAACCTCTGGCTAGCTAAATTTGTGTCTGAACAACCTTCTTGCACTTACCTCAGGTGTGACAACTGCAGAACTCGGAAAGAGTGTTAGACTCAGTCCCAGAGTCCACAGTACCTGACATCCTGTAGCAAGCGTGTCAGTACTACCACTCTCACAACACTTAAGACCACAATATTAAGTTTATATATAGTTAAGCATGTATATGAAATTTCAGTTCTTTATTTGAGGTAAATTCTTTTGGAAGTATCGATATTGAGGGATTAATGTAGATATTTACCATTACACTCACTAATCTTGATGGGACAGGGAGCGAGCTAGTCTAGTTTTTGAGCGCAGGGCTTTGGTCCTCCGGTCCAAATCCCGCCAATCACCAATCCATTTTATCTATGTGATCTAGAGTGCTGCAACCCTCTAGGTCTAGCCTAAAGTAATGTGTAAAAAGCTTCCGGATTAGAGTCTAGCATCCCAGCAAGTGAAGGTGGGACGTGATAACAATCTTGATGGAAAGTGTTTGCAATAATCTCTTATTCACAAACGCATGTTTTAGTTTTGATTTTTGTAATACAGTTTAGTTAATTTAAAAAATCGTTTCAATAACTTCTAGTTGTATGCAGTACAGTTTTAAAAGAGGGAAGACGAAGACGTTAACTCTTGGTTGGCCGTGTCTAACGATGAATCACTAATTCATCACCAACGTTTTAGCATTGATGCAGAGTGCCTTTCTCGTGCTGACTTCAAGCACGCTGCATCAAGGATGAAACGTCGGTGAAGAATAGTGTTTTGACACGGTTGTCGCCAGAAGACCATGATTCTACAGTAGGCCGTGGAGCCTATCCGGGAAGATTATCCGATATTTTATTATACTCTAGATGTTGTGGTAGTGGTAGAACCGATGCGTACTCCCAATCCCACTCCTGTCATGTTTAGGTTAGGTTTCATGGCCAGAAAGTCTATTTTTGTGGTAAATGTAGCATGCACTTTCCCAACACAGTGTTGAATGTCACCATGTAGTGAAGCTACAGACTTATTTATTGAATAAAACAATGTACAACAGCACACTTGTACTTTTATTCTCCCTTGTATCCTCTTCAATTGAGTCTCGATTATAATGGTTTGGAATTTTATAGAAGAAAAATTATAGAATGGGACATCAAAAGACAAAACAAATCTTCAAGAGTAGGTGCTAAAAGAAATAAAAATGGGTGTAGCAAAGAATAGTATTTTTGTATATGGCAACTTTTATTACAGGTATAGATAAATCTTTATAGAAAACTACAAAACACTTCCTAAAATATAGCTGCAAGACGTATTGATTGCTTAAGTAAACCAACTGAATCAGACACATAGCACAATGAATTATGTATACAAAGTAAAATATGACACTAGAGTTTATTTGAAAACAACCACAAAAAGTTTTCCACAAATGCATACATTAGGACCTCGATATCTCGAAGCTGAGGGGGTAGTGGTAAAAAGTCAAGTTATCAAGTTTTTGGGGTTAGCAAGGTTCGAGTTATCAAAGTATAATTTAATATAAAAAAAATTGAGATACTGAGGTGGTGAATTTTGACTAAAATGTGACGACCCCCATGATTCGACTTTTACACCCTATGCTATTTCTACGTACTGATGAGTAACGGTAGAAGCAAGATTAAAACTGTATTGTGAATACACAGTACAGTATTCAGGAGTCAAGCCATTTGCACAATACGAATAAAGTTTACAGAAAAAATAAATCATAAAAACTACAATATAAATACAAAGAATAAGTCACTTATTTGTTTTAAATATTGTATATAATGCTTAATATGCTTTATTTGTATATAAACACATAACTTAATTTATTTTATTCAATCGCATTGACAATTTATGTTAAACTTGAGATCTATTTTATTTGCTGACTTGCGTCTGTAAACACGGCGTAACAATTCACCTTCAGCCTCATACTCTTCCCGGTTTTCCAAAATCGTAAGTAAGATGTCAGGCATAATTCCACATTCCCAAACAATTAAGACTTTTTTTCTTTAACATGTTATATAATGCCTATCACTCTTATTTTTTGTTGTGTGTCGTAATAAAATAATCACAAAATAATATCAATAACTAACAGGCTAACACAACAGAGCTATCCAAATAAACAAAGAAGATGAATTTTCACGTCTCAACAAGAATCAAAGACAGCTGACTTGCACAGTATGACATAAAACTTTGATTAATTGAGGTACGTCGTGAAACTTCGACTTAAGAAGGTAGAATTTGAGAGAAACATCGGACAATAGAATGGAGGTTAAGTATTACAGATCACAATACATCAAAATTATACTTATCAAGGTTTTAAATATTTAAAACCTTTGACTTAATGGTATTTTTTACATTGTGATTTACTGGTGTTTCAAGGGGATTATGAAATAATTGAGATGTATAGGCATTTGAGATATCTAGGTTCGAGTTATTGAGGTCCTAATGTATTCACAAATAATTAAAAAAGTATCCATTCTTGCCTCTATAAATAAATATTCTACGAAAATAAACTACTTATATTGCAATGGCTACTTAAATATTATGTTACGATTACAAAGATGTAAAGAGACTTTGTGAATCTAAGGTGGGTAATTACAGTCAGAAATAAACTATTAGAAATAAAAGTAAACTATAAATAATACAACAACAAAAATAACAAAATAAGATCACATAAATGTAAAACTTTCAATATAGGACTCTAGTGATTTTCCCATAGTTTTATCACATTTGTAAATTTAAAGTAGACAAATATATCAGCCCTACAAATAATATTCCACTCCAATCTGCTGTTATTTCCCGGGGTTAATTTTTGCAATTATTATAACAGTCCATAATATAGTTTGGTACTGTATAATTTTTATTAAAAAATAATAGAGTGATATATTTTATTAATAAATTTAATATTTAGCAATGTAGGAATTTTTTTGGAAAAGGAATAGAGGTGGGCTAGCTTACCTGAGTAAATTAGAGTAGTTTTAAGGGCTAATAGAAAGAAAATGAAGCCCTATGTTAACCCACATTTATACCAGTGTTTGGAACAAAACTTTTGGAACATTTTGTTGGTAAAACTTGTTTCTAAAACAAAAGTTTACAACAGATAGTGTACTTTTCTTAGATTTTGTTGGGAACTATTTTATCACCATTCCCGAGAACACGAGGTCAGTCCCTCTCGAGATAGTAATGTTGTAGTGGGTAGGCGCAGGAGGTAGCAGGGAAGTGTTATGAACAGCGTAGAAGTACAGAAACATTCGTTCTTATGTTTGGAACACCCTTTGATCTTTATCGACTTCTGGTAGAAAACATTTCTGTTGTAAACACTAAAAAACTGTTTCCAACATCATAATGTGTCTTGGTTTTTTAGGAACATTAGGTACCGTAGTTGTAAACACATGTTCCTAACTCCGGTATAAATGCGCCTTTGGGATAAAAAACATCAGTTTTATGTTTTGTGTTCTTTTATTGAGTTATCTATTAGCTACTGGACTAGCCATTTTCCCAGACGCTAGCCAAACTCTATGCCTTTAAAAATTCCTAAATAGCCGATTGGTTTTAATGAAAAATATAATAGCAATTTAGTAACTTAAAGCAGGCACACTTCTGAGCACACTGTTTCAATGCACAACTTTTTCATGTTAACGTTCCTAACCTATAATTAGACAACTTCTTCCTAAACTAATAATTGTTCAAAATATAATATTAGTCTACATGTTACATATACACCTCATAGTATGATACATTCTATAAGGCAATAAAGTAGTGAAATGCTTTAAAAAAATTATTTTGTTCATTTTAAATATTAATGGAAATAAATATGTAGGCTAGTATCATAATGTTACCAAAGCGTTAGACTCTGTGACACTAAATATTACAAAACTTTAATAGTCTATAAAAAAGTATATTGATAAAAAGAATGAGGTAGAAATTTTAAGTGTATTCATATAAGTAAAGGAATGCAGAACAGTCTAACTTCTATTAAACAATTTATCTTAATGTAAACAGTAGCGTAGCTTTTATTGATTCTCAATCATTGTTAAGTTGTGAATCAAAATGTTTCTATCAGAGTCAAGTCTCTGTAAAACAGTCTATATGAATCAGAATTGTAGATTGTGGGTTTTTAAAATCGGCAAATCAAAAAGAACAATTACATCAGAGTAAAATTTCAGATCTTATGAAAAAATTGGTATATTGATCTAACTCATAAAAACTCAACCGATACGTCTAAGTTGAGTACGTACAAAAGGTAAAGAGAAAATAAATCAAGGATAGAAAATATATTTTAAAGCTTATCTGCAAAGTATACGGTAAAAGATCAAGTGTTGTTTATTCAGAATAACTTTATGTGGGAAAATCTATAACGTTAGAAAGATAAGCTGTTCGGTTTAAACTGTAAAAAATGTTTAATATTCATTTTGCAAGTAAGAAAAGAAACACATTCAGGATAGTACATTCACTCAGTTTTTGTTTTAAGAGCACACTTGGTAGGCCTATGCACCACAATGGAAAACTCAGTACTGATATGAAGTCGTTAATTGTTCTTTTTTACGATATAAATACACTGACAAAAAGGTAACTCTTTATAGCTAAGGAACTTTCTTTATAAAAATACTGTTTAAACTTGATCTTGAAAATATTTTACCTCTAACAATTTGATTACTTAAGGCTCGAAAGGTACACAGAGCTTGAGAAGCAACACCTTTGAATTTACAAACACAGATCATTTCAACAGATTGCACTCCGACTTAACATTGCACAACGTTATTAGGCTATTGATAATGTGAAAATGTTATCACAAAATCTTTCATATTAATTATACTCATAAGAGAATAGTAATTTTAAACCGAATAAATTTATGGCCATGCCACAGCTACATCAAACAAGAGTTATTACAATTACCATTTTTGTTTATGATAAACAAAAAACATTGCTAGACACATATTTGTGCCAAAACTAAACACATTTAAAGAGGTTTTGCTAAACAGACATTTAGCTAACAAAGCCTTTGCAGTAAACAATTACAGTTTTGTGAACCAGTATATATGTTAGCCATAGACCTATATTAATATGCAAATAGAGAATCTTATTCTTAACCAAAATATAGTTTTCCTCATCCCATCATAATAAATAATTGATAACTTTTGCCCGTTTTCACTTCAACATTTTTACAAAAAGTTGTGAAGGCTTCTGACAAGATTGCTATTGCATAATTATTACAATATTGAAATTTGTATTCAACAAAAATATGGCTTAAGCAAACTCAAAATACCTTATTGTCGACACTACTGGTCCAATGGCGATGGCAAATATGAAATTTAGGTGAAAATTGGCTCCTGACACCATTCTGAAAAAAAAATTAAAATAAACTAACCTATAAAGATATTATTATTATTAGATATCCATTTTCGGTTAGCAAGTATATTTTTTTTGTTTGATGTTCAATCCTGGTGATGATGAGTTAATGTTGTTCAAAGGTTTATTGCGGAAATAAATGAAAATGAATAGTAGGTTATAACAAAATAGTGGTAAGCGTAAGTTAATGCTGCATGAAAAAGGTCACTTACTGTCAAGAAGAGTAGTAGCGGCCAGTGCCGCGGCCAGACATCGTATGATGGTAAAGTACAAAGGTCCAAGGAAATTCCTTTCTTATCGGCCAGACATGTTAATACTGTTAATACTGTTCGATGAAATGGCGACCATACATAGTAGGTATTTTAAGCCAAGTATGAATGGAGATGAGTTTAGGATGAGTGGCGCGATCTTGTAGTCTTGTTAGTGACTAAGGTCGACATTCCTTAGACACAGCTGTTAATTAATAGCCCATACAGCTAATGGCAACTAAGGGACCTACAGTTTATAGTGGAATCCGAACCACATTTTTTCCTTGGTATATACGAATTGGTCAAATTATCAGGATAGTACTGCAGATAGTCATGGACGTTAATCCACACCAGGGAGTATCACATCCACAGTGCATGCCTATAAATATCCACAATTCGTGACCTCCTAGTAGCTGGATTACAGGACGACGCCACCCGTCCCAGTCATGGACTGAAAGATAAATAATTAAATAGTGAAAAAGGCTACCAAAGCTCAAAAGGCTATCAAAATGAAAGAATGATTGCATTCTGTGTGACTTACCTGTATTTAGACGGGGATAAAGGCGTAGGAGGGTTTATCCCGGGAACAGCACTGTCAAAGTACATGAGATGCCATGTGACAAAGCTGACCAAGGTACTGACCACGAGATGACTGCTCAGCCAACCAACGAGCAAGAGATGAAGATCGTAAACCTCAGATACAGTTGGAAACTCAAACTCTTCAGGCCCTGTAATGAGATAGGCAACCGTAAGAAGTAGGTAGGTATAATCTAAACATTTAAAAGGTAAAAATAAAAAAATCAACCTAACTGTTTAAGCCTTATCGAGAGTCCTTTAATACATTAGCAGTCGCCACGGTCCCATTAGTAACTTACAGATTCCCTTGTAGGCCTACTGATTCACAGTATCACAGTTTTATAGGCTACGTTTGAGGTACCATGGCCGCTTTAGTAAATGAGTCTGGGCCCAGGGACGCAAGAGATTTAGGTTTGTTGGGGGCGCAAGGATGAGAAAAATTCCCCCACGAGGATGAGGGGAGGGGGCACAGTTATCTCTCTGGCGACACATCATGCAAGGCACGGCCCTACTGGGAACATAAATTAGGCCTAGCAAAGGCCACAAGAAAGGGAGGATCTAATCTTGGGTTGGTTTCGGGACCTAAGAGTTGAACTTTCTACTTAACACGTTGACTGTGCGCGCCGACTTTACAGGCGCTCCCCAGTGGCGGGTGAAGCCCCGGCGCGCAACCGAATCAGTGAACGCAATTGGCATTCAGTCTGACGAATCACAAAAGAGCAGTGGTGACTGTGCTGCGTTACCCCGAGAGTGGATGTAGTTCACTGAAACACCCAAAGGTAGCAGCACTGCACGGATCCGTATCCAGTGTCTTTGTAAAGTGGGTTGAAGAGAAAAAATCCCCGAAACCGGGACAAAAGCATTGCCAGACAGGATTTTACGGGAAATTTTAGTACCAACCTACACCGAAGTAAAGCTCGCATTCTAAGCTGGCAGGCTAGCAACGATTATAACGTCTCCGTCTGAGGCTAAGCTCACACTGACTCAATATATTTCTGTTGGTCTGGTGCCGACTTTTGTCGGCGCGCGCCACCTGGGATCGCTGGCGACGCCGACTAAAGTCGGCACGCGCAGTCAACGTGTTAACTGATTGTTTCTAAAGACTATGCCTAAGCTTACTTGGCTGTCTGACAGACTTGATAATCAACCCTTCATAAAATGTCACAAAACTGAATGCTCTAAGCTGGTGGACAGACAGTTTCTTTCTGTAAGGGGCCTTTGCAAAGTTATTTCAAGTTAGACTATTTTGTTTAGTTAGGTATATAGTTATATTTTGACGGGCTACACTTTAGTTTACGTCCTACCATTTGAGTTAAAAATATCAATATATAACTTAGATTACTCAATATACGGTTAGTTAGGTTAACCTAACTATCCAAACTTAATACAGAAGAACCTCGATAATTTAGGTTAAATTAATAGTTAATAATTAAGAAACACATTACTAAAATTCATTTCATAGATTTATGCGGGTTCTTATGTTTTAAGTATAAGTTAGGGTAACTTAAGTGATATATGAAACTTACAAAAATGAGCAATAAATTTAAAGACAACGAAGGCAGCAACGATAAGAACAGTGGTTAATTCTATGAAGATTATCTTCTTTGACTCATGCTGATGATTCTGAGAGAAGACTTTTGAAAACGAGTTATCATTTCTTTTTGCAAAAGACATGATTAGGGTTTTAAGTCGCAGATCAAATCACTATTTTCAAACCCAACTATATCATCATCACCCTCCATCGACTAACAGTTCAGTCATAATTAAGACTTTTAACCAAATAACAACTTCGGACACGAATAAACAAAAACAATACTACATGATAAGATTCAAACAACAAACAAACTTTACAAACTACTCAAGGATCCATTTTTGATATTCTTGTGTTGTTTTGACGTTTTGTGTGAAGTGATGTCACTTAACCAAACAAACTTATTTTACAGTGTTGCCACCCATTGCAATAACGCAAAACGAATTTCCCACTTGTATTCAAGTATACACTATAGCAAGAGAGTTGTTTGATTGAAAATTTAAGTTGATTGAAAATAAATAAAAAGTACTTAAATAAAAAGTACTATAAGTATAGATAAAGTAATATAATTACTTATTTAATTAATACTTAATTAATTATATTGCTTCCTCCTCATCCTTCGCTGGAGGCACTCTAACCACCTCTAACCCTCTAACCAACCACGGAATGAGCCTCAATCAAGCACAAACAAGTCCTAAACTCTCTGTATCCTGTGATTTTGATAGTTTTTATCGCGGTAAGGTATGATTGCGTATTGTCATAGATAAAACATACGTATATTGTTTCACTTGTATTCAATAAATAATAAAAATTAATATCATAGACTAACCAACACAAGTAGACTTCTCATCCAATTGTAAATTTTGAAGCTCGTTTTTCGCATCTAGTTCATGTCCGGTGACACTAACCTCTAGTGCCGACGAAATTTTGTTTCTATTATTTTAGGGCTAATTTAATGATTTGTGCTTCTTGGTTTGGTTATATAACTAGAGGACAAGTTATTGTCTATGATAAGATGGCTTTATTTGGCTAAACTAGTTTTTAAATTACTCAAAAAATGAAATGAAATTTCATTTTGCCAAATTTGTCCATTGTATCTTGTTAAATTCGTCCAATTTCTCAAATTTGATTTAATTACTTATTTTGTCAAAATTTGCTAAATTCGTTCATTTTGTCAAATTACTCAAATTTGTCCAATTTGTTTAATTTTATCTAAATCATCCATTTTGCAAAATGTTTTTAAACTAGTCTATTTAGTCAAATTTTTGCATTTTATGGTAAGGCCTTTGCTTTGCCCCAGTCTAGAAAAATGATATTGAAATGAGCTGTTCATTTTTGTTTTGTAATTTGAAGTGTTCAAACTATCGCGTGTGATTCTCATTTATTTGTCATTTTAGCGAATTTCCCATATAGGGAATAAGCTATTACCGTAGGTCTCATGGTAAGACCTAGACCCGGGACCGATTTACTTTTTCGTTTTGAGGTCCCCAGAGGCCAAAAACACCATCCGTTCAAATTCATATATATTTATATATGTGTCCGTTAGCGCGATAACTCGAGCAAAATTGATCCGATTTTGATGAAATTTGGTACAAACGTGTAAACCTACATTTATTCGAACGAGTTCGCGAACCAGCATAATCGGACCATGGGATCAGGGGTTTATGGGGGGTTTTATGGGGTAAAAATGGGTTTTTCTCATTTTTGACCCTAAAAACTTTAAATTTCTAAATTTCTCTCTAGACCATTTTGAAGAGCTTAAAAAAACAAATAATTTAGTATATTGAAGTTTTTTTTAATGTTCATTGACTACGGAGAAAATTAAAGAAATTGTAAATTTAAAATTCCCATGTTATTCTTATGGAGAATAAATAAACTGTTCTAGTTTGCTTGTTTATGGATATATTTCAATCAAATTTGGCAATTTGGCTTATTTCATACTAAGCTATCAATATTTCAATTGAAAAAAACACACCTCAAAATCTTTCCCGTAGCAGCAAACGTAACTACTCACTAAAATTTAATGTTATTTAAATAGGAAATAAATCTGAAAATTTATAGGGAATATTTTAGTAGAAATCAAGCCGGGTGAATGGAAATTCGCTTAGTATGCAGGTTTGCTGTGACGGGGGTATTTGTCATTGATTTAGCAAACATCTTCTTCGTCTACTGCAGCAAAACAGGCGTTTCTAATGCATGCGTTGCGGGTCTAAAGTATTATTTTTAATTCCATAGGGAGTAAAAATCATTTTTAGTCTCTAGGAAGAAAAAGTCAGCTGTTGTAAACAGTTGTAAATTGTGATGAAATATACTGAACAGTCATGGTGGAAGGAAAAATCACCACCATGCTGAACAGTTATAATGAATTCAAGGATACATGTTGAATTCGTATTTTTTGTCAAATTAATCTATTTTGTCAAATTCTGAAATTCGTCCAATTTATTTAATTTTTTTTTACTTCGTCCATTTTGTCTAACGCGTTCATTTTCTGAAATTTTGTTAGATTGATTCGTTCAATTTTGTACAGTTTTATCAAATTTCTTAATTTTTGTCAAATATTGTCAAATTCGTCCATATTTCAAATTTTGTAAAATTTTGTCATATGGTTCTATAAAAAAACTAACTCTTGGCTTATGACCCTAATTTACTTTACGATTGCCTACTTAAAAAACATTTCTTGTTTAATGTTTTAATTAAGAGGAAACGTTGAACAGAGCATGTAAGTGACAAAATTAACCACCCGGTATCGTATGTACGATAGGTGGTTTACTTTCAATTCATCAGCTGAAAAATCAGGAAAATGTTAGTGCAGTTCAATATCAACCTTATTTTTTCTAAAATACGTGAATATTCATGTAGAAATTGGCTTAGCATATTACAGTTTGTATAAACGGTTCCTTCAACAAAACTTTGATCATTCCCGAGCGACGAAATCGTGAGCGTCCCTTCGCCCCTGTCGCGTAAAGTCATGGACATCCGCCGCGATTGGACGATTGGAGGAATAGTGAACGTCTCCTACGTTCACGGCGAAATACCTAGCAATCATTCCGTGATCGCGGAGACATAATTGGCATTGGGCCTATCGTCTCTCGCGATCACATTAAAATCGTGTAAACCATACGAAATTGAAAATAAACTAAATCGTCCCCTGTGGTCGCGATGAAATTGTGAAAGTAGGCTATCACGGAGGAATCGTAGACATATTTCGTGGTCGTTCGACAACAATGCCTCAATATACTAAATTATTTATGTTTTTATGCTCTACAAAATGGTTTGGAAAGAAAATGCTAAATTGTATGTTTTTAGGGTTAAATATGGGAAACCCAATTTTTACCTTATAACACCCCCCACAAACCCCTGTTTCAATAGTACGACCATGCTGGTTCGCGAACTCGTTCGAATAAATGCAGGTACGTTCACACGTGCATACCATATTTCATCAAAATCGGATCATTTGTGCTCGAGTTATTGCGCTAACGCATGCAATTTATGGTCATTTCCCCGGTAAAACATCATCGTTTTCCGCCCTTCGACCCTTTAAAATATCCATGTTATCACCTTTTATGAAATTTTTATGAAATACCTTTTTGTAGCTGCAGTTAATAAAACAGCTGATAGGCCTACAGGTATTTTTTAAAGCAATCTATGTATTTATTTATAAAGGTGTATTACCACGTTTTCTTTGTAACATCTAAAATTTGTTCACATTGATTAACGTACATAATAAATATCTTTAATTTAGTTAAATAACATATTTTATAAATTTAATGTAAATAAATCCGAGTGAAGCTCGGTCTCCTGGTTAGAAAGTATGTGTCAGATTTTTGATATAGTTTATTTTTATTGTTCCTGAAGTTAATTTTCGAGAGCGTACCTAAAATGTCATTCTTCTAGTTTGCTTTTTCAGCAGGCTCGAGTTCCTGCCATGAAGCCTGATAGTTATTCTGTGTTGTTCCGCTCTACTGTCAGCTGATCATTCCTGTAAGGCCGGAGTGAGTTACCAAAGCCATCATGATCGCATGTCAGTTATCAATCGGAAGATAACTCGTCACCCCAGCTCAACTCGCCCCAACCCCTGCGCCCTGCGTGTGATTCTTGCGTGAGCCACAATTCATAAACATTCAGACCGGAGCTGCTGAGAGCCGCGAAATGTCAAAACTATCCAAGGTGAGCCTCTCGTGTTTAATTTCGTGTTTCATATTTTTGTTGTATTTTTATTTTATTTTACTCAATGTTTGTTTTATTTTTACTCTGTGGTAGTTGTTGGACGTAACGTAAAGTTTTGTTTAACTGTATTATATTTTTATTCCATTTTTGGTGTGCTGTTTAACAATGGTTCGCAATGTAGTAATATAATCTTTGACTATCTATATAATTAATACGCTACATGAAACTTTGTCGGTTGAATTCCTCCGCCATCTTAACCGATTTTATCCATTGACGTCTCATTGGAAAGAGCGTGTCGCGTAGATTTGCAAACTGGCCTTACATTTTTTAAAAAGTTCCTTGGGCTCTGCACCAGTATCTTTGAAAGTTACCATGTTATCCTTATGAAGAACATAATTGTTTACATTTTGATCAGCTGTGTATAATTTAATTGCTGTTATTTATTTTTCAATTCAATGAAACGCATTGAGTACTTTTCTTTACTATTTGAGTTTCCCTCTAAGACGGATCGTGTTGGTATCGTTGTTAAATTTGTGTATTTATCGATGTTTTGTGTCGCTATGACGGATCGTGTTAGCATGATTGTAACTCAAATTTGTGCATTTATCGTTGTTTTGTGTAGCTATAATTTGTGTATTTGTTGTTATTTCTTTTAAATGCCTGCGACGCGACAAAAACGAAACTATATACAGGAGACGTAATCGTGATAACGACCGCAGTAACAGAACAGTGGCGCGTAGGCTTAACTAAATTTTCGTTCTCAATTGGCCCTCTATCAATGACCTGTGTTGCCTGTACAGCGAGGCATTTTGAGAAGGAGAAAACCGACCGGAATGCTTTAGGTTTATCAATAACGAAGATAAACATGGACAACCTTTTATGGCTATAAGTCAGGAAATGTTTGTATAAAACATTAAAAAGCAATACCAGGTTATGAAATATGATATAATATTTACAGGAAATGTTGATTACTGTTACCGTATATACATCGTGAGTATCTCCATGATTTACACACCGGTAATCTTTGATTTGACTCTTTAAACTCATTGTAAATATTATGACTGTTATTCGTTTTGAAATAACTCCTGTAATACTTTGCAATTGCTCGAATTCGAGCAACATGTACACTAGTAATTTTATAATATGATAAATATTATGTAATAAGATTATATTATGCAGGTATTTTGACAAAAAGTCGATTGGCTGTAAAGGTCACTGGTCTTTTAGATGGAAGACTAAAATAAGCAAAGTTAAATATTGTACTTTTTCAAAAGCGTCGGGTTGACTATGTAACCCATTTAAACTAATTATAGTGGTTTCGTTTCATATGTTATTATATTTAACTAATTTAAGTGTAATTACAAAGAGTGTTTTTAACCGACTTCCCCACTACCAACAAAAGGAGGAGGTTCTCAATTTGTTTGTGGCAATGTTTTTTTTTTAAAAAAGAGCATTTAATTACCGCACCTTAAAGATCACTAACAGAATGAAAGTCGTTAATATACATGTATAATGTCATTTTTACACTGCATTTTCTATTAAGTCTGTTTTTTTTTTTTTTTTTTGTAAAAGACGAAGCACAAGAAATAAAGTATAAGAGTACGCCTACCACCTACTTTGTGCAAGGAAGTATGTAGCCTAAAATATGTAGGCTACGTGTATTTTTAACAATCAATTGAGGAATTAACTTACGAGGGGAGGGGGGGTCGTGGGCAAATTGGCCATTTTAACAGGGTAATGGGTTAAAATGTCAAAATTCACTTTACAATTGACATTTAATACAGCTCTACAGCCATTAATTTTATTTAGCATCACTGGACCTTTAAAAATGCCCCCTAAAAATAAATGAAAGGCTTGGGGGCGAAGCCCTAATTGAAAAAACCATTATATATATTTTTTTACTTTTTATAACACCCCACAAATTGCAAACATTTGTTGAAGAATGACGGACGAAAATAGATGTTCTAGAGAAACCCGATTGTGGATTTTAGCAAAAAACATTTTTTGAATTTTTTCAGTCCTTTGGCAAAACAACAACAAAAACTAAGCACATATCGTATAATTTACCCTAAAAATTTAAGAGAGAAACGTTAAGTCTACCCCAGTGAACTAAATCTTAACCAATGATATACAAATATATAAAGATGGTTAAGATTTTATATTCGGTAGTCTTTGCATAATTCAAATTCAATTCTTTTACTGTCAACGTACCTATAAAAGCTGTACGGTGCGCCATTTTGTATATATCTGTAGACACACACACAGACACAACACTCTCCCATCAACCTCTCACGTATACTAGCTACACCCTGGGACTGGCTAATGAGGCTTGGCTAACCGTGATGCAAAGTTTATATTCCAAAAGTCACGTGGTCAGGGTAATCACCTGTTCCTATTGTTGTAGCAGGGAGTGTCTGTGACGTCATTGTTAGCTCATCTGGTGTGTAGATAAGTTGAGACATGACGTATAACATGTAGCGTGTTAGTATGAAATTCTTGAATATTGTAGCAATAACTTTTTACAAACAATCAAAATATTGATTAATTTGGGGATGGGCAGTAAATTTGTCGCTGCTGGGATAGTTGCCTATTCAATAAAAAAGAGGAGGATTTGTTTGGGGAACGACTTAAGGGTTGCTTCAAACTACGGTATTTTTAAGCTATTACTGTGCTTATATAACTTAGGTAGTCTGTCTTTCTCACAAAAGATTTTAAGGGTTGGTTAGTGAAATTAAATCAACTCTATGTATATTTTTCAAAGTAAACAAATAGCTACAATTGAAGCTAGCTAATTGCTGTGCTAACCATATAAATCAGTATCGGTAGCTTTAACAATATTTAAAACATATTTAAAAATTAGTTAAAGCTTATCATAATTTAGATTGTTTGTAAACACACGGTTCCAAAGACTCATCATATAAAATTGCAATATTATTTATGACATTACTAGAAAAGATCAAGAATGCGATACTCAAGACTAGAGAATGTTCAGGATAAACATCGATTTGTACTTTCACAATAGCGTTTTGTTTCTCTAAAATCTTAACAGTTATAGTTTGGTACAGTTTTTTTTAGTTTGCAAACGACAGGTTAATCTTTTATTGACACCTAGTAGTCGTAATCATTGTAGGATAGTTTGTTGAGGATAATTTGTGTAGTGTTATAGGCTAAAAGATTGAGTTTGATTTGACTTTGGATAGTAACAATTTCGAATATTAGAACATAAACAGTATGGATCAAAAACGATAAACAAATGACGTCATTGTACTAATTTGACCGAATGTCCATATTAATAGCCGTAATAAAGTTGAGCCGTAACAACTAGTTTGTCCATGTTTGAGGTTTGACAGTTCCATTCCAAAAGTTATGAAAAACACATGTTTACTGTTGATCTTATAACGATGTTTGTTGGTTGCTTGTGTTGTTACCAAACGACTAGGCTTCATCACAAACAAATAATTGCTCAGGATTGAGACGAGGGATTCAGGGATTTTGTATCAGATACATAGACACAAACAACATAGAACAAGCTGGGCGTGTTTGGGCGCGTCTCATAAACAGTTATTTTGGATAATTATATAAACGGTTTGTTGAAGGAAAAAATACTAGCTCATTAAAAACATCACGAGCTTACCTCTGTAATAATTGTCTGTTTCTGTAAAGCGAAAACAGTAACCATAAATCAATACATTTAGTTCGTTTGTGCAAAGCAAAACACTTTTCAACACAACCAAAACAACCAGACCGCTATTGCTGGTATGTTTGTGCGTAAACATTGTCCTCTTGATTCAAAGACGATCGTTGACAAATCAGTTGTTATCAGTAACAAAACCACCAAGGCCTGGTGCTACAAAGAGACGGTGATCGAACCGGAAGTGTAGGAAGTGGGGAGTCGACCGGAAACAGCACCATTGTTGTGTTGGATGTAGGATGCAACAGTACGCTAACCTGCTGATTGGATATTTTCTCTGATAAGTATGTTTTATCACAAATAATTTTCGTTGCTTTAGTGAGAATAAAAATAAACGTTAATAATAGTGAAAAGGACTTTTTTGAGGTTCTAGGAAGAGGGATTTTCCAAGTATATATTTAGGCCCAAGCTAAAATTTGTACCAGCCCCGTGTTTTCAGTAAAATAATAGTAATTTGATATAGGTAATTCAATCCATTTTATGTTTATGAAAGGCATACAGTAATTTACTTGGTTGTATTTTTTTTATGTCATTGAAATAAAATGATTTCAAAATAGTTGAAGATTTTTATACATGTAGGCCTATGTCATTTTATATATTTGATCTGTAATAATTCAACCCTAAGAGTGTTTCATGCAATCAATATCATAATGTGTGATAAACTTTATGAATTAACTTTGTCTTCAAAATGAAATTATTCAATGATATTATATTATTTATTGGCAGGGCATGGGACATGGAATCAGCCGCAGAAAGAAGGAAACAAATTTGTATCTACCGAATTGTGAGCTGACATTTAGCTCTTCTCAGCTCACTTTCCTCAACTACCACCTCTCTGACCAGCTGACTAACATATCAGGTGACTTGACCATTCATCTGTTTTTAAAAGATACCTTAGAAAAAAATCAGAAAATTCAATTTATAAAATACAATACAGTACAGTATGAAGTCACTTTATGGTGAATTACACACTTTACTATTGTTACAAATGAGAGAGTTGATTTTGACACAAACCAGCATGAATAAAATAACAAAATAATAATATACTAACGCTGGAAAAGAAATCTTTCAGTGCAAAGGAGAATCATACATCCAGGGGTGTCCAGATGGGGTTTGACAGTGGTGCAAGGTGCAAGTGCTCCGTTGGGATTTTGAAAGGGGATTTTACGAGAAGATTTTATTTTACACATTACCATTAATAATGTATTAAGTTAAGTTTTTAAAATTTAAATAATTATAGGTACCAGTATAGCTTACTAAATGGTTTGATAAATAGAATTCCACTAATTTGGGGTTGTAGGGTTTAAAATAAACTTCTTCTCAGCTAGTCAATTTTAAATTGAGAATCCGCAAAAAGAATTTTTTTTATGTCAACATTTTTGGAAGACAGGTCAATATTTATGTAATGTGCAGTTGCAGCAATTAAATTTACCAGCTTTAGAAACGTTAGATATATCATAGAAATTAGGCTATATGTCATGTATGGAGGCTACAGTAAAACATCTTACCTAATTATATTAGTTTTAATTACTAGATTGTATAATGCCAAATTATTTTAGTTATCAAACAAGTAAAGAGAAATATGATTGCGAATCAGTCCCCCCTTTAAGTGCAGATGATGAATGTACACTATATGGATAACGTTAAGTAAGAAAAGTGTTTAAATTCCTCTTCCCAAAATTACCTAAGCATTCTAAAATCCTTAAACTGTATTGCAAACTCTCTGCTGGCTCCTCACTTTCCACCTGGGCCTTTAACATTGTTGTTCCACCCCATCCCATAAAGCTAGTATATTGGGTATTCTAATACAGTACTGTATACAAGTATTGTTGTATTTACAAGCTGATCTCCGCTGTGATCCTCACCATGACAGTTCTATAGCCTTGGTGGAGAGACTCATGCAGAGACTGTTGTGTGGAGTAGGCACTCTAGATCCGAGGTTCAGCTCCAAGTTTCTCATAAACCTGGACCCTACTAGACCTTCCTCTAGGGTAAGTCTAGTGATGTCAAATATGTGGTTAAACTATCAAGTGGTGGATTAATCGCTAAGGATGACAATGTGTATTTATATATTTATCATAAAATATATGAAAAATTGTTTTTATTACTCTGTACTGAAAGTTAGTTGTTCTCAATAACAGCTTATTTAGAAAAAAATGTTTCCCAATATATATTTATATACAAATGTGTCATTGGCACAATAACTCGAGCAAAAATGATCCGATTTCGATGAAATTTGGTACAAACATGTAAAACTACGTTTATTCAAACGAGTTCGCAAACCAGCATGTTTGGATCATGGGAACAGGGTTTTATGGGGTAAAAATTTGTTTTTCCCGTTTTTGACCCTCAAAGCATAACATTTCCCAATATAACTCTAGACCATTTTGAAGAGTTTAAAAAAACAAATAATTTAGCGTACGGTATTGAAATGTATATATATATATATATATATATATATATATAATTTTGTGTTTTAGCGAATTTCCCATATAGGGAATAAGCTATTACCGTAGTACTCATGGTAAGACCTGGATGCGGGACCGATTTTTTTTTTTCGTTTTGAGGTCCCTAGAGGCCAAAAACACCATCCGTTCAAATTCATATATATACATTTTAATAAATAATTTTACTTGGGTACTAAGTTTATTAATGTTTAATCTTTATTTATATACATATATATATTTATATATTTATATATATATGTGCCGTCAGCACGATAACTCGAGCAAAAATGATCCGATTTTGATGAAATTTGGTACAAACGTGTAAACGTACGTTTATTCGAACGAGTTCGCGATCCAGCATGATCAGACCATGGGAACGGGGGTTTACGGGGGGGTTTTATGGGGTAAAAATAGGTTTTTCCCATTTTTGACCCAAAAAACATAAAATTTAGCAATTTCTTTCCAAACCATTTTGTAGAGCTTAAAAAAACAAATAATTTAGTATATTGAAGCGTTATTATGCGCCTAATGGTTACGGAGAAAATTCCAAAAAATTGTAAATTTCAAATTCCCATGTTATTCTTATGGAGAATAAGTAAACTGTTGTAGTTTGCTTGTTTATGAACATATTTTGATCAAATTTGGAAAATGTTTTTATTTCTTACTAACTATTAATATTTTTAAGTAGACATTTCTGTGTAAATCCAATTAGTCAAATGGAAATTCGCTTAGTCTGCAGGTTTGCTGCGGCGGGGGTATTTGTATAGTTATTGGTTATGATGAAAATTTAAAAAAATTTAAATTTAAAATTCCCATGTTATTCTTACGATAAGTAAACTGTAAACTGTTGCAGTTTGCTTTTTTAAGAATACATTTTGATCATACTTGGAAAATCTATTTCTTTTATACTAAGCTAAAATTATTTTACTAAAAAAACACTTCATTACCTTCCCAGATGCAGCAAACCTAGGTACTCATTAAAACTAAATGTTATTGAAATATATTTGATCAAAAATCAAATCAGGGAAATGGAAATTCCCTTAGTCTGCAGGTTTGCTGCGGCAGAGGTCTAAATATAAATAGAAACAAACAAGGCTAGTTTTGCTGTGTTTTTAGTATGGTGTGTGGTTTTTTGTGTCATAATGAAAGGTGTAAAATTGTTTATAACTTGTATGGTACTAAAAGTGATTTTCTGGTAATTTCTCCAATGATTCTTGTACAAGGTGTAGCCGAGTGGAACTTTTTACCCTCATTTGCTCAGTTTTGCCTCACACAGTCACTGTGAAATTTAAGGGCATGCCGCTTTAGTTCCCCTTTGGTACTTGTAAAGAAACATATAACCTTTTTTAGAAACATAGAGCTACATGTGCTACAATGTGTTACATAATAATATATAAAATAACATCAGTACCCCTCACATGAGTTAAACTTTTTTTGCTTATTTAGCACTCACTGTTATTCTACTTTTCCTTGAAAAAGATTGTGTTGATTGATTGTCCTATGTTCACCAGAATCTGAACTACTTGGTTCGTCTGGACAATCTAAGCACTCCTCTGCTGTATCCTCAAGACTCTGAACAGTTGACGTGTTCAGTCCTACAGGCTGAAGGAGGGCCGCAGGGGTTCGCCAAGATACGACCTTCCGGCTCTCAGCTACAGGACTGGGCGGAGTTCATCAACAACAACGGATTCTTACGGAGGTAACTTCTCATTAGCTCTCTAGAGAGTGAAGCATATGTTGAAGTAATGGCAAAGAAATATAAACAAATGAAAATGTTAGAATTTTGTTTGGATACCGTAGCAGCCTTTACCTTAAAGAAGCTTTAAAATTATAATTCACACTTTACACATACAATAAATAAAGTTGCATTAGTAAATAAACCAATGGGAAGCAATTAAGCTGGTCTAGTGGTAGAGCATGTACTACAGTATGTACTAGTCTTATGTACTACAACGCTCACGGTGGAGGAAGACCCTGTGCCCTTTGTGATAGGAATTTCCGCACAGCGCTCGCCATTCGGGCTCTTCCTTGCTCGTCACTAGTATATTTCCATCTCAACATACCAGAGCTGGAAGCGCACATCCCATAAGCTTGTTCCCTATGTAGGCCTACATTATGTCTCTGTGGTCTTACCAAATATTCAAAGAACTAAGTCAGTTGATATATCAGAGGTCTACCCCCACCTGAGAACTTTGATAGCCAAACTCATAGTTAGCCATTCCAGTCTGGGGAGTCCTGTTACTGATATGTATGTCTCAGGCGTCACTTTTGTTTTTGTGCAGTAGAGTTTGATTACAATTAGCCAATCAATGCTATAGTCAACCTTCAAGTACATCACAAGTATGTTGATAGCTTTTCTTTATCCAAAGATATATGTACCAATGCTAATTTCTACTTGTTAGTTTTTTAAACAAATGTTTGAACCTTTTAAATTAGAGACAAGGTGCAAGAGAGATTTGTAGAGTTACTAGCAACTGCTGCTTCTCGTTCTTCTCTGCCTGAACCACCAGACCGCATTGATGAGTCTCGCCTGTGTGGAGCTGCGGGTAAAGTTGTTGATCCTGAGGTGGCCTTCTACCTGGCCAGTTCTCCGCCACAGAATCAGTTCTATTTTGGAACAGGTAAACTTCAAAGTTAGCTGCTAAACTTTAAAACATTATTACTGATAATTCATAATAAGATCGTAACACTTGTTCTAAATAAGCCAGATTGGTGTTCTATTTTTGCAACAGTCCGCAAGACCAATGAGAGCCTAACGATTTCATTACCAGTGGCTTCTTTTTGAGATTTTTCTTGTACTAAATTGATTACAATTTTCTATCAGTCTATATTAGAAACTTAAATTCAACTTTGTCAAAGCCTACAAGAAATAGCAGGGATAGTAATGTAATACACATTACATTTGGTTACCTTGCTTCTTTGGCCTCATGAGGAGCTGCCCCATTTCAGTCTTGGGGGAGTAAGCATTTGGTGTAATGAGTTAGACCATGAAAATAGCTTGTCTTGATATAGCCTAGGAGGGTTAGACCATGAAAATAGCTTGTCTTTATATAGGATATGGCTGATGAGCTAAGTAACAAAAGTGAAATTTGAGGATTGAAGAACTATGTCATAACTCAATTATATTCCACTAAGATTACAAGATGTAGCCTATTTTAGGTTGACAATAATTTTTGAATGTATGTCTACATTTTACTTAAATATTTTTTTTATATTCTGCTTTGCTGATATTAAACTTTACCTACAATGTTGATAAAAATGGATGTTTCAGCTGGTTAAATGTTCCTATCTCAAATATAAAAACAGAACTTGAAGAATACACACCATTGTATCCCTTGTAGTATATACAAGCTGCTATACCCGTGCTTTGCAACGGGAAGACAATGTGACCTAGAGAGCTATTCAAGTGATGCTGATGTGTGTTTTAAAATACAGCAACTCTATGATTTAGTTTGAAAATATAAACTGATAAAGTGTAATCTTACTTTCAAACCCCTACTTTTGATGTTAATAGATCCAAAAGAACATACCTCCATACGGACACATACCTTAGCATCAATTTCTTCATATTGCTGCTTCATGAATGACATGTTTTACCATAATTCTTCAATTTTAGTCAAGCCTCTTTCCATGTAGCTTACTATATAAATTACAAAATAAAAACTTTGAGCAATACTTAAACAAAACTTATACAACCTTTCTTTAAAACCAAACACAACCCTCCTCAATCTTAATTTTTCTAGTAAATAAACAAACACCAAATTGAATTATATCATTTGAACTTTGGAAATATGCCTGGGGTAGCCCTTTGGAAATTAGCCTGTGGGGCAGATCCCTTAGGAAATTTGTCCATATCAATACTTTTCGGCAAATCTACACACTAAGCTTTATTTTGATGTGCCATATATATTTTTATTTGGTAAATGACCTTAACCGTTTACATAAAATTTGATTGTATCACTTTAATAATATAATAGATGTGTAATGTATCTGTGTCTATGCACACAAAAAATCTTATAAACATCTTCCTGGTACCTTTCAGCTGAATGCCATCGGCACAGTTTTCCAGACCCACGGGAGTTCCGTTTGGCCATAGTTGAGGGAACACCCTGTGTGAGGCTAAGGGTTGGTCTGCTTCCTCCTCATTGCTACTCCACTTCTGAGGAGGATGTTCAGGTTAGACACCTGCTTAGAGGCTAAAAAATCATTTGAATTTGTAACTTTAATTATTTACCATATCAGTTATCAATTCTTTAAGGTAGCGAAACACACTTCAAGTATTTTTAGTTTAATATAAATGCAAGAGATGATCTGTGCAGCTTTGCTACTGACTAATAAGCTGTTTCTATTGCCACGGTTATTTATATAAAACCCAATGATCAAGGACAGCTGGGGCAAGATTTGAACCATCGAAATTCTAAATGATGCTAAGTTTTCTTGTGACCTGTAAATTATTATGTGGTGTGGGTACTTTGACCTCTTAGCTCCCCAGCTCTTATAGATGAAAGAAAACTGTTTGAGGAATTTATGAAATCAAAAACTCTGACAATTTTATTTCTCATGGTAAATATGTTTTTAATACTCTTAGTTTTATACAGCTACTGAACATTTTTTAAGATTGTGAGTTGACATTGATGTTTCTGTCTATAGGTTACCCTGACGCTTGGCATCGGCTTCACAGGATGGCCTCAAAATTGTGACTTCCCCAGCCGAGTACCTCTATATCATGTGGACGCTCTGCTTTACCATCAAGCTGCTACTTTGGTAACTACTCAAATTTGGCCTACCAATAGTAAAATTAGAGTTTTCTCTGTATGTTGGAGTTATGTTATGACTAGTTTGTCTATTTTACACTGTAGGGAAGTAAAAAAAGACAATTTTTTTATTTATATTTGTGTGTAAAAACATGAAATAATAAAAACAACTGCCTTTCACAGAACTTTTTTATTAAAATCATTTTAGGGTTGTGATTATTACCTATTGCTTTTTTAAATAAGGAAGCAGTCTCACTTCGGTCTAAGTTGAAACACATCATCATTATGTATTGGTTATACCTTTGTATACACCACAGCTATAAATTATAACTATAAATTCAAAACCGTAGGTAGAATTTTAGCCTTTTGAAGCCAATATGTTAGAAAGTTAATTAAAAAAAAACATGCATGCACCTAGATAAAGTATGTTTATACCAGAGAGCTATATTATTGATACAATTGCTTGCACATTTGAGGGTTTCTACCTGGTCCCAGCGCCACCCCATCCCACTACTCGGTGTGATGACCGCGCAGCTACATGGCAGTTCAGATTCCCGGCCGCAGAGTGTGCTCTGTTGACTCACTATGCAGCACACAGCACGCCCGCACGTGTACTGGCCGTCCTCAGAAGTTTACTCTGCGATCTACGCAGGACCACCAACGGTTAGTTGCCTGACTTAACTGCTAGTATTATTTATATATTCAGAAATTCTGTTGAACAAAATTTAGGAACTAACCTCTATAGTAACTCTATAGTAATTCTACTTTTAAAGGACATTTGGTTCTGTATCTATCGTACAGTTGAATATATTTTTTTTCATAATGGAGAAATATGTATTTATGTTTTTGTTTGCAAAAGAAATAGAAAGTAAATTTTTGACCATTGTTACCTAGAGAAGTACTGATTGCATATTATACAATTCTAAAGTCATAAGTATTTTTTCATGTTGCATGATAATTTGATGCCTAGTATTGGATTTTGTTGTCAATAAAGCACTTGTTCAATACCTATTTCGCTTTTGCTTTGTTTACAGGAATCCATAAAAACTACAACAATGACACACATTGTAAAATAGTTTTCATTACTCTACACACGAAAGTACACTTTCTAAACGTAAAATGAGCTAAGAAAATGGGCTATTCCCGCTACTGCACAGCAAAATTACATAGCATTAACTTTCTGTGCATTTGTGCTGGTACACGGAAAGTATGGGATTTTGCAGTGCAGACCGATCAGCTGTTGCACTATTTGCTGTTGCATTGTGTTTTGTACCTCGACATAAGCACGAAAACTCAGTGTTATGAGTTCGGTTTTTTTCTTGATACTATTTTGAATAAACAAAAATATTCATTTTGTTTACAAGAGTTTTTAGATATTCTAATGATGAAAAATAATGTTCAATACTCGTCTCAAGAGTGCCATTGTAGGGCTCGATAGTTTTTTTTTTTTGGAAATGCAATTTCTCCCCGCAATAAGAATCTCTCTTTAAATGCCGAAATGGTTACTGAATGAAATGTTTACAGTAGTAATTTTCGTTAACATTTTATACTTAATCATTTAATGTGTTTTAAAGGTGGTCAGGTGATCAGTGACTACATGCTCAAAACACTGCTTTGGTTCCGACTGGAGGAAGACAACGGTTCGTTGATTGGCATCCTACAGGACTGGGACCACGACAAACTGTCCTTTCACGTCCTGGTAACCAAACCTTACTAGCTATCATTGAAAATTTAACATAATTTTGTAGGTAAACCTATACACAGACTAAAACAATTATGTTTCATTACAAGTACTAAGAGTGGCATTTTCCGGTGTACGATCGAGTTTCATGTGTGAGGGAAAGCCAGAATCAAGAACATCAAATCTGTTGTTGGAGGTGAAGCCGAGTGAGGATGTGAATAATTGGAGCGAGTGCTGGAAAATCACTTTTAATACATGTTTGACTCTTTTAAATAAAATCAAAAATACAAAAAAAACTTATATAATGGAAAACTTTGTAAAATTAAAATTATCAAGCAAAAAAATCACCAGGCTATGTTTAATCTTTATTAGAAGGGCTTTTGTAACCTTTTGAAGCTTTTGTTCTTCTAATTGTCAGACATACGTTGGAGGAAGCTTAAACTCGCACTATGTTAAAAACCACCAAAACTAGCTTTATTAATTTATTTTAACATTTATTTAGATTATATTCTTAAATAATAAAAACAGCTGATTTAAACTTTTTTAAGTTAAAGAAACGCTCAAATGTGCAAAACTGAGCAAATGGAGAACTGATTGAGAGCAAGCAAAAGTAAATTTAGAGCATAAAAGGGGAAAAAATCTGCTGATTATTTTTCACTTTCTCTCAAATTATATTGTTTAAGTGCTAAAAGCAACAATTTGTTATACAATATATACAGGGTGTTGAAAAAGTCTTAACACACCCTAAAATAAATTAAACGGCGTAAGATCAAATTTTGCAACTTCAACATATCATTTGATGACTTTCCTAGCTTTTTGCAAGACATCAAAATTTTGCCCCCCTCCCCCTTTAAGGGTAGATAGGGGTAGCTAAAATTTTCAAATATAAAGGCCCATGTTGTGACCCCTCAGCAAATTTGAACTCAAACGGTTTACCGAGTCAAAAATGACAGCCGTTCAAAGATATATTGAATCTGCCATTTTGAATCTTTGAACGGCTCTAATCTTTTTACTCAGTTTTGTTCTTTTTGAGGTTGAGCTCAAAATTGTGGCATTGTACTCTACAAATTAAGACCTTTAATTTGATGTGCATATTGACCTATCCATACTTTTATGATTTTCCTCCGACTTCAGTGGGCCACCTCCATGTGTACGCTACGCATAACTGAATTAGGGGTGTTAAAATCATACACGTATGGATAGGTCCATATGCGCATCAAATTAAAAATCTTAATTAGTAGAATACAATGCCACAATTTTGAGCTCAAAAGAAAACTGACTAAAAGATGAGAGCCGTTCAAAGATTCAAAATGACAGATTCAAGATATCTTTGAACAGCTGTCATTTTCGACTCGGTAAACCGTTTGAGTTCAAATTTGCGGTATTATATTCTACTAATTAAGACCTTTAAAATGAGGGGTAACAACATGGGTCTTTACATTTGAAAATTTTTAGCTGCCCTTAAGGGGGAGGGGGGGAAAATTTGTATTTCTTGCAAAAAGCTAGAAAAGTCATCATACAAACACACCCATAACACACCCAAAACGGTATAAGATAAAATTTTGCAACTTCAATATATCAGTATATTATACTGATATATTGAAGTTGCAAAATTTTATCTTTTGCCGTTTAATTTATTTTTGGGTGTGTTAAGACTTTTTCAACATCCTGTATATGCTGGGCTATTATCATACAGTTAACAATCAATTAGCCTTGCCATAATTATTTATTTGTTTGTATTTTATAGAAAAAATTATACTTTCTATATGGAGTTAGGAATAAAACATTATCAAAGCCCTTTTGATTCATAGGTAATCCTGGACCAGCTGATCAATGGCTTACGAACACAGCGTCACAGGTCGTACTGGTTCCCTTGGTTCAACGTGATGTTGAGCGCTCCTGGTGGTGGGACCATGCATTACACGGAGGAAGACTACAGCCATGACGCGGAGCTGTTGGTTAGCCTGTTGCATCGTCTGCACGAACATTCTCATCAGCCTCTCCTACCGTCCCTGCACACCCTGGAGCCCTGGCAACTGCTGGACTCCCGTCTCATTGGCAAGTGGCAAGACGTCCTCATAGCACTAGCCCCACCTTCTGCCACCAGGTAGATATCCCACTTTTAATAATATATTTTTTATCATGCCTCTTTCCCAGGATTATTTATGCCATTATTGGGTTACAACATTATCACTTATAAAATCCATTGGGTGAATGGCGAGATTTGAACCCCACGCTCCACCACTGGACCAGCTTACTTCCCACAGTTAGACACTATGTGTGCTATGTTGTGATAAACAGTCTCGGTGATAGAAAACCCCAGAGAATTTGTGAAAAGTTGATCTCCTAAGTGTTGATTTTTTGTAAGCTGAGTGGTTATTGTTCTCCCATAGCAATCAGTTGCCAATTGAATTCTGAGAAAAGGTCGCTTATTTGATGGCTCTAACTAAACTATACCCAGCTGCCTTTAATCGGACTGAATTAATATACAAACTATATTAGCAAGTCTAAAGTTGGTTTAAACCAGAGTTATAAACAAAATGCTTTTATACATTATTTGCTTACAACAAAAGTGTTACATAGACCCACTAATAGTAACAATATTTTAGAGTAGGCTCTCTGCATCTTAGTAACTTCAACATTATATGTATATGTAATATTATGTGATACTGTGTAATGTTTAACAGATCACGCAGACTAGGGTTTGTGTCCGGCCACAACAGTGCAGCAGCTTCACAATACTCCACAAGACAACTGGAATATGTGAGGCTCATCTTGCGAGGCATGCTCACTGTACGAGCACTCACGCTCTACCAAGTGAGTGTACAACTAGTACAATCAATATTTCCTTGTCCTTGTCATACATTACCCTACATGCATTTTAAGCTAAAGATACTATTTGAAATTTACAAACATCCTGGAAAAAATAGTACAACAAATTATTCAAAAAGAGTGAATTGGTCTTTTCTGTATATTATTCTCATCATTTTGCTATACGTGCAACCCAACGTTGAAAAATTGTGAAAACGATCAGTGTAAACAAGAAATCTTTAACTATTACCTTTTTTGTTGCCTGTAAGAAGAAGTTTGTTTATCACCCTATACAAACGTCTAGCTCAACCCTATACAAACGTCTAGCTCAACCCTATACAAACGTATTAATCATCTAGCTCAAGAACACATGCAAAAAATGTAATTCAAGTTCAACTAATGTCATTCAAGTTCTTGAACCTGGTATGAGAAAAAAAATGACCATGTGCATGCTATTGCATCGACAGATCAGGATTTTCAGTCTTATTGGCAGTAAATTGTTCTGGAATCTAAATAGTGAAAACTTTGAACTTGCAATTGTCATGCATCATCTTTTACAGGGTCAACTTTTCCCGAGTCTGTTCAACAACAACAACAACAACACTATTTCTGACACAGTTGAATCATCAGAGGATCTTATATACCTCCTCTCATCGATCTTGGATCAAGCGAAAATTCTTCATTCGTCAAAGAAAAGTGATTTTAAAGCTAAGAGGTCAGTAAAGTCGTATTCACGTGTACCAAAAAGAGACTCTGGCAAACATCTTGATTCTTACGAAACAGCCGTATCAAAACTGACTGATGAAGTCAGGAAATCTACATCAAGCGATTTGTCAGTGGACTCAGTTTTAGTGAAGGAGTTACTAAAGTGGCTTTACCACGGAATGGACACTGATCGTCGACACCTTTCGCCCATCTTGAGACCTTTCCTGAACCGACTATTTACAGTCTCTCATGAAAGTTGTTGGCACATCGAGGAGTGGAAAAGGAGACAGGAAAATCAAGAACTGTTCGCACTCGGTAGATTTTCCAAACTTGTGGTGGAAGACGGGCTGTCACCAAGGGATGGGATTGCGGACGCTATTCGAAAAGGTAAATTTAGTACTGATTTTCTCAAAATGTACCTTATTATTTCTTAAGTTTTCCTTGTTATATTTATTTCTGTGACTAAAATACATCTGGGAAATTATTTTGACATGAAGCTTCAAATGGAGACATACATAATTATTTCCCACTTAATACCATTTTTATGTTAAACTTAAGATGATTGACAAAATAAAAATAGTTATAAAGTACCTTGTCCCTTAACACGTTCGCTGGTGAGTGGTCCAAATCGCCTGGTGCCGGCTGAGCGCCAGGTGCTGCGTGGTTGTGAGATCGGCCGTTCCCGTGATTAAACTTTGAACAGTCAGTGTGAGCTCAGCCATTGACGCGGAACGTTATAGTCGTTGCCAGCCTGTAGCTTAGAATGCGAGCTTTATTTTGGTGTAGGTTGGTAATACAATTTTCCATAAAATCCCGTCTGGCAATGCTTTTGTCCCAGTTTTGGGGATATTCTCTCTTCGAGTCACATTACAAAGACACTGGCTACGGATCCAGTCAGTGTTGCTACCCTTGGGTGTTTCAGGGAACTAAGTCCACTCTCGGGGTAACGCAGCACAATCACCACTGCTCTTTTGTGATTAGTCACACTGAAATATCACTTCACAGTCATTGGCGAGCGCCTGTTTGATGTATGTGACAGTGAATGTGTTAACGAGTAGAACAACGCTTGTGTTAACTTGCTAAATACATTCACAACATTTTTGTCTTGCAAATCATTAAAGAGTGGTTGATGATTGTTGCTAGGATGGCTGTGGGCGGAGCGTGTGATAGACTCAGCAGCCAATCACAGTGAGGGGGTAGAGCTTGTGTTTACCCCCTCCCCTGGTCGAGTGCTGAGGTACAGAGTAAGGCTGCATCAGCAGAGCTCCAGCTTCAGCACAAGGAGTCTTGGAAGAAATATCAGCTTCAGCAAGTCAGACCGGAAACTTAACTTCTCTACACTTCCTCGACACACCAATGGTATAAAAGGTACTTAAAATGTTACATGCAGACTATATATTGGTTGTAAGTAAAAATTATATAATATATACTTGACACCCATTAGTTCTCAATAAAAACCTGTTAAAAAGTTTTCCCGTACAGAAAGTTTCTAATTTTGGTTCATTTGAAATACTAGAAATGATTGATTTAACATGTCTCCTTAGTCTCAAGTCAAAGAAAAAGAGTACACCAGTGTTTGTGGGTTGTAAGGTAAATCAAACTTAATTGTTTTTGGGTTTCATTCAATCATTTTATCGGTTTCATTTGTTTGCTCCAGAGCTCTTGAAGTCCAAGCAGGACAGTACAGATACATTTGACTCTGTTCATTGCCAACTCAGGTCATCCAACCCGATAGCAAACGCTGTTGACTCTCAAAGACGCTACGGCACTCATCGTGGGATTGGCAGCATTGTTGAAGCTCTCATCACACTCAACAAATTCTCAGTGAGTGCTCAAAGTCTAACTGCATTACAGAACACAATTTTTTTCCAACCACATGATTGTAAAACTATAATTAAACCTGCTTGGAGTATGTCTAAGCTGTAACCAATTAAATCAGTTCATTATTGAAATGAAATCATATTCTGGAACTGGTTTTCTCAGTCATGGAATAGTTATTTGTGTACCAAGAGCACGTCAGTGCCCCTCAAGAACTGTAGATGGAATCACGAAGCTTTAGCCGAGAGTAGCCATACATTTTGAGAGCAGCGATGACTGTTTGTTCTTGTAATACACAACATTTTTTCCTACCACCATAATTAACTTATTATAACACACAGATTGACTTTTTAATTGTATATAAAATGTCATTTTTAAGTTATGTTTGGTTTTTTAGTATATTATTTGCAAACAGGATGTTTAGTGTTTTATTGAGACGCGATCAGTGAAATCAGCTGATTTAGCGAGTGGAAATGGAATGATAAAAACAAGTTGTTTTACGATGTATATAAGGATTTTTTTGTTTGAATAACAGTTTAAACTCACCTAATTTAAAAAAAATTTCAACTGTAGCCTTTTGTAGCAAAAATTTTAGTTTTTAAATTCACAGTTCATGGGAAAAATACCTCGTATCACTAGACCTCTATGTGTTGTATGCCCTTTGTTATGCTTTGTTTAAGATTATATGACTGATTTTTGTATATTTTACACTAAACAGGTTAAACATCTAAATCTACACAGTAGAAAGAGAAACTTTTGAACAATATTTTTTCCTTTTATTAATTTAACTGCACCTTTATACATCCTAATTTTTAAAATTAGGAAGAAGTACTCTCTATGACAACTTGCAAATCATCAGTCTAAAATCTGACCAGGTTCTACAAGAAGTGTCTAACCTATTACCAGAGGATGAGCGAGCGCAGGTGTTGGATGACATTCAGCGAGTGAGCAAAGTACGGCGGAGGGGGAAAGGTCGAGGTAGAAGGGGAGGGGGGCAGCCCACACAACGCTACACTCCCCTACAACCACCTACTACATGCTCATCTGAGAACTCAGAGTGGTTAGCTGAACTGCCATCTACCAGTAAATCACTCCTAGGTAAATGAAATTGCCATAGTTGTGGACGATTCTGTTACACTACCACTACCACTATGGTTGTTTCAGGTTTAAATGTTAATTATCAAAATCTTGTTTAGAATTTAAGCTATTTTAGAAGGGTTGTGACCTTTATGTACCATTAGACATCATTATGTGTATTAAATAAATTTATATGAATTTGTTCTATTGGTTTTATTCTGTAAATATTTTCCTCAGAATAAAATAATATATATTTGTTATACATTGCTGTTAATTTGGCTTGTTTCAAACTTACTCCTTTAAGATTCAACCTCATCACATGTCCTACACAGTAAATATCTTGTTTTAGATAACTCTGTATGTCTAAAAGCTATCTACTACGTTACTATAGTTTATAATGTCAAATTTATTTCAGGGACTTGTCGTGAAGCGAGGCAGAGGCAGGGACATACTTTAATTTACAATTCCACCTTCTTTGAACCCTCTTCTCCACCGAATCCTCTGGGCCAACCTCTTCTTCGGCTTACCCCTGACAATAGACTCACCCTGGAGACCTCTCACGTTCACCACAACAAGATCAAGCGAGCTCATAATAAGGAGATGGTCACAAAGCTATGACTACTCATCTTTTAATAAAAAGTATCCCCAATACTTGTTTTGTTGTAAATAAATTATTTTTCTGAAATGTTTCTTTAAATGATGTATTTTCCTGAAACAACCCTATAAAAGTAATTAACAACTATAAGTGTGTTATACAGGGTGGCGCAGATGGATCGGGTGGTTTTAAAATACTTGTCAAACTGTCAATTTTAAAGGACGCATTCTTGGAGTCGGTCCTTGAGGTTCCGCATTGCTCGCTCAAGCACATCACCAGGAATTGATGTGATTTCGCTGTGAATTGAAGCCTTCAACTCCTGAATGGTCCGGGGTTTGTTCATGTGGACCCTTGCTTCAGGAGTTGAAGGCTGCAATTCACAACGAAATCACATCAAATCCTGGTGATGTGCTTGAGCAAGCGCTGCGGAACCTCAAGGACTGACTCCAAGAATGCGTCGCTCGAGAAGAAAGGCATTTGATGGATGTAATTTAAAAAAACTAACTTAACTAATTTTTGTCAATAAACTTCCATTGTAACTACACGTTTTGCACTTTATTTCAATCCAATACCTTTTAAATTGACAGTTTGATTTTAAAACCACCCAATCCATCTGCGCCACCCTGTACAGTCATGGTGAAAGTGATGCATCCATCTATCCATCTAGATTCTAACTTATATACAGTGTACTAAAAACAATAAGGGTGTTCTCTGTAACATCCCTTTTCCAGCCATCATACTTAACCGATTTCTACAATTGACGTGCCATTTTAAAGTCAATGATCTAGCGAAGGGACAAATGGTAAAGAAAAGGGTCCTTTCATTTAGAGCTTTGCGCAGTGGCAGCGACAGCGGGGGGGGGGGCGAGTAACAGCCAGGAGAATTCGTGAAATTTTACCGGGACAACGACCAAGGCCCGCGACAATGTGACGGGCTGTGCCACACAGGCCTCCTATCATAACAATATTTATGTGAAAATTACTATACGTTTTTATGACAAAAATTTGTTAAAACCAGTATAACTTACAACTCTAGTAGTTTACAACAGCTAAACTGATATTAATTACTTGACCGATCGATAGAAATTCTTTACTAACGAAAAAATCCATGAGAAGTATGAAGAATATATCAGGTATGCGGGTTGCATCAACTGTCCTCGTGGACTGCGTAAAGGGGCTATAATAAGGCCGTTAGAACGGGTATGACCCCGGCTGGTCACATGAGAGAGTCCTCTATGCTGATTCAACTAAATGAACTTGACAGTTTTTAAGGATCAAATCGGCAAATAAACCTAGGAGGCTAGGACACTAGCTAATAAATAATTCAATTCTTTCATTGATACTACTATTAGGAGACACACTTTCGGGGTAAAAATATATGCACTCGAGTTTATGAACTAAAATATCTTTGAGATGGATGATTCGATTTTGTTGAAACAAGAGTTAAATATAAGCTAGTTTAAATATTTTACGTGGTAAGAATAAAAATTTCTGTTTACTAGACAAATTTATATAATTGAAAAATCATTAAAAATCCGGGGTTTTAAGAAACTCTTCACGAACACTGAAATTTAAAATTTAATTATAAACAAAACCACAAAACCAATCTTTCTGAAATTCTTATGGCTTGGTGGGTTTATTGTTATCATTTTCATACATCTAGCTGATACTTCAGTAAAACCTTTTATATCGGAGAGGATTACGCTCACAAGATTATAATGTTACGCTTTTGCCGTGATATTGTGCAGGTGTCGACGAGAACATTTCCCCGCGGGAGAGGATGACGATGTCTCCACGGCCGCGGGAGATGTTTTCAATATTTTTCCGCGATTGCGGAAGACGATAATGATGTCCACACGACCGCAGGAACTTTCAGGATTTCGCTGCGATAGTGGAAGACCATACTGTTTCCTTGACATTGCGTGATATTCTAGATTTTGACGCTATTATGGTGATGACGGGAAGATACGACATAATTTTTTCGCGATTGCGGAACAAATGATGTTTCCTTCACAGTGGGGCGCTGGAGATATAAGGGATTGGGCCGCGAACACGGGAGATGATGATGATGTTATCTGATGATGTCGTAGGGTTGGTTGCAATCACAGTGGACTATGATAATGATTCCATTGCTAAGTATTTACAATTTTGCCGCGATCATGGAAACGATGATGATGCCTCGGTCCTCGCAGGAGATGCCTTGCCAAGAAATAAAGGTCAAGTTTTAGGCGGAAATACCTTTAATAATGTTATTAAAGATTATTGGTAGAGATAACTAAGAAATAAAGAGCAAATAACTAAGAATATTTGCAGATGTGTTCTTTTCCTTAATCTTCCAAGTTTAGCAATCTCTGGGATAGTATTTTATTTTTTTAGACATGATTAGTTTTAATCGAGACCTAGGCGTATACATTTACAACAGCAAACACTTTGAATACCATTTATTAAAACATTAAAATACACTAATTTCCCTATAGCTCCCCAATAAAGATACAAAAACACATTAAATATAAAAATTGTAGCTAATTGTAATAAGGGCTACAATGTGGTTTGTAATAAAACCTATGTTGCCATTTGAATTTTTTTGAGATAACAACTTTTGAAACTCCAAAAAGTTTGAAAATGTGTAACATAAGTAAAAAGTTAGGAAAAGGGTTGAAACTTCCAGTCTTTGAAAGCTCATTTAGCAATAAAAGTGTTATCAAAATTTGAAACCCCCACGAAATTCTATATTTTGGCAGCGAAAAGTAGTTTAAAGGTCTATTTTTTGTACGTATTTAAACACCTGTAAATATGGATGAAAATAATTTCAAACTTTTACTTTCTCCCCCTATAATACCATAGTATATGGAGAAAATATTGTTTTCGACTTTCGTCAAAATTTTCGAGTTTGAGTTTTGAGTGGATATATTCGTTTTGGGTCCCCCTAGACCAAAAAAAGTGGTTTTCGAAGTGATGTCTCTGTGTGTGTGTGTACGTGTGTCTGTGTGTCTGGATGTGTACAGAGCTAGGGACTACACCTGTGGTCCGATTTCGATGAAATTTGGTATGTAGGTTCTAATCCATGATATCTCCAGGCATTTTTCCCCTTTTTTATGAAATTTTGATATTTAATGGGGATTTTCCCATAAAAACCCATAAAAAAAACGGAAAAATCGGATTTTCTCAAAAATGGCCTGAACGATTTTGATAAAAATTTAGTATGTTGTAGCCCTTTAAATTCTGAACAAAATTGTACAAATCCCATTTCTGTATAAATTAGGGTTCAAAAGTTATTGTTAATTATGTTATTTTCCCATAACCCCATAAAATAACAAAAAATAGGATTTTAGAAAAAAATCCGGTTTTGATTTAACATAGTATGTTATGGTCCTTACAATTTTGATAGTTTTTTTTATTTTTTAGAAATTTGGATTTTTAAAGGGGATTTTCCAATAAAACTCCGTAAAATAACGGAAAAAAAGGATTTTTCCAAAAATGGTCCGAACGATTTCGATAAAAATTTACTATGTTATAGTCCTTTATTATATTCTGAACAAAATGGTACAAATCCCATTTCTGTAAAAATTACGATAAAAAAGTTATTGTAAATTATGTTATTTTCCCATAAAACCCCGTAAAATAACGGAAAAATCTGATTTTCCCAAAAATGGCCCGAACCATTTTGATAAAAATTTAGTATGTTATAGTCCTTTAAATTCTGAACAAACTTGTACAAATCCCATTTCCGTATATTTACTCTCACCGCTTACACATGATAAAGGTTGTTGACAAATTTATGGGAGAAAGTATGTTTCAGAATGCTGATACCGTTTATTTTCCCATGTTTTTTTCCACTAAAATACTCAGGAATCAAAGACCTTTAAAATGAGGTATAACACGGGCACTGACCCCCTTTACATTTAAAAATTTCCTAAAATCCACCCACACCTCCCAAAATCTGCCCTTTAGGGTGCTTTCTTTGGTTTGAAAATAATTTAGCTGAATTCCTTGGGGTCAAAGTATGGGGTTCCAGTTGCAATTAGGTTTCTATTTGCTTTCATATTGGAGTTATAGAAGCCGGACGGGTGGTCTGGGACACTCTGTATGTTTATATATATATATATATATATATATATATATATATATATATATATAAACAAGTTCAAATTGCGATATGACCTACCGACCGGCACTACATGCTGTGAAGTTAAGTGTATTTGAATGCTGCGAATCTGCGTTAGAGAAAAGAAGAAAAACTTTCGCTCTCGCCATCTTAGATTCGGTATTGGTATTTTGTGCGTGTGGTATTGTTTGTATTTTGTATTGTAATTTTTGTTGTATTTACGCATTTCCAGCGGTACTGGCGTCCGTTTTCGTACGGGTTTGTTGAATTAATTTGATTGTTAAATCTTGCTATCCCGTTCTCGTTAGCGTGAACAAATACAACGTGCTCTGCTCACTGTCAACACTTGGGCAGATTACATTTTGGAACTCCTGGTTTTTGGTTTGTAGGCCTAATAACTCTCAGTTCCAAGCTTCAGTGGAGGGATTCTAATAACTAAGTAAAAATGGTAAGTTTGGTCTTCAGCTTGTGCAGTTATGTGAATAAAAGGCTATTATATTCAAATTAGTATTGTTAGTTTAACTTCCACTTCGCCGGTGTCTAAGCCTAGGCCTAGCCCAAAGTTTGTAGGGCTATGACAATGTTTTTGTACCAGATTTACACGTGTTGTGATTTAGGCCTTCAATTTTAACTCTCCGAGTGGCCTTTACCCCTCTTAGTAACCCTCTGAGTGGTCAACTGGCCGTACACTTATCATCGGTTGGTTTGTGTCCAACATTTGTTTTACGCAGCTGGCCTAAAACATCAGGTAGGCCTAGTCTAGCTTAACTTAGGCCTATTAGGGCCATAGTCACAAAATGGGATAGTATGGATAGTAGGCTAGGCTACTAAAAATGTTAAATCAATAGCCTGGTGGTAGGCCTAGGCCTACCATGAAAACCCTAATATGATGACCCTTGCCTACAGTAGCCTAAGTTGAATTAAGTTAAGCTTACTTAGTTCAACAAATCTTATCCTATTTGAAGGTTAAAAGGTAGCTTACACTTCCATAACTTAACTTATCTGTTGGCACAAACAACCGAATAGGCCTATATTATTGATTAATTCTTGATTGTTTAATTCGATAAATTGTTTGGTTAGTTAGGTTAACCTTACCTAACTAACCAAACGATATACTGTATCTAATAATCTAATAATATCTAATAATCTAACGAATAATCTATATATTGATCAATAGGCTATTATTCATTTGGTTGTTTGTGCCAACAAATATGGAAGTGTACCCAGGTTAAATGTTTATCAACTTATGAAAAGGTGATCTAAACAGCTCCACTCACGGTACTGGACTGTTTGTGAGTGGACTGTTTATTTAATACAATCATTGAAATAGCTCCTACAGTAATTGCGTCAGTGGGACTGCACGCATCATTTCGAGGTTATGTTCGGTGCACATTTTGACAGCCCACCCAATTTTGTAATTTGCAATTTTATTGAAACCTATAGGAAAAATATGAGTAGCCTAAGTTACCGGTACCGGTATCCGAACTGTAACATAATAAAGGTACCGGTATCCGAACTGTAACATAATAAAGGTAACGGTACTGCATGTTTCTCCTACTTTTTATAAAATTAGAAATCCAAAATACCTCAGAGGCTAGTTGGTTATTGCTGAATAACAAGTAACTTCACACATTAGGGTGAATGTGGGTAGGCTATTTGTGAACTGGGGGAATTATGAACTAGGGCTGTAATTTCTTAGTGTATTGTTGATTTGAGTAGAAATCAATGTTTTATGTTTACCTATTTGGTTTGTTTTCTATACAGGATAAAAACTAGAAAGTTAAGAGCTCCTCTTGGCATTTTTTTTAGGTTGAATAAAAAAACTTGCTTTTTTGTTGACAAACAAGTTGCGTAGACCTTAACAAATTTTTTTTTGTGAAAATTAAAAGTCAGATTGACATGAAAACCAGTCATTATGAAAGAATTTCAAATGTATAATGCATTATATATCCTCCAAACCCTTCTTGTAAGCAATTTTCTTTTTATTTTATCAAATTCACGATTACCCTCAACATTTCACTATGTGGGGGTAATTGTGAACGCTGTTCACTTTTACCCCGCCTGTAAAAAAAAAACACAGATTACTTACAAGTTCCCAGGTTATGTTCCAGTTTTTGAGATGTAGGCGAACAGGACAGTTAGTCTGTAGGCACATCTGTTAGTGATTTCATTTCTAAATAGGCTAGTTTTTTAGGATTTTCAAGATAGGCCTATAAAAAACATTTTAGTACAACTAATATTTTGTGTAGCCTAAAAGGAAAGTGCCTAATTATTTTATCTAACCAAGGCACCTAGAGTCGGGACCACGTAAGTTTGCAGTTGGTGGCAGCCAATCACAAGACAAGGCTAAGTGCAACGTTGCCACATCGCACCAATAAAATATACTAAGCAATATTTTCAAATCAGCTGGTATTATTAGATTTGGCAACACCGCACGGTTCTCATTGGTTCATTCAAACCCATATGGTAAATAGGCTCCTCCCTCAACTGCAAACTTCTATGTGGTCCTGACTCTAATTTAGTTTTCTTTTCTAATGGTTGATTGTTTACAGTAGCATTTTAATAATTGTAAGAAACAAATTTCTGCTCTTTCGTTGATTAAAGTGAGATTATTTTGTCATTTCCTTTAAATTTTTACTTTACTGTATCAAATAACTAGGTACCGGTACCTACTCAATATTATTTTCTCTTGTATAAGAATACTATTTTACCCATTAAATACATTAATTTTAATCATTCTGACCATTTTTTTAAATTTTTACATCTACCTGATTTTCTAATTATTTCAAAGTACCACGGAAAAATCTCATTTGCACGCTTATTTTTTGTCACATGCCATTGAAAGTGGGGAATTTGTGAACAGTTTGAATTAGGCTTTAATCACAATTCCCCTCCTATGCTGTAGTATGTAACTTAATGTTTTCTGAACTGAGTTCACATTTACCCCAAAATTGTAGGCAATGACTAAATAGGGGATGAAATCGGCTTATATGAAATATTAAGCCCAAAATATGTATAATGCTATAACACTGATCACATTTTTAAAATTGCTTACAACTTCCTTATAAATTGTGTTTATCTGAAAAATTTGTCATTGGCGTTCACAATTACCCACGTTGACCCTACTACTTAATAAGACTTTGCTGATTCCGCGCGAATTACTTTTATTGCCGATTTGGCAGGCTCTCTCAGTTTGATGTTCTCTTACTCTAATCATCATCAGACCCAATACTGTAGGCAAAAGATTTGCCTATTGAGTCTGTTGATGATTGGCGTGTCCAATCGATATCGATCACCACTTACCGTCTTGTGAGTAACAGTATAGCCTAAGCGTATAAATATATGTTTTAAGTGTTATAAGACGTACATCTTTCATTTAATTTCCTTCCAAACCATTTTGTAGAAAAAAAAACAAATAATTTTATATATTGAAGCGTTATTGGGCGCCTAATGGTTATGGAGAAAATTCCAAAAAATGTAAATTTAAAATTCCCATGTTATTCTTATGGAGAATAAGTCAACAGTTGTAGTTTGCTTGTTTATGAACATAATTTGATTGAATTTGGAAAATACATTTATTTCCTACTAAACTATTAAAATTTACAAAAAAAAAAAAACAACTTTTATACCCTCCCTGTTGCAACAAACCTAAGTAGGCTACTTGTTAAACTAATTCTATTTAAATAGGGAATAAATGAGATATTTTTGTGTAAAACCAATCAGGCTAATGGAAATTTGCTTAGTCTGCACTGCAGGTTTGCTGCAGCGGGGGTATTTATTTAATTCCCTAAGTTATATCCTAGAACTGTATTTTTAATACTGTATGCCTAAATATGTGTCTATTAGGCATTTAGGCAATGTTTGAAAATCTGAACAAATCGGTAGGGGAGACCGGAGACACTTGATATACAGTTTTTTAACTTTTATTTTTAGATTTGTTATTATTTCTCTTAAATACTTCCAACCAAGCTTATTTGATGAATTAACACTTCCTTTATCATTTACAATTTATTTAACATATAAAAGTAACATTTTGTATTTAAAAAAAAATCTATTTTAATGGCAATACAGATTGTATCAAGTCTCTTATAGCAAAGCTTGTGTATTTGGCCAGGGAGGATCATACAGAATGGCCAGCGACCAACACGTATCATCCAAGGGCCATAGCATATATGTATTTCTATCTTATATTGGTCTAATTTAATAACAACCAACTAATTTTACAGTCACACACAATCCTTCTCATCCAACCTGGTAACAAGCCGGAGACAAGGACATACTCGGACTATGATTCTGTCAACGAGTGCATGGAAGGTGAGATTCTGCGTTAAAAATTTATCAACAGGATATATAATACTAATAAAGTGTCAGTATTAGGCTACCTTGGTAATAGATTGGGGCCTGAAGTTACTACGAATAAGTTAGGCCTACTCTATTATATTTTTAACGCCATCAGAACTGTTTGAACGAGCAAATGAAATAACTACCTCGCTGAATAGAGTCTTCCTATTAACGACTTGCGGGTCTATCCTGTCACTACATTTTCTGAGAGCGACCACCTTAAATAAACGGTGCCTGACTTGGGTGGAATTTGACGGTCTAATGAGTTTAATAAGGATTGCACACAACACCTGTTTTGCTAAAGATTTTTAAATTGGTGGTAGGCTATAGGAGGAGTACTCAGATTTTTATTTGACTCATTACGTTGGTTGAAAATGGTCGGACATATTGTATTAAATTACATGATTAAATGCATTTACAAAAAATATTATAGGCTTAAGTTAAGAAAAAAGTACTACTTAATAGATAAAAATTCAGTCGATGGGTTAACAGTGAGCATCACAAAATAATAGTACCGTTAGGATATAGATACTGAGATTGACCATTTTATTTGTGCAATGTTGTCTGCACTGTTGGAAAGAGCACACAAAATAACACTGATTTTGCCTTTCTAAGAGCGAGCATCTTTAACCCTAAATCTGGCGGCCATATAAGTTTTCTGTTTCAGTGATAAATGTAGAATATTATGATATAAATATATTTTTTTCTAGCAATGCCTTTAGGCATGGTAACAAAATCTTTGCGAATTATTCAAATAAATATTCGCATTATGCAAATTAAAATTTTCAAAAGCAACCCACAAGAAAACCACTAAATCTTTTTTACACATTTGATCTAAATGTAACGGTGTGTGAAATGTTATTCGCTACGTAGGAATATCAATGTTATTAAAAAACCCATAAAAATTAAATAAAAATAAATTCAACATAATTTTTTGTCATAACTTATAGGAAATCATTTGAATGCATCAACAGTAAATAAATATGGTGCTACAAAATAGAACGATAAAAGAGCTTTCTGAAAATATATAGGCCTACTTAGCCTAGCTATATGGAGTTTAATTCTAAAATTTCCAAGTTAATTGACGTATGAATGCAAAATTTTCAATTTATTTACAAAAACTTAATTATTATGACTTTTTCAAAACCACATAAAATCGTACAACCAACCTGATAAAGATTTGGAGCGAATTTATTGTAGTTTCAGAATATGTAATAATACTGTACTACTTAATATGTATGTATACAAAATTATTATTGTACAGAATTATTGTCGATCGCCAAACAAAAACAGCTGTAGTCAGGTTATAACAAATTTTTGCCGCCAAAATATATTTTGAACTCTGTAGTTTTTCAAACAATGTTTCTCGTTACATAATACTCGCTCATTAATGTTTGATATATATGAAAAAGAATCCTAAGAATCTCATCTTTCTAAAGTTGTAAGATTCTTAGCGTTTTAAAACCTTTACATATTTTAATAATAGAAAATCCCAACCCACGTCGTGTTGGTTGATAATCGACCAGTGCCACTGATGACTCGCGTTTTTGTGGTCGATAATTGACCAGCGCCAGATCTAGGGTTAAATAATATAGTACCGTACCTTGGTTGTAGACTGAGAATACCATATTATAATTTTTTTTTTTTAAGAGGTTGGCGGCCTCTTTTAACCTTGCATTTGCCCGTCCACATAGACTAAGCGCCCGTGCGTGGATCATTTACAGCAAAGCAAGGAGTGATATTATAATTGTAACGTCGTCTGAACTGTTATCTTGATTGTAAAAGTGAACAACAACCCTAGCGCAAACTTGTATTTAAAGATATCATAAATGGTTTCTGACAAATTAGAATCATTACAATGTGAATTGATTTCAGGTGTGTGCAAGATATACGAAGAGCATTTGAAGAGGCAAAATCCAAACACACCTTCAATCACCTACGACATTAGTCAGCTCTTTGACTTTATTGACCAACTGGTGGACCTGTCCTGTCTGGTGTAAGTTATTTATTTATTTAACCCTTTGAGTGCCGAAGCGTCTCCAGGGTGTCCGTGACCGGGAAAACCGGGAATTATACGGAAATTCTGTAATTATGGCACTAATATATATACACTTATTAAAATATATTAAAGACATTTTTACAACAATTATTATAGGCCAAAGATAAGAAAAAAAATACTACTTAATAGAACAAAAATCAGTCGATAGGCTAACAGTGAGCATCACAAAATAATAGTACCGTTAGGCCTACCTAATTGTTGAGCATTAAACAGAACACGAGTAAAATTGTTCTCCATTCGGAAAAAGTTATTAGAGTAAAAAGCTAAATCAGCATGTTACGAAGTCGAAAGACTATGAACGCCATTTTCTCGAAGCCGTCCAGCCCAGGACCAGGATTCGGGCTTTCCCACGTCAGAGCTCGGTTTCTGAACGAAGATGCGACGTGTGAAAGAATACAACAACTCTCAACTCTATGTCTAGTGGCATGGGACTGGCATCTGTGGTCTAAAATGTCTCGGTTGTCTTCTACGCTCGTCTAGATTGATAACTCAGACAAGCAATTTTGTTTTTCCGTTCTTATTGTTTACGGATGTCCAATACTTCTGGAATTTAGAGGTAATTTTAAATATATTAGATGTTAGTAACCAACACTATAATGTATGATTTGTATTTTGACAAGGTATCTAAACTTATTTTTAAGTTTTATGTGACTAAACCTCAAAGCGAATACTCTTTAGGCATACATAATTTCTCAGTTTCATCCATTGACCTTTATGTTGTGTCTATTCTTAATTAATCAAAATTGTATGTCTATTGTATGAATGTAATGTGAATGAAGTATTTTGAAATAAATAATCTTGACAGGGTGTGAAATTGTTTTAGGTACCAAAAGTCAACAAATACTTATGTTCCGTACAACAAAGACTGGATAAAAGAAAAAATATACGTTTTGCTGCGTCGACAAGCTTCAAGAGGCAACTAAAACCAACTCTCCAGCATTATAGGACTTTTGGTGTTTGAAGCTGAGCGAAACATAATTCATTGTGAAATATAAGTGATTAGTAAGTGTAATTTTTGAAGTATTTAATTTGTGTTTCCAAACAAGCTTGAGATATTTTTGACGTTTCATTGTCAACAAATTTTTTGATCATTTGTGATTTTAGTTAATCTAGTTTATAATCCATGTGATTGCTTAAAATGTCATCATCAGTAAATAAGGACCGTCATTAATTTAAAGAGCTTATTCAATTGATTTTTATTTAATTGATTGACTAGTTCATGGAATAGTTTCACAGACTCATAAATTAATTGATTTCAGCATAGCTTACCTTCTATATGTTTATTACAGTAAAGATTATCGACTTGAGATTGTCATGTAGGCTACTATAGTTATTTGTGGACATTATAATGTGTACCTAGGGGCTGTCCTTGTGTCCTAAGCTGCCTATTGTTCTCAGGTGCTCAGGATGGTACCGTTACTGCCGCTCAACCGAACTCACACTTAAGAGTGACAATAAAAAAATATGCTATTGTAGTTCCCTGATAATTTATGTTGATACTAAATGTCCCTTAATTGCTGGTGAAAATATGTAAACGTTGATTTATTCCCATGTAATTTGATTTGGAATTAATAGACATTTTTTTAGAAACTGTAATATGACATTGTTTGAATTGTAATAGCAAGGAAAATCAAATGTCACTATTGGGCTCCATAGTCTCCTTCAGTGTGAACTCAGTCGAGCGGCAGTACAGGTCGGCCAAAGTTTCTGTGCGCGCGACCAGATCTGGTTGAGTCTAGGCGAGGGGGTAGGCGGGGGTACTTTTGTGAAAACATTTGTGTCTTGCTACTCACTCACCACTACCACCACTACCCCCAGCACTGCCAATAGCCGGTGCCCGTATGTTTTAGTTCGGCTAGTAGCGACCCGTTCACGCGCACAGAAGTTTTGGCCGAGCTGTAAACTAAAGGTCCTGTAGCCATACTGGCGAACAATACACGGCCTAGGATGCGGCCACATTAGCTTGTCCTTGAGATACACAATACAGTGTCGTTGTATATAGGTTTACAAAAGCTGTTTGTATTTTAAATAAAAGTTTTAACATTATTCAATTTGTTTAACATTTAGGGGTTCTATGTTAGACACAAGATGAGAATAATTTTTTATTGCCTCTAAAACTGTAAAGATAGTTCGATGATGGACTGAGATCCAAATAAATATAACGAGGCTGTTTCATTTAGTTTGTTGTTTTTTTTGTATTTTGGATTAAATTTATTCCTAAAATTCAAGCATTTGATTTATGAATCCTTTTTACCATAAGTATCTACTGTGGTTTTAAGTGCTGGTAAGATTCGAAGCACGATCTTTACCGGACCCAGATGCTATTGTCATTGGGCCGTCAATTAATGGTGCTTACTAACAAAAAAGTCGACGTTAGATAGTAACAAGACCAGGGTTTGGACTGTTCCCTTACAAAATACTTATCAAGGATCCAAGAAATCTAGCTGATCTGAAATGGTCATGATTTAGTCATAATTTAAAAGTTAAAGCGGTGTTTATGTTTTGGTAAAATGTTACAATGTTTCATGAGTCTGGTATCTGTCAGGTACATTTTACAAATTACTAACTTATTTTGTACTTCGGCTTCAATTGGATCGTTGGAAAAAGCGCCTCACTATACTTAGCGATATTGAACATTGTCAACCATATTTATTTTCTAACACAATACCGCAACTAGGCGAACTGTAAAATTCACTATCTGGTTTTATAACTTTGTTTAAATCAAAGTTTTATATGATTCCAATAAATTTTATATAAAACTTAGGACCCAACCGTTAATTCACTATGATACCACACCACTATATAATTTGTTTGTAACAACACAAAATTCAAGTTTAAAGTTGTGTCTCATTTTTAATCCAACCCAACCTAAATAGGACTTCTAGTAGCTTTGAATATGTACATTATTAGACATTCAATTCCCATTAAAGTTGTTACTACTTTTTTAATGAAAATTGTAGTTGATGTAAGCCACTGACAGATTGTGCTGATGTATATTACCAATTTCTGTCAAATACACACACTTTTTCACCAAGTAAAACTGATAGAACGAATTATTGTGATCCATAGTAACTGTTATGAATTATAAACTAGGCCTATGTCTGTAACAAAAACTAAGTTAGAAAATATATTTTTAGACACTAGCGCATTCTGTGACTGGCACACACAATTAAGTTCTCTTTTGATTAGAAATTGGCAACAGCCAGTCCAAACAAAGGGAATGTTTGCTTAGTATTTAGTATCCAATAGTCAATGATAATATAGTGATGAAAATAATCAAACTGAAGAAACAATTACAAATAGAAACAATAGAACAAACAATAGATAGAAACAATTGATTGTTAATTAACGGAAAAGCTTAAAAACTCAAATTTAATACTTGGAATCATTGCCTCAAATACATGAGTCAATTTTACAACCCATCATCTGGAAAGGCTCGAAATCAAGATAAAAGATAGAGCGATTAAAATATAAACTTTAATAAAAGGTCATAAAGGATGTTTACATAGAGGACACTGATGGAAAGACTGCACACACTTGCGAAGACAGTAAGTATGTAATACATGTCGACATGGTGTGACACGTGCAGACAGTAGGCGCATGTCATCCAAACATACGGGACATACTTGACCTCTGACTTGCCGTAGGGATGGCATAGAGTATTGAGCAGTCGTCTGCCGCTGGTCACATAGAGGTGACCAACATTGTTCCATCATCAGAGACCAGGGGACCATTACATTGGTGTACCTATAGACACAATTAAGCATAGTATTAGCTGTGTTAGGGTTTTGGAAATTCTTGTTCTTCAAAAAAGAGGCGTTACAGTAATCTTTAGTAAAGGCTTGAGAGACCATGGCAAACTAGGCCTACTTTTACAGAATCTTCAAATTTCTATCATTATTTGTATCCTAATATGTATCTTAATAAAGTATTGTAAAATCAAACTAAGCTATAATGTTACCTTTTATATGATATGGCTAATACTTTGTAAGAGTTCCAAAGCCAGGGGATTATATTTAATTGCATTAACATTTAATACTATAAAATGCACATTTTACACTATAATTAACCATGAAACTTACCCCAACAACAATGCAAGAATCCAATGAGAGCGCAGTAAAAGAAACATCACTAACATTGCTGACATAGTTATTGTTGTTGACCTGGTTATTGTAGGCATCCACCATTCTTCTAGTCCCTCCAGCTCGTACAAGTCAAAGCTGCGAACTGTAGTTACTACTGGGCTGTCTTCACCTGGTGTTCCTAAAAAATTACGTTATATGATTTTAAACTGTTACAAAAAGGTTTTGCTTGTTGTATTTTCTATCCTATTGGCATATTTTACGATTTTTGAAAGGGTGGTGTTGGAGATTATGAAATTTTTTTACTGTTAAACGAAAATGCTGCGTTACAGATTTCTTGACTTACCAGATCATAGAACTAAGAATATATCACTTACACTCACATCATCGCTATTTAAAATTTAAAGGTCTTGAAATAACTAATCTTTCCTCTCTTTACTCTATTAAACCCAGAACACGATGATGATGTCTCCATAAAGCAGGAAACCCACTGGTTCAACACTCTCCAACACGACACCTTCCGTCAAGTCTCCGACACCTTCCGACAACATTGCTCCCTGGGGCATTCTTGTCGGATGTCGGATCCGTAATTTCTCCACTCTGCGTGCACCAGGCCTAGATTTAGTCACTTTCTAGCTTTGTGTGTGACATGAGTAATGACGAACGTTTGATCGAAGCGGTTTGGGAACACCCCTTTCTTTATACAGTACGTTATAAAAGCTGCCTGAACATATCTGATGCTTTCAATAATGCAAGTTCTATGGATTTGAGTGGTGATTGGTTCTTAAATTGTGGACCAACTATTATAAGAAAAGATTATGTGAACAAAGAACGAATCGGATGGACAAATAATTACACTAAGTGTAGCAATCACTCCTTAAAATAGAACATATAACATAACTCATAACATTCATTTGATCAAAGGCATGCTCACCTCCAGGTTTAACAAATCTTACCTGGGAATTGAGAGAGGAGAAAAAATGCAGCAGTTAGAAGAACGTATGATATTGGAGGCTCGATGTCGTTAAACTGTACAGTGAATGTGAGAAGAACCATTCCCATTACGATGGCTTTGCCAAGACGAGCCACAACAAACGCTGTTGTGAGCCTTAAGAAGTCCGCAGCGGTCGTCTCATGAAGCACCTGGGACCATTGGCGCTTCTGTAACATTAATATAAAAATCAAGACATCGCCTGAAAAAACAAAATGTTCATTCTTAGGTAAAAGGCAATATTTAAAAAAATCCTTATTCCTTATGAATGAAAGGGTCATTATGCCTGGTTTTTACTACTGTACCACATATTCTTTTGCATCACTAAACAATTGCAATAATTTACATAAAAAGGAAACACGTGTCAAGGGAAAGTGGGTTGAATCCAGTGATGAGTATTTTTCCTTTTAGAATATTTAATTTAACACATTGGAGAATAGAACAAATGTATTGATTTTAATAACCATAATTTTTCCAACAGTTTTCGACTAGACAGGACACCCATCTTATCTGTGTGACCATGAATGAATGTGTTTAAAATTAATATAGATGATATCAAGTTAAATTAATTTTCTAGGTGGCAGCATAATGGGTACGGTATATTGCTCACCTTCAGACCCAAAGGTCGCTAGCCAATCTTCAACCCATATGTCATTTCATTGTGCTATCAATTAATGCAGCTATTTAACAAAAGTGAAATAGCTAATGAAAATACTAGGTATGGTTGGACTGTTCCCTTAAAAAAACTACAGAAAACCCTTAGAAAATAGGTACCACAGGCGTCCATACACAAAAAAAAATCTTTCACTTGGAAATTTTCAAACTTGTTATAAAAAATATAGTTACTTTTACCAATAAATGTGACCTTTAATGATTGTTGGAGGTAGGCAAGAACAGTGTAAAACAGTAGGACGTACAGACTTGCAAATCTCTCATCCGGACATAAAACCTTCTCTGCAGCCATGTTGAATACAACCTAGAAAACATAATTTGTGTCACAGAGAAAATATAGACGAAACATCCAAGTACCGAAGTACCTATGTGGCAATTTCAACCTAGAACACTTATTGTAGTCATTTTTTTAAAAACTTTAAATAAAATATTTGTAGTTCAAATATACAATCTACTTATGTTATTTTTTCTAATCTCTGTTTTCATCTGGACATGGTAGAATTAATTCCAATGGATGAAAATGGATTCTAATGGATGAATAAATTCCATGTATTTTACTCATCATTCCATGGTAGAATTTACAAGCATATTTCCAAAATCGTTTAAATTTATAAAAAACTACTTTAACATCGAATAATACCTATAAGCATTAAGTAATGAATAACTCATAGACACATAATCTGAGAATTTCAGAGAAACACATAAAAAAATTAGGGATACACAACTAACACACCTTAAAAATATATTTCATGCCATTTATAGCTCAGAAATTTCCACAAAATATTTCACTAAATAATTTAAGCTCCAGAAGAGTCTATTGAAAGGAGGAAATAGTATTAAATTCAAATTTCTGCTAAGCTACTCCCTCTTTAAAAGCCTACTTAGAAGGGCAAAAAGAAAAACACCAAGTTTCATCTGTTTGTACTTTTAACTGTCTATAGAATCTCAGATGAATTGTGTATTTGTTCATAATTAATATGTATTCATTAGTCAAGTAAATTTCCTTTAACAAAAGAAGTTCTGGGTTTTGGGTGTAGAGTGCCCTGGACTGTTTGTAAGCTCTGGTGCCTCCCCCTTTCCTTCCTACTGGTGGTTCAGTCACTTTTTCGTAAAATTAAAAGAAGTGAAAAAGAGATTTCAAGTTTGTAAATTTGGTGCCACTAAAAGGTTTGTGCTCTGGCCTCTGGTCTAGTAGCCATGTCAGCCCATACAAAGTGGTGCAGCCTGCCAAAAAAAAAAATTTGGTAAAAACTGATTTAAATGAATAAAAAACGAATCTTCTAGAGAATAATGATACATCTAGGTACCAAATAGTTTCCTAACGAGGAACAAGGCTAATTGTTCCTAAATGTGAAGATAAATTATAATAATTTATGCATTCTTAAGCTCTATTCTGATATGACTTCTTGTTTGGGTTTGACTACTATACCTGGTTGGTAGTTGTATGTATATTCTCCAAATGTAGATACACTGAGTGAAGCCAGTGTAAGAAGTAACGAGAATGTCTTGCTGCTGAGTGAATTAAGCTGTTTTCACCGACTATTACTGCCATTACACATCTATAGCAACACAAATAATCAATTTATATCTCAGCACTTGAGTAACGTATCTTGTCTTCTTTTGGAACACTCCTGAAAATGCACGAGTTCAAGTTCTGTCCTTTAGCTGCATTTCCATTGTACAAGTTCCATTATCATGTCCTAGATAGAAAACAGTTTTTAAAGTTCAGGAAAAATCTCACACTGATTTTGCATGAATTGTAAATTTTAGTAAAGTGACACCTTTTATTTTGTCGACTGTCATGGGTTCTTGAACTTCAAAAACTCAAGGCAGTCAACAATTATACTTCGTTCACGATATTTAGACGGTATTAGGGGAAGAAATCTATTCCCTCCACTTGAATCTTACCTTTAAAAAAAATAGCTCAACTACTGATTGAGCAACATACAAAAAGTACAAAATAAGTGGTGGGGAAACTTCCCCTCAAACCGCCTAAATATTGTGAACGTAGTATAATAAAAGGTAACTTAATTTAAAAGTTCTTAGAACTGGGTAGCATCATTAAGTATTAACTTAAAATTTTAGTAATTGCACGTTGATTTGTTCCTATGTTTCATTAGGAATTCAATTTAATGCATTGCAAAAATAAAAATATCCTGTAAAAATGTAGTAAGCATATGTTTTTCATTGCTAAATTTCCGTACACTCATTTATGTTCTTCACGATGTAGGTAGTAATTAAATTCTCATTTTATACATGCATTCCACCGAAAGCAACCAAATCTGCGCACATTTTTTATGAAATATTTAGTCCACGAGTTAACGTGATATTTTCCCACTACGGTAACCACTTCAAATACCAGCCACTCGATGGGATCACAGCACAATAGGTTATCTAAAACTAATGGCCTGTAATTATTTTTATTCAGCCATGATTGAATTCTTCTGAAAAGCTCATAATAACTTCTAAGGTCAAACAGTGTGCTGTATTGAACCATAATAAGTATACACTTATCTGTAACCAAAAATCTTTTATGTATATAGTTTTATTCACTTTAGACCTTGAATAGTGAGATATTCTTATGCATTATAATTTATTGGTTGACAAATCCCTACATAATAGGCTGAACTGTTAAAGAAAAACGATACATGAACAAATTTGCAAATTTTCAATAATCCAATATTTGTCTATATGGATATTATTTGGTGTCATAAAAACAATATGCATAATCATATGTATATAACCAATGGTGTAACTGGCTGGTATTATGTGTGGTGGTAGTGGCTGGCTTGGAGTGTTTACCTCAATTATGTTGGTACACCTGACGCACCTCTTGAATAGTGCCATCAGCGTGCCAGCTGTAATGTATCCTGTAGCTAGAGGTACCACTATTGTGACGTAGACTAAGGCACCACAGCTGACCGATGCCACACTGTAACTACGTGCCAGGAATGGTACGACAAACAGCAGTGCTAGAAGACATCCTACACATTTGAATTTGATTAAACATTTTTGAATAGAAATGTCAATGTGGAAGTTACACCAGTAATTATAATGTTGTTAGTCCAGTGATGAATATTTACTCAGAAAGTTTGCTAGTTATATATTTTTTTGTTTATAGTTTTTAGTTATATATTTTTTATGTATTTCAGGTATCCCAGGTTCAAGAACTTGAGTAGTACCTATAGTTAAATAATCTTTCGTTGTCTGTGATCTTGAGCCGTCATTTTGTATATTGTCCTATTACATTTGCATTTCACCAGCTTGTGCGTGGCATTCTCAGGGGGTCTTCTTATGTTATTAAAGCCATATCTAGAAAATGCTATCTTCAAATAGAAAATTGTGTCAGTGATATGAAGATATTGAAGATTGAAGATAGCAAAAACAGACCACATGAAGATGCCACACAAGCTGGCGAAATGTACATATCGTACAGTAATGTACAAACTACTACTCAAAAACACACGCAACCAAAAATGTACAGTAATTTCAACTGTATTCACTAATTCACTGTATTCGATTTACTCACATATACTAGATTTACTATGCACAGTAATAATTTGTTACATACCCGGTCATTTACAACTTTTAATTATTTTAGAAGTTATTCATACACACTTTAAATTTGATGGCGGGCAGTCATAGGCATAATTGCATTTTAATAGGGAATTTCATCCAATGTAAATAGGTTAAGGGACAAAAATAGGATAAGGCCAATTAATATTGAATTTATTCATTTTATATGGCTATTAATATACAGTAAAATTCTGGCAAAATAAATGACTTGTTGACTTTTCATTGTTTTATAATTCAATAATATTAACGATTTTGAACTATATATTATAAATTTCAAACTTGTGTTGATCACAAGTTATGTCCTTGAATACATATTAAATACAGACCTGCATTCGCATGTCTCGCCTCGTATTGCTGAAGTACAGCCTTGTATCTTTGTGGGTTACCAAACATTTCTGAAACATTTCAACAGTCAAAAAAATAATATATAGGCCTAGTAATTTAAAATCTTTTCGTGCGCATTCTGCGTACATATATTTTTAATAGATCTCTAGGAACCTGTAATTGTTATGAGTCAATCAAAATCATCACTATAACAAAGCAGCTAGGCTAATTTGGCATGGTGACTTACAAATCATTAGTTTGGATTGTTTTTGTTCCTTTGTCTCGGTATGCACTATTCGAAAATGTAACTGCATCTTTTAAAAATTGCAAAACGAGATAAGGACTAAAAAGTTGACTGATAGCTATTGTTATCCAACTATTTAATTTAATACAGTCGCAAATATATGTACATTTAAGTTGCTATATCAAACGAGCCCATTGTTTGCTTAGAAACTAAAAGCTACAACTTTTCGTAGTTAAATAAATAAATAAATGAAATGAAACTATCTGTTATTTTTACAAGCTCTTCTTAATTACGCTATTTTTGAGAAGGACTATCTTTAAGTTAACAAAGTCACAACAAATACTTTAAACATTGAACACAAATTATCTCAACGTGTAAACTTGTCGTCGTAAAAAATATAGCAACAGAAGTTTTTAAATCTTAATTTCTACTTTTACCGCTTTTAACGTGAGGTAAGAGACGTTAATAATTCAAAATACACATTTATCACAGTATACATATTTTTTTACTGTAATATTGTAATACTGTAAGTACTTATAATTTATTCAAACCATTGACTGTAGAGTATGTAGCCTACTTTTCTTAACTAGGTATAAACTATCTTTCCATAGTTAATGTCCAAACTATTCTAAAACCTCAGACATTTACTCACTGAAACCAAGCTAAAACTTAAATACTTAATCAGTTTTAAATATTATTGTTTTTAGAACTTTTATTTTTCGAATCGCAAATAAAAAGATTGTATTATCTGTGTAAGTTGCAAGTCGAAGTGAGTTTTATAACATCACCAACCTTCTCATGCATGTAACAAATGGATGTATTTAAAATATAGATTCGCTTTAAGTTAAGAAGTTGACGCTATTGCAAAGAAATTTTAAGTTGTTGCACACTACATAACACCAACAAACAAAAAGATAAACCTACGTGTTATTTTGTCCACTCAAGTTACCCTACCTGTAATCTACATAGTTTCACGCCCACGATGTAAACAGACAACCACAACAAGAGACAGCAGACCTGAAATGTTGTCAATGGCCAGGGATTGGGCTGCATGTACCGAAATACTTTTGGCAATGACACTATTTCAAAAGCGCCAAGCATCTGTTAGTTATATAATCAAACGTAAACGGGCCTTCATCGGTGTTTTGGGGCTTACTCACAGTTTCTGTGATAAAGCCAATACCAATACAGCTGCGTAGCCCATGTGCACATGTCTAGTTGATAGGGCTACCGTCAAGGCAACACTGGTCTTGCTACCGTCCTTTGGTATAAGGTTAATTCGTGTACAGCAACATTTAGCATATACCGTTGTACACATATTTATTGCGATATCGAATATACATTACTTTTCAAATGCTTAAATTACTAAAATAAACCAGAAGTGCCAAATGTATTTTTTACTTGGGTTCGAGTGTTTTTTACAAATTTGTGCAAAAATTTCCATGCAAACTTAAACTATTATTGAATATGTACAAATTTAATTACATCTTTAAGAAACGTTGTAAGGCCCTTGACGTATTAAATATAATAGGAAGATATTACGAGCATTTCCACACAATGTAATTTAATTCTTTAAGACAGTGACGCGCACTTTTGTGCGTATTATTTAAGAATAAATGATGAGTTTATAATTGAGTGAGATGATCCGTGTGAATTTGTTTTTTTATAGCTAGGACCATTAAAAAATATTAGCATTGAAAAAAACACTTTTCTTCGATCAAACCGGTGACTGTTTGAAAATATTAGTACTATTATTCAATCCTTGGATATTTCAATCCTCAATTAACTCACCTACCCAACTAATTTTACAATTTTTTACAGTTCTTTCTTACTCTTTTTAGTCTGATGCATAGTACACTAAGGGGAGGATGCAACTATTGCAGGTTAAAATTGAGAGCAACTAACGTACCATCCAGTCTCTAATCACTAATTAGTGTGATTAATTAGTGGTAATCAGACTAATTGAATCACAATGATTGCTCTTTAATGTTTCTTTGTAAGGTGTATGCCCCTAGTACGAGCAAAGCTGGAATTCATTAGTTTAGGATCCAAGAGATTTTCTTTTTGTCCATCATTGTTATATAGCAAATTCCCCCTTTTGGGAGCTATTACCGTAGATGGCACGGAAAAACCTAGGCCTGTGGCGGATTTTCTTTTTAATTATGATGTCCCAGAGGCCAAAAACAACGTTCGTTCAAAATTGTATATATGTATATGCAGGGGGTTTTAGCGCAAACCAAATCACAAGTATCATATAGAGGGCTACTGTTCACAGATAATTACCTCTACAGGCCTATTACCTCTACTTCCTAACCGTATAACGCACTGTTATTTCACGTCTGTTATCTTTTACTAGCTGATGATACTATACATCAACTCCAACAAGTATATTTCCTCCTTCAATAAAACAAAGAGGCGAATTCCCTACGTCATAACTCTACCAAAGCAGCTATTCCCGGGGTTGGTGAACCCTAAGGGAAGGTCAACATATCGACCTACACACCCCCTTTTCCATCCCAAAAAGCCACCCCTCGCGCCGGCGTCACACTCTCCTGTAGCTATGACAACAAAACCTAGAGACCTACAGCCATGTAAGTGAGTCACGCGAGTGAAACCGCGAGTGATCCAGAGTGACATGACTGATAACAGATAGTGTATTCGTGTGTGTGTGTGTGCGTGTGAGTGTGTTATCATGAAAGGAAGACATGTTGCGGTACCCATGGAGGGGTTCGAAGATGGAAAGGTACAAAACTTGTGGCTGTTAGACTCCACACTGTGGATAAGGGTTGTTTACAGGTTGTAGTACAACGTACAACACTAGTTGTATTTACTAAATTAACACTTTTTGTAAGCAAAACTAATATTTTAAAGTAATTTTTAAGCTTTTTATTTTGTTAAAGTTTAAAGTACAGATATAGTCTGCTGACATTCTGAGAAAATTGGTCCAAAACACTAAATTAGCTCGTAAACATGACGAGATCTTGTATAAGATTTCTAAGTTTTTTTTTTGCAATTTCTGCAACTTTTGCTCTTTACAATATACATAGAAGATTTTGGGTTGAACTAGTCTAGTAGCAAATCAACGGACCCCCCCCCCCCTAAGGTCACGGGTTCGAATCCCACCAATCAAAAATGTTTTAGCAATCTGATAATGTCATGACCCTCTCTAAGCCTGAAGTAATTTTGCAAAACGTTTCCAAGCTAGAGCCGAGCACTATGATGAAAAGTTGGGCATAAAAAATGAAAATAAAGACTATGAAATATCCAACTGATAAAATAACTCTATTTTGACACATATAGTAATTGATTTAATACGAAATCTTTCCAAGATAAAATTGTGGATTATAAGGGTATTGTAGGCAATGTGGGGATCGTTTATTGGTGTGGGTCGCGCAATCGGATTGTTCTAGAATACGATAACAGAACGTCTGGAACGTCGGGGCCTCATTACGATCTAGGGCCTATATGTTATTGCAGTTCAATAAAACAAGATTATAGTAATATGAGGTGTTTTGTATTACTTGATTGGCAAATGTTTTCAAACAACTGTGAAACATATTTTCCACTTTCGATTAGTCACCAGATCATACAATTAGACAAAATAAGGGCGGATTTAGTTTTTGTTTTTGATTAAATCATTATCCAAACATAAGAATCGCATACACATGAACATAATGAATTACGAACGTTTAATAAACTAAATAGCAGATATAATAATAGTCCTAATTAAAATAAACAATACATTTATATTATAGTACCCAAAAGATAAGACTAGACAAAAAATGTAGTCAATGCGCCTGTGAATGTTACCCAAGCACATACATAATTATATCCATGCTATTTAATTTATTAATCAAACAATCGGTTAAAACTAATGAATAAGAATTTATTTTATGTTCATTTCATTTTGTAATGTTCCCAACCCTCAAAAACTATTTTAAGTCAAAAACCTAGCAAAAATGTTAAAAAATTACTCTAAAAGTTTTAACTTGAGGTTAACACTTGTTTGAAAAAGCTACTGGATCGTTCTAAACTTGTAACATTCACAGTTTCGTGACTAACAGTAACAAAGTGAATACACAGTTTTTATAACAGTATCATTTATTAGATTAATAGTTACATAAAAGTAGATATGTACAACTTTTAGATTTTATGTTTTACCACACAAAATACAATTGTTTTCCTTTGTATATTGTATAGGTCTTCCGTTAATTGTTGCGGATGGATTTTTATGGTTGGAGGATAATATTTATTTTCGATTGATGGAAGTTCAAAGGGAATGAAAACATTATTGAATATCTTAAGTATACAGTATTCATATATTTTGGTATTAATAGGTACATTGCAATTCCACAGCACACAGAAACTCGGCCGTGATTTCTGTTGGAAAAACAGTGCGTGATTTTGTGCAGAGGAAAGGCTTTTTAACGATAGCGAATCAACTTCTCTTCTCGCTGGCGCCATTCCATCCTAGGACATAAACTTTCCCCAATATTCGTGTTTCCCTCTTTGTATTATATAACATTATATTGTTCAGCCACCACATTGTGTTATATTTACGACCCTCAGAGATGTGGTTAAGTATATTTAAATTTAATATTACTAATAAGCTGTTATCATTGACAACCGATATTGCACATTTCATCCTATTGTAAAATGTTAAATCATGTTTGGTCACGCTTGAATGCGCTGTTATATAATGCTGAGTGTTCTAAAACATGCATGCATAACTACTCTCGAAGTTGCCACACTGGTAATCAAGTTGATAGGTTGTAGGTTAAGTTGATCGATCGACTACCTTCATACTGCTCATACCCACGACATGTCTACAAGTAATATACAAAAGTGTACTTATCTATAATTAGACGTAGAGAGTACAACTTGATTTCTAATCCTGGTGTAAAAAGCCGGTGTCGTATAATGTTTCGTGTACAACTGTTGAATGCGCTGGTGTTCAATGCAATTCTCTCAAAGGTCATCTCTTGGGTGCGCTCTTTTGGCAATAACTAAAGAGCAAGCAAACGGTCTACAAAAAACTATCCACCATCGAATCAGTTTATTTGAAGTTTGTTTAACAAGAAGATATACTAAACATAAAATGCACATCGACAAAACGTTAAAATTGTATTCAGCCGATCCAAATTAATTTTTTATCTCCATCAAAATGATCTATTACCGTCTACCTTCCGTATCCGATAGTCAATACTATAGCCCTTTTTGACCTCAAATAAATAATAAAACTAGGCCTAACTAATATTAAAAAAATCTGATATAGTTTGAATTCAATGAGATTTAATATTTAACTAGGACAGTGGGTTATACCATAATGGAATATATGCAATTGGATCTCTAAGCCCTCCCTAGATAATCTGTACTAATACTATGCCAATAGGCCTACTCTGGCAGTAATGAACTGACTAATACTATGCCAATAGGCCTACTCTGGCAGTAATGAACTGACTAATACTATGCCAATAGGCCTACTCTGGCAGTAATAAACTGGGTCAATAGCTTATTGCATTATCTTTAGTACCTACCAGTACCTACCTACTCGATTGCGCTGAGATTAAGGTTGTCTTTCATCGTTTTGAGGTTAGAGATTTTTCTTTTATCTTGATTAAACCACACATTTAAAACATTGGATAATGTGTGTTCCTATCAACTCATTTATCTGTTACACCCCTCGTGGTGATATTTATACATAATATTTGTTCCGTAAAATATACATTCATAATTTTTGATTACATTATTAACTCATAGCTCCCCGTTTTAACCTCGATCATATTAACTACTAACTACTACATATTAAACAACTATCTTTATTGACGTCGGCGTTTACAAAAGTTGTATACGTTTATTTTATCAAGATTTTGCATAGCTATTTCCATAAACTTACAAATTAATTACGTCTTTTTAAATTCAGTTTCGCATATTGTAAATGCTAATTATTCCTCTAAAGCTTTTATCAACATAAGCTTTCCAAGTTAGTAAATTAACTAGGCCTATCTTATATCAAAGAAAAAATTTCAAAAGTTACGTCAGATTTTCTGGAACATTCCCAGAAAGTCTAGCCATAACTAGAACAGGAGGGGGGCTAGAATAGAAGGCGCCTCAATCGTCATCGATTCTCCCTCTTTTGCAAAGGGAGTTGGGAGGGAAATGTTGGTAAACATCTCGTAAAACACATGTTTACTACTCTCCTACTGTATTTTGTTTTTGTTTTGCTTGTTTTGTTTAACAATCCAATCTCATACTCACTTCAAAGTACCGGTAATTATAATTTAGAATTATCAATTGTTTAATGATCACTCATTTCTCATTGTGTAGAAAACTAAAATAATTTTAATCTATGTATTATTTTTTACAACTTAATTTACATTTTTGGGGTGTGGCAGATTTGAGTGAGTGGATGTGCCCGATGCATGTTTGTGTTCAAACATCATTATTGAAGTACAGTACTACACAATACTACAAGATAGTATGAAACTGTTTTACTTATATATGTGTGAAATTTATGTACTAAGATTGTGCAATTAAATTACGTTATATCATAGCACTTCATAGTTTTATATCATTTCATAGTAAAACTTGAATGTAGAAAAATAATCCTATATATTAAAAAATATTGCTCATTTAGTTCACGCAGATTGCGAGACAAAACCGCTTCACAGATTTTGATTATTCTTTTTTTGATTTGCAGGTAATTTTGTGTAGAAGGTCGTGGCAGAGGTTTTACTTAATAAAAAATAGAATTCAAATTTTAAAATGTATTTAATATTTGTTAGCAAACCAACAGTTTAATTAATGTCGGCTATCGGTCTGCAGTCACTAATCGTATACCCAATATCACATGCCATAATCTAGGCAAATTGCAAAACAAATGCCCATATATACTGTTCTGCCCTATATTTCGATCGTGAAAAAAAATAATAATGGAGTTTGTGCTGTGGCAATGGAAAAATTAAACTTTCTGAATCGGACATGCCCCAAGAACTACAGAAGTTATTTGTTGGTAATGATGAATTATCAAAAAACTTTAGATCCAATATACGACAATACAACAATGCTTTGTGTTTTGTGTGTCTTTCGGGGCCAGGGAAAATGTTGCATTGCTTCCTAGAAGTGGACCATATTGTTTCAAAATTCTAGGTACCGTCCACCATTTAATTTCTCCGTTTTACGCAAACGTCAAAAGTGATATGGACATAATTATGATATTGTGCATATGGACAATTATACATCTTAGAATTTAATGAAGCTAATAAGGTTCGGATTCCACTATAAACTGTAGGTCCCTTGGTTGCCATTAGCTGTATGGGCTATTAATTAACAGCTGTATATAAGGAATATGTCGGCCTTAGACACTAACAAGACTACAAGATCGCCATTCATACTTGGCTTAAAATACCGGTACCTACTTTGCTTGTATGTTCGCCATTTCATTGTAAAAGTAAAATAAAGTAAAGTAAAGTATTAAAGTATTAGGTTAAATTGTCAACCTAACTGTAATTTGAGACAAGATGTTCTAAACTTTATTACCCAAGGGCTGGAAAAATGCAATCATTATTATTAGGATTGGAGGTGGAAAAGTAATAGTTTGGAGGAGATTTAAGGCAAGTCTTGCCAGTAGTCACACATGCTTCTAGACACACGATCGTGCATCATAGTATTAAATGTTCACCGATTTGGTTCACATTCAAAGTTTTCAACTAACAAAGTATCAAAGATAAAATCAAGAGGACATTGAGTTCGCTAATTTTTTATTAAGCATTGGAAATGGAGATCACATAGTTTCAGATGGTGAGGCCCCGGAGGTAGTTAATTTACCCACACAGATAATTTCAGAAACGGTCATAATTTCTTATATTTATGGGGATTTATTAACTTTTGAAGATTGGAGGGGGAAATTATCGAAGGTTGCAATTCTTGCACCGAAAAATAAACACTGCAATGAAATAAATTTTAACGTGATGGATTTACTCCCAGGGGACTACCAGGAATATTTAAGTGTCAATAACTTGATTAGTGAAGAATATTGAGTGAAGTTATGCAGTTTCCTTCGGAGTTTTTAGATAGGTAGTTTGGATTTGAGTGGACTTCCACATACAGTATCTTGAAACTAAAAAAAGGGGCGATTATAATTTTGCTAAGAAATTTGAATGCTAAAATCGGTTTATAAAACTTTACTACACTTATTGTTAAAAACATGCATGAAAATTTCTTACAATTAGAAAACATAAATTCCTTAATCCTCTTTAATTATGAGTACTCATAAGGTTAACATGGGGAAATACAGAGCCACTGGGCGGAGCTCGAAAGGGTTTTTGAGATACGAATATGCCTATATGTTAATCAAGAATGTGAGCTATCATCATGCAAAATTTCAGCCCAATCCGTCCAGTAGTTAATGCGTGATTTAACTTCAAACAAACAAACAAATAAACAAACAAACACACAAACTTTCACATTTATACGAGTATATATGTGTAAGATTAGTAATATTAGATCTTTCGTAATATTAGTAAGATAACTACAGCACACAGGAAATGATGTTATGCTGCCATGAGTGGACTTATCTCTTTCAAACACTTCATTGCCTTTTTTATTTCAAAAGTGACAGTTTCCAATTCCCCTGGCTTTTGCAATAACAATAAATAAGGCTCAAGTACATACTTTGGACAGGGTTAGGTTTTATCTACCTTAACCAGTGTTTAGCCATGGCCAGCTATATGTTGCTCTGTCCAGAGCTAGGGATTTCAAAGATATCAAGGTGGAAATCCTTCGAAGAACCAACAGAACGGTCAACATAAGGAAATTTTGTAACTGTTAATGTGGGTATTTTAAAACTTTTTAATTCAAAATTCAAAATGTTTGTATTTATTATGAGTTTTATTATTTTTATTGAACCGCAAAATGTTGCGGGGGAACTGGCTAGTCATAAATATAATTTCCCATTTCACTTAACATTAAAGAAGATCCAGGCTGCAATAATTTCCTTTGCATAACCTTTTTTTGCAACTAATAGGCCTAACAAAGTATTAGGGGATGTTAATCTATCATATATGCCTGCTTAGTTAAACCATTTCATGATTTTTTACAGGTGAATGGAGACAGTTTCAACTTAGAAGAAAAAGATGAAGCTTCTGAAGCCCTCCTTTCTAAACAGTAAGTTTAAAAATATAAATTTACAACATCTATTTTAATTAAGTAAGTCAAAATAAATACACTCTTAAAATGAAGTGTAACCATTCAGTATTTGATACTAAACCAACTGATAACAACACAACAAAGATGTAAATTTCATAATTAAGAGATTGGAAATTCAATCTGGCAACTGGTGACAGGTGATTCATGTAGAATGCCGGCTAGTCATGCCACAAAAGGTTACATGCAATGCAAGCTTGAACATTCAAGCACATCATCACTGTTGACTTCTGTCAAATGAAATGGTTTGGTTTTATTTTACAACCTGTACAATTTTCTATACAAGTTACCATTCCATGATTATTTATTTACTCAAAACAAGAATTTTTCTATCTTACCATTTACGTGTTTTGCATATTTTGGAGTATTAACTTCTACCACAATTATTTACCAATTTAGGAGTTATGCTCCTTCTCAAAATGTCCGATGATTTGCATAAATAGTATTCTCATATTGTAATACAGCATAGCATCAACAGTGATCTAAGGAGTTAACTGTTCTCAAAACAACAAAATGGATAGTGATTAATAAAAAACAACATACCAATTATATAACAATAAAGTTTAGTGTATTACTGTTGGATGAAGAAACTCCTCTAAAAATGTAATTCTGTTCTTTGCAGCAAGGGCTCAGAAGAACCTCCATTACCTGATACGTTCGAAGTTCTTGGCCACCTGGTGAGTAAAGTTGATTATATGAGATATAAATTGTAGTAAAGTTTCAATTATACGACCTAAACCAAGCATAAGATATGTAGAAAAGTCAAATGACATTGAAAATAAAATAAAGATTGCAAAAATGTTAAAACCCATTAAATTTACAAATATTTTAGAATATATTCATCGTCATTCGCCTATTGGGTCTGATGATGATTGGAGTGTCCAATCAAAATCGATTACCACTTACCACCTTTTTTGTATATTTACCGCCTTTCGAGTAACAGTATAAGCGTAAATATATGTTTTAAGTGTTATATGACGTTTCTTTATTTACTTTTCGTATATTTTCAGGTGTCAAACTTTCAGAGTTTAAATGTAATTGTTATGGTATACAGTAATACCACACATAAATAGTATCAATTCAATTCTACAGGCACATATATCTCTTTTTTGGAGTACAAACGTCCAGAACAATTTATTTTGAACCCTTAAGATTCATTGTTTTTAAGAGAAGACTGGGCCAAAGTGAAACACTTCCATTCACTATAATGTGTTAGTAGGTACTGTTACTGTAAAGCCTCTATGTAGCCATCTTCAGAAGTCAACTATGCAGAAATCAAGGCCAATTAAGACCACAAATCTACAAAATATTTTTTTTGTTTTGAAAGGCGATTTGAAATTTGCTTCTCTAATAAAAGTTGAATCAAGATCTGGTGGCAGTTTTAAAAGGAATTTTTCCATGCGTAAGAAACATAACACCATTATCATTTTATTCACTTCAATTAATTGATGCTTCCAAAGTAATAAAACACATTTAGTGAAAAAAAATTAAAATTTATCATGAATAAACTTAATTTATATGTTTCAGTACCGTTTTGCTACCAAGGGGGATGTGTTTTTACTCAGTTTTGGAATTTTGGCAGCCATAACCCATGGAGCAAGTTTTCCCATCTTGGCGCTCCTTTTTGGACGAATGGTGGATGGCTTCCTATCCGTGCAAAAGGTTAGATAAACTGAGGAACGTAGAAAAAGCTATTGAGCCCCAATGTCACTTTTGAGACGAGCATTGAACATTAGTTTTCATTAAGATATCGAAAAACTTGTAAACAACATGAATATTTTGGTTTATTCAACTTAGAATCAAGATAAAAACAGAACTCATAATGCTGAGTTTTCTTGCTTATGTCGAGGTACATACGCATGGAAACTCAGCGTTATGAGTTATTACTGTGCACTTATTAATGCAACAACAAATATATAACAAACTGATCTGTCTGCACCGCAAAATCCCAACGGTTACTTTTCTTGCACCACAAATAATGCACAGAAAGTTAACTTTATGTAATTTTGCCGTACAGTAGCAGGAATAACCTATTTTCTTAGCTTATTATACAGGTAGAAAGTGAACTTTCGTGTGTAGTGCAATGAAAAAGTGTTTATCGGATTATTATTTTGGTTGGCAACTTCTAACACTTCCAAACAGGTGTTGGCAACTCTATTTTAGCATTAACTTAATATTTGTTCCTCATAATCTTTTATTTTTACACATTTTAATACGGTGTATGATCACAGATTGTGAAGTTTTAAATTTTTACTACCATATCACAGTTTAGTGGCCAACTTCTTGACAGACAAGCAATAACTGAATTAAAATTCACACATTCAATGACTTTTTATTCTGTAATTTGAAAAAAGAGCAGGTTTAATTATTAAGATGCTCACATGACTCAGCAAGTTTAACACTGTTATCAACCAAAAAACTCTATACAGGAAACCTAACTGATCAGTTATCAATCTCTACGTATCTGACATGTAAGAATAAGAATGGTTTTGTTTCAGAAAGCAGAAAACTTAACAACAACCACAGAGATGAGTGAGCCAGAGCTGGAGACAATCCCTGGTGAGGCAGATAGTTTGTGGAATGACTGGAACGCCTTCACAGCCTTTAGTAGTACTACGGAGATAACGTGAGTCTTTAGAGATGCTAAAACTTCATACAAAATTGGTTTATCTGCTTCTGCATAGTCCAATTGTTACTTGTTACTGCAACTACTTTAGACTTCTCATGAAGTCATATAGCTTGAATATGACATCAAGTTTTGAAGGATGTCTAAATCACTCCATCAGAACCAGAAGGTCTTCGATTCAAATACAGTAAATAAACGGACAAACTATCACAAATATTAAAAGCAGGGACATCAAAACGATGAAACGGTTCATTGGTTCATTAGATGATTAAAGGTAAGTAACAAAACAGATACTTCTTTGTCTGAAGATGATTTTTGGACAAGTCTAAACTAGTTGCTACAATATAGCAACAATTGGACTATGTAGAAGCCAGGATTCCAACTTGATCCGAGGACTACAACCGAAAATAAAACTTAATATATATATATATAATAGGGCACATATTATGAAACCTGATAGTTATGCTAAAACCTTATAAAGCTCGGGCTTATCTAGTTTTTTTCAGAGATAGGTATGTTGACTTATTTACTACTGTATCAACAAGGGTTAAGGTTTATAGAGGACAAGGGTACATTCAATAGAGCAATGACAAAATTCCCCTGAAATTATCAGGTTAGCAGGCTTAAGTTACCTGTATGGAAATAAGTCCAATTGGGCACAAGGAACCCATAACTTTACACTTTACACTAAGTTTGAATATTTATAACCAACTGTCATCGTCATTGACAGCATTTTCAATCAAGTAAGGTTTGTGATAGAAGAGAGTCTTAACTTATTATGATTTGGACCTGACAAAAGTTGTTATTCTGTTTTATAGACCACCCTTGGACAAAGCCACAGAGATTACAGTCGAAACATTAAGTGACTACGCAGTTTACTACTTTTTCATCGGACTTGCAGTATTAGGAGCTGCATTTATACAGGTGCGAAATTCGTTTAATGTTTTTGAAAAACATTGGCAATTCCAAAATGGTCAAAAAAGTTGTATTAGTTTCTATTTAAAGTGATTCATTTGCAAATTAAGACTCAAATGTTGCTACCAAACTGAGATGTAAATGAGTGAAAATTTAAAAACGTACGTTTTCAGGAAAAGCACTTTGCAAATTTTTGTCCCCTTTTTTCAAAACTTTTATTATTTTTTTTATTTCATTAACATTTGAAGTTTCATAAAATGTCCATGGTAACGCAATATCTTTGGTAGTTTTCTTTTTAAAGAGCATCTTTAGTAGAAAAACACAAAATCCTGTCACGACCATAACGGACCTTTAAATGAATATTAAAAATAGTTAATATTATTTTTATAACTATGTTTTGCTATAAACTAATTTACTTTAATGACCATTATACAATAAAAAGGTCACTGAGCTTTTGGTATATTTGGTCTTTCAAGAAAAAAATAAAAAAAAACTCAAAAAATATAAAAAAGCCAATAAAATCTTTTTAAGTTTGTATAACTCCGAAAAAACTTACCTGAGACCCGAACAATCGTTATGTTTGTATAGAGGTGTGCTTCTTTTGTGTATAAAACATTGAAATATGACGATATTTTAATTTTTGAAATTTTTATGATAGAAATCATAAACGTGATGGTCAGGGACAAGCGGTACGGTCGTGAATTGTCTGGAATAATCTAAATCTTTCTAAATAATCCTTCAATTATACTGTTAGTTATAATAAAACTATGTGTTTCAATTGAACTAAACTGTTCAATTTACAATTATATTAAAGTTATTGTCACGACCAAACACACTATAATCCATAAAGGTGGATTGGTCGTGAAAAAAACCGCGATGGTCGTGAAACTTTGGTCGTGAAATTACGTGTTATTTGGCTCTGTTCTGGCGGTAGCCCTGCACCTCATGTTCGAGGATACAAAGTGGACTTCTAGGTTAATATAGCAATTGAAATATCTTATAAACAAAAATTAACACCATGTCTACTTCATCGAATGACTACGTACGGTCATGGACACACCAAAATTACAAAAAACACAATCTTTCCTTTATTAATCTTGTAATTCCTCCTTTCAACTCAAAACGACCGGCACTACAATCCTGACGTACACCCCGAACTAGTCTCTAAAACCAACTGACTCCATCGACGCCAGGCTTGCCACTGTCGTGCTCCAAAGTTCCAAATTTTTCCCAAATGGTCGTGACGCCAAATCGAGGGACAGACTTATTTTGTCATGGTAGTCAGTCTGCAATGACAATAAAATTATAATATGCTCCTTTTTTGTAAGTTTAATAACCATTGATGACATAAAAATATGGCTTTATATATTTCGGCATGAATAATTAGTCTAAAAACAGCGTGAAAGTTGGAAAATGTACCCTAGGGACACGTCATGGTCGTGAATTTCGAGACTTTAAAAATACGAAAAAAATACCAAGAACCTATTTAAAACCAAATAAATGTGTGTAACATGTTGCCCCCGTCCCAAAAAATATTAAAACACATAATAATAAACTACAAATCCAGTATCTACGAAGTAAAAGGCCAGGGACATGAAAACGTACGTTTTTAAATTTTCACTCAAATCCGCTGAAATGTGTGTATAAATCCGCTTAGCATAAAGCAAAAATACTTACATTTTTTGCTTAACAAAAATTATATAGTCTGTAAGATTGAAGCTGTCTCCTGATCCTCAATCTACTTGGGACTAGCCCGGGTCTCAAACCTGAATTCTGCGACACCCTCTCGGCTGTTTTATTAATTCACCTTTAAGCTTTTCCACTAGCTTCAGTAACTTGTTTATCCAAGTCATAAATTTCCAAATAAAAAAAATATACTTTATGAATATAAAAGTACATGAGTATTGATACTAAACATTAAACACGGTCGAATTTGCCTAAAAAAACAATAGTATATAGCAATAGTGTAGGTGAAAATAAAATATAGAAGTAAGAAAAATTTATACTCTTGACAAATCTTATAACTTGGGTATAAAAGTTGTATCTAGTGGGAAAGCTAAAAAGTGAGTATGACCCAGGCCATTCAAGGGTCGAGAACTCAGAGTAAAGGGTCAGGAGGCATCTCCCACCATTAAGACCTATGTGTCCTATTAATTGCTATTTTTTCATGAGTGTCAGTGGGACCTTGCCAACAAGTTTTTTTTTTCAAATTTTAATAGGTAATGAAAAGTCAAAAGTGTAAAGTTTTTGTAGACCTTATGATGGGATAAACCCCTTCCCATTCAAGCCTAAAACAATCCTTCTAACACAATCTGTAGATGATCTCAATGTTTGACTCTCAACTGTTACTGTTCAGACCATGTGTTGGGAGTTGGCTTGTGAGAGACAAGTCCACAGACTCAGATCTAAGTTCTTCACTCAGATACTTCGACAAAACATCGCCTGGCACGAGATCAACGACGAAGGAAGTCTAACAACCAAACTATCTGAGTAAGTAATCGTTTTAAAAATTTATCATGTTGGATAATTTTTGCAATAATTACTTAACAATAACATCAACCATGGAAATATAAACACAAGTAGACTTTTCATCCCATTGTACATTTTGAAGCTTGTTTTTAAAGTCTAGTTCGATGTCTGGTGACACTGATTGCTATTGTCGACGAAATTTGGTTACTATATTATTTTAAGGTTTATTTAATGATATCATTTATAATTGCGTCAACCTTTACTGTTTGAAGTTTTTATACTTGTGTTGTTAGTTTAGTTAACTTTTATTCTATAGTAATCGTTGTATACTCAAAGACGTACATTCTTATTGGTCGCCATTTCATAAGAAAGTATTAAAGTATTATGTAATGCTGGACAAACTATTTGTCAAAATTTTCTTTAACAATCCAAGTTCAACAATACAAAGTTCTTTGTATTTCAGGATATCATTGTGATGTGTCCTATTCTTAATTTAAGCCATAAGATATCAGTGTTCCATAGCTAAAATAAGCGAGCTGGTCTAGTGGTAGAGTACAGGACTTTGGCCCCCGAGATCCTGGGTTTGAATTTTGATAATCACCATTTAATTGATTTTGTTGTAATAAAGTAACCTCCTGGGCCTGGCCTAAAGTAATGTCTACAATGCTTCCTAGAATGTGGAAAAAAAACCCGTAACTAACCTATAATGGTTAGCGCTCTGCACTTTGGTGCGGGAGGGACGGGTTCAATTCCTAGCACCTTCACAACAATGGGTTTGGACCACTTTCCCTGAAAGTGTTTCAGTACGTACACTGTACATTGTCTCTCACCTAAAAATGCCACTGACATCAAAATTAAGAAACCCATAACATGACATTCTCTTTAGTGACCTGGAGAGGATAAGAGAAGGAGTGGGCAGCAAGCTAGGTATGGTGACACAGTATCTGACCACGTTTGTTGTGGGGATGGTGGTCGGACTGTTGGTCAACTGGCAGCTCACTCTATGTCTTTTGCCATTCTCTCCATTCATCATAGGCTCCACAGCGTTCTCTGCAAAGGTAAACATACACTATTTTAGGATTATATTCACCTTGGTGAATAAAGGATAATTTGATTTTGATTTGATTTGGTGTTTCAGTTAATAAGAATGACTCAGGTTTATATAATTTATTAAATGTTTACTGAAATAAACATAAACCCTTGAAACTTAACAGTTTTCTTCCCTCTAAAGAATGCACACAAATCACTGAAACTTATTTAATAGTTTTTGCTCTTTGTAAAAAAAAAAAAAAAAAAACTATACTTTCAGAACCAATTCCTAATTTGGTGCAGTAGATGGTTTTGATCATAATTTGTGATCCCAATAGAACAAATAAAATTGTACACTTTAAAGTTTTCTAATAGATTACTTATACCGTATTTTTTCTTTAAATCCAAAGGCCAGTACCCCATTTTCTTGCTTAATATATGATGCTAAATCAACAACTAACAATCATGACAAGTACAACCACCAATAAAAACACCGAAATTCACTTTTAAAGTCTTAAGATGCCATAAAAAAAAACATGGATGCCCGTGTTTTTTATGGCATCTTCTGACCCTTGTTGAAATGTTGGCATCTTGGTACGTCTTGAAATATTGGTACATTCTTTTTGTATTTTGATAAAGATAAAATCTGTTATAAATCATTTTGCTCTGGACTCGTACATCAACTTAAGTGTTTTGTATTTTGATAAAGATAAAATCTGTTATAAATCATATTGCTCTGGACTCGTACATCAACTTAAGTGACGATGAAAGTGAAACGGACAAAATTATTTTTTAGTTAATTAGTTTCTTACATTCTGAGTAACTGTAAAACTAGTGAACTTAAAACTTACGGTAGTTCTACGTTTAGTTGTTATTAACATCTTAATCTATGTAAAAAATCAGAAATTAAGGTTGATTTCTTTACATGTGTAGCTCGCCACCTGGTCGGCTGCTAGAGAACAAGTGAAGCATGCCGTGGCGGGAAGTATTGCCAATGAAGTCCTCAATGCAGTTAGAACCATCGCAGCTTTCAACGGAGAACCTGACGCAATACGCAGGTACCAATTTGTATAATTTCTTGGGTTGTGATTTAATTGTCTAAGGGTTTGTAGACATGTATCTCCAAACAAATTGACAGACAATAGCCATACATAATATCCCCTGAAGTCTACCCTGAGGATTATCCCCTGAAAATTCCACACGATAAACCATTATTTTCCAACAACGATAACCTTTAACCATGTTCCAGGTATGAATTAGCATTGGAAGATGGACATAATTTGGCAATGGCCACATACTACAAGATTGCCATATGCCTAACTATCATAAACTTCTGTAAATACGCACAGTACGGCGTAGCACTGTTTGTCAGTTCACTGTTCATCAGAGCTGGATACTGTACTCCAGGCAGTGTGTTTACGGTGAGCAATGTTTTACAAGATCAAACTAGCATAAGAAAGAACTAACAGACTTTTGTTATTGTTCCTGAGGTCTCGGGTTTAAAACCAACCAAATCACCATTGGATTTTATCAAAGTGATAATGCCGCAACCCCTAGGTCTAACCTGAAGTAATGTGAAAAATAATCCCAAGCTCAAGCCTAGGAGAAAAATAGTCCATCATAAACTGGGTTATGCTTGTTGATAAGGGAGGGTTTCTTTTCATCTAGTTGTCTCACTAAATACTTTTCAACCTACTATTATTAGATTATAAAAGGTATAATGTTACCTGGATCTGCCAGAGTAATCCAAAGGCTGTCTGTCGAGACTATACGCGTTTCTAAGCATTAATAGCTTCATCATCAGGTCTTCAAGAACACTTATCACTCATCGGAGGTCGTCAAATAAATATAATTTTTACAAACATACATACGAAAAATAGTATGTAATGTACTATTATTACATTTTTTATCAGCCTATATGTATCTATTGCTATTCAATGGTGGTTTACAAAAGATACTCAAAAAGCCTTTGAATTGTTAAAGTAAGTTAATTTTAGATTCATTTTACTCACACAGTAAAATCCTATGTAGTAACCTACCAACAACATTAACAGCTTTTTCGTACTCATATTTGGTACATCATCAGGTTTATGAAGCTGTGTACAAAACAAACTTCTTCAAAAACGTCGAGAGAAAATAAATAAATTCAAAATGAAACAAATATAAATAAGAGGTTAATTTACCTTAGTATCGTCTTTTGACTCTTACCTCATCTAAGAGCGGATAACGATAAGTTCGGCGACTAAGTCGTGTTCCTCAGATCCTGGTCAAGAACATCAAACTTCACTCATGATGAGGTTGTCAAAACATTACGCAGACGCACTCACAGACATTATATACGTAACATAAAAAAATTAAATATTTTATTATTATTAAAATATTTATTTGCTGTGAAGGGAAACCAGAGTAAATCTTTTGCCTGTTGATTATTTTACTACTTCTGCGGTCACAGGCACTGCTCGGTTGAGATTTCCGGACTGTATACAAGGTGTTTTGTACAGGTGTTCCTGAGTGTACTGTCAGGTGCGTTCACTCTGGGAGATGCGTTCCCGTACTACACTGCGGTAGGTACTGGGCTGGGAGCTGCCTCTACCATCTTCAGTGTCGTAGAGAGATCGCCTGAGATTGACTCTTCTAACAAACACGGCGTGAAACTGCATCATGTTGAGGGAAGAATATCTTTCCAAGACGTCACCTTCACTTATCCCTCACGTCCCAACAAACCTGTGAGTATCTGACAGCAAAGATAATCAAGAGTGAGATGTTATCAATAATTTGTCTTGTGATAGATGGATAAATAGTGACCTTCTCTGTCAATTCACTAAGACTACGTTTTTTGAGGATGAAATGTTATAATCTACAAATCCTGAATAAGATCCGGTTATTTTAGGTTGGGTTTTTTACGAGATAAAACTAAGACATCACTTAAATCTTCAATGTTTCCAATGTGCATTATTACATACAAACTGGCTGTGTAGCTGAGTGGTTATAGTGCTCGCCTAACAATCAAAAGGTTGCCGGTTCGATCCTGAGAAAAGTCAGTAGCTTTTTGAAGGCAGATCTTCTTCTGAAAAAAGGTACACGGATCATCACACTTGATTCTACACTCATCCTTCACTCATATTTTGGGTAAAATAAGCATCTAGTGATAAAAAGTATGTTTTGATGTGCAGATTTTGAAGCATTTCAATCTGGAAATCCCCCCTGGTAAGACAGTGGCGCTAGTTGGACCAAGCGGAGTTGGAAAAAGTACAGTCATCGATCTCTTCCTGAGACTGTACGACTGCAATGCTGGAGTGGTGAGTAACAAAGAGTACTTTATAATAAAATAACATTCTGCTTGGGTAGTAGTTGCATTAATACTACAAAGACAACAGAAACTCCAACAACCTCATGCCCCTTATTGGTGGAAATCACTGGTTTAGCTTATCCTTGCTTTTATTTTTTTTAATTGTCCCTGAAAATTTAAAATTAGACTTTAGCTTTTTATAATACCAAAATGGACGTAGTATAATTGAGCCACTTGCTGAAAGCTTAGTCTGCAGGTTTGCTGCAGCGGGGGTATTTAATCTAGTAGCACCATTTATCTGGGACCTGGTTATTTAATATCGTAACTTGGTTAACATTTTAAATTTAAAGTTTCAGGATCTTACATTTCAATCTAAAACAATGTCGTATAAAATAAAAACTCAGATTTTTCATTAATCTACTCTTCGGAGAAGTCTTATATAAGGACAAAATATTAGTGTTGTGGTTGGATTGTATTATTGTGTATTGATTACCTTATGGACTCTAATTTTCTCAAGAAAATTATCTGAACTCTATTGCTTTTAACAAATTCTTAACCAGCCAAACAGCTTTCCTGCAAAATATATTTAAACAAAATTTAACAAGAAGTTTTATTTTGAATTAACACAGAAAGATTTTCATGATTTTAGTATTTTTGTTTTCTTCCCTCAGGTAAAATTGGACGGGAATCCCATCAAGAACCTGAACTTGTCGTGGTTTCGTAGCCAGATTGGTGTTGTGCTACAAGAGCCGGTCCTCTTCAGCGTCTCGATCGCTGAGAACATCCGCTACGGCCGAGAAAATGTCACTCAACAAGATATTGAGAAGGCTGCGGCCATGGCGAGTGCTAGCGGATTCATCACTAAACTGCCTGAGGTAATCAACGGGAGCTTCATATCCAGATAATTGAGTTATATAAAAGCTACAACTTACTGCAATATAGAACTAGTGTACTATACCTATTTTGAAAGATAGTCTAAATTTTCAAAAATAGTTTTTTTCTAGAAAAGATTCAAAGTTGTGTTCAACTATGTGTTCAGCATCAAATCTTTCTCTAGCAATTACACCTTCTAAAAAGAATTTCCAAAATGTATCTAGAAAAAAACTTTTTAAATATTTTATATTTAGATTTATTTTTTCCTAAAGTCCAAATTCTTTTTAGAAATACGAAACAATTGTGGGAGACCGCGGGGCGCAGTTGAGTGTTGGTCAGAAGCAGCGAATTGCCATTGCTCGAGCTCTTGTCCGCAACCCAAAAGTCCTTCTGTTGGATGAAGCAACTTCTGCATTAGATTCACAGACTGAGAGTGTAGTCTTGGAAGCATTAGATAAGGCTATGGCAGGAAGAACTACGATCGTCATCGCTCATAGACTTTCCACCATCAAGAATGCTGACGTCATCTATGTCATGAAGGCAAGTATTTGTTTTGACAACTCTCTGAAGGAGGCGTAGTACTGTATATTTAAGTCCATAAAATGCAGTAAAGGTACTGAATAGAACATTCCAAACAAGATAGTTATTAGACTCTGTTATGTATTGATATGCTTGAAAGAATACAACTGATTACTGAGTAAAATCCTTTTGTCACAGTAGATATATCCTTTTTTATACTAAAAACATTAACTCCAGCCAGCAATTATGCAAAATTTCAATTAGGTTGAAACAGAACAGAAAATTTTAAATCAGCTTTAATTTCTGTTACTACGCAAGTGGAGTCAAGAATAAAACGGTCATTATTTTCTGAATAGCATTTGAAAAACTGGAACAGAATAAGAACCATTTAACAATTGTGTTTTCAGGATGTCTGACCATTGTGTTTCAGGACGGAGCTGTACTTGAGAGTGGCAACCACTCTGATCTGATGGGTCTACAAGGAACTTACTACAAGATGGTGTGTGCTCAAATATCACCTATGAGGGAGGCGCAAAGTGCGGAAGACAGGTACATAAATATGGTCTTAAAAAATTAAGATAATAATAACAAAACAAGGCAAATGTTTTAAAGATGAATGAATGAATGAATGAAAATCCTTTATTTTTTCAGGCAAAGTTAGGGCCACATGGCCCTTTCTTACACTTAACCTGACATTAAAAATATAACATAAATAATGTAACATAGGGATAACTTAATCTAATTAAACATAAAATATTTAACAATTCAAGTACCTACATATCTAAAAAAAAACATAAAAATTTAACAAATAGAAAAACACATTCACACACTCTCGCATACACGCATCAGCAAACGCGCAAGGTAACAGTAGCCCTAGGACACGCCAGCCGAGACCATCTTCTCAAAATAGAGCTTTTTCAGTGCCGCCACAAACTGGGAACGTTTTTCAAGGGTCTTAATGTGTAGGGGTAGGCCGTTCCACAGACGACAAGCGGTAACAACAAAAGCCCTGCCATAAGCTGTGGTCACATGATGAGGTATACGCAATGTAATCGAAGAATAACGAGACATTCGTGAACTACCCTGAGACACAAATTTAAAATCGGATTTGAAATATTTTGGGGAGCCTGTTTTCAAAATTGAAAAAACCAATGACAAAATTTTAATGAATCTTTGATAATTTAATTTCAGGATGTGTGCCTCAAGGTAGTATGGCGTGATATGCTCCATACGTCGCAGACCATAGACAAATCTCAAACAATAATTCTGTGACCGCTGGAGCATACCCGCCTGAGTCGCAGTCAAGTCATTGATCAATGAGTTGCAGTAACTGAAGTGGGGTAGTACAAGTGATTTGATCAAATGTAGTTTAGTGTGTTGTGGTAAAAAATTCTGTAATCTTTTCAATGAATGTATGGAGGCAAAAACCTTTTTTCGTGTGTCCGTAACTGCTATGTCCCAAGTAAGTGAAGAGTTGAAGATCAAAAGATCAACATAGACAATAAACATAAATATAAGCCTAAACAAAAATCATAAATATGGATGGTTTTTGTTTTAAAGTCGGTTGTCAGTTTCACTGTTTTTTAGCAAAAACAAAAAACCAAAGATTAACTGATGGAGAAAATTTGTTATACAATAATTTCTCTACAGTAGCTGGATTAGTTTTGTCTCTCCAATCGGAGATATTCTCAATTTCCTTTATAGTCCAGGACCTGACTAGGGTTCTGTGTGCATGTCGTGTATAGTGAATTTTACTTTTGCATTTCAATATAGGTGTCTTAGGAAGTGTTTTCCACTCGGGTGTCAAGTTCGCACCTGGTACGTTTTCGAGCTATGACGTCATCAAAATGGCGGCCATTGATTTTTTTAAATTGTATATTTCGCAAACTATTTGTCGGATCGGAATGAATGTTTTTTTGTTTGAAAGATAATTTTAAATGCTACCTGTTTTACATTTACACATTTGTTGTATGTTTAGTACATTCTTCGTAATTTTGCAAAAACCTGTATTTTTAAATATTTTTGAGTTATTTTTGTTTGTAACGTTTTATTGATACAATTTATAAAAAACCACCAATGAAAAAAGTTGTAGAACATTTAAAAATCTTTACAAAAATACCAAATTCGATATGTTTTACTCAAAAGATTACTTCAAGAAACTAGATAAATCTCATAAAAACACCAATTTTGGCGCAAAAACGCCTATTAGTCCGGCATCTAGGGCAGTTCGCAAGTCTTATAAAGACAGTTTCGCCATTCAATGTTGATGTACGTGTCTAAATAAGTGTTTTCAACTCGGGTGTCACGTCTGCACCCACTGCAGTTTCCGGTTATGACGTCATTAAAATGGCGGAAAGGGCTATATTAAAAATAACGATATTTTACATACCATGTATTGGATCGGAATGAACTTTTTTTTGTTTGAAAGATAAGTTTACATGCTATCTTTCTTACATTTGCACTTTTGTTTTATGTTTAGTACATTTTTCGTAATTTTGCAAAAACCTATATTTTTAAACATTTTTGTGTTATTTTTGTCGATAACGTTTTATTGATACAATATATCAGAAATAACTTATAGACAAAGTTGTAGCACGTTAAAATAGCTTTACAAAAATACCAAATTCGATATGCTTTACTCAAAAGATCACGTCAAGAAACTAGAAAATCGTACAAAACAACCTAATTTTGCGCAAAAACGCATATAAATCCGACATCGATGGCTGTGTTCGAGTCATATATAGACAGTTTTACCATTCAATGTTGATGTATGTGTCTAAAGAAGTGTTTTTAACTCGGGTGTCACGTCTGGACCCACTGCAGTTTCCGGTTATGATGTCTTAAAAATTGCTACATGTTACGATTTCACCAGCTATTTTACTTAAAATAAGACCATTACCCTCTTTTATGCAAATAAAAGCACAACAAATCAATGTAATTAGTCCATAGGAATGTTTCCACTATATAAATACCCCCGGTGCAGCAATCCTTTCTACTAAGCGAATTTCCATTTGCATGGATTGAGATTTATATGCGTTTTTGCGCAAAATTAGGTTGTTTTGTACGATTTTCTAGTTTCTTGACGTGATCTTTTGAGTAAAGCATATCGAATTTGGTATTTTTGTAAAGCTCTTTTAACGTGCTACAACTTTGTTTTTAAGTTATTTCTGATATATTGTATCAATAAAACGTTATCGACAAAAATAACACAAAAATGTTTAAAAATATAGGTTTTTGCAAAATTACGAAAAATGTACTAAACATAAAACAAAAGTGCAAATGTAAGAAAGATAGCATGTAAACTTATCTTTCAAACAAAAAAAAGTTCATTCCGATCCAATACATGGTATGTAAAATATCGTTATTTTTAATATAGCCCTTTCCGCCATTTTAATGACGTCATAACCGGAAACTGCAGTTTGTGCAGACGTGACACCCGAGTTGAAAACCCTTATTTAGACACGTACATCAACATTGAATGGCGAAACTGTTTTTATAAGACTTGCGAACTGCCCTAGAGGCCGGACTAATAGGCGTTTTTGCGCCAAAATTGGTGTTTTTATGAGATTTATCTAGTTTCTTGACGTAATCTTTTGAGTAAAACATATCGAATTTGGTATTTTTGTAAAGATTTTTAAATGTTCTACAACTTTTTTCATTGGTGGTTTTTGATAAATTGTATCAATAAAACGTTACAAACAAAAACAACTCAAAAATATTTAAAAATACAGGTTTTTGCAAAATTACGAAGAATGTACTAAACATACAACAAATGTGTAAATGTAAAACAGGTAGCATTTAAAATTATCTTTCAAACAAAAAAACATTCATTCCGATCCGACAAATAGTTTGCGAAATATACAATTTAAAAAAATCAATGGCCGCCATTTTGATGACGTCATAGCTCGAAAACGTACCAGGTGCGAACTTGACACCCGAGTGGAAAACACTTCCTAAGACACCTATATTAAAATGCAAAAGCAAAATTCTCTATACACGACATGCACACAGAATTCTAGTCATGTCCAGGACTAAATCTTTCCCGGAACGTACACCACTTTCAGTGTTCGTTTACGATTTATTCAATCTCTTTGCTTTATCTTTAGGTCTAATCACATATTGTTTGGTATCATTGGAAAGGGTATAGAATCATCTGCAACTTTTGCAATGGGTGGTATTTGATTTTATCAGCGGTTAAGAAGTTATAAGCAAAACAATAAATATAATAATAATAAAAAACACGTTTTTTAATATAGTGAGATAAATATTAAGTTTACAACAAAAGTGTAAATACAAGAAAGATAGGGTGTAAAAATATCTTTCAAACAAAAAATAAATCATCCTGATCCATTAAACGGTTCGCGAAATATACGCATTCAAAAATTGCTGAGCCGCCATCTTGATGACGTCATAGCTCGAAAACGTACCAGGTGCGAACTTGACACCCGAGTGGAAAACACTTCCTAAGACACCTATATTGAAATGCAAAAGTAAAATTCACTATACACGACATGCACACAGAACCCTAGTCAGGTCCTGGACTATTATTGTTTCTGACCATTTGATGTACTGTAAACTATAAATTACATTCAAGCGTATGAAATACAGCATCACAAACACCTTAACACTGCTTGACAGTTTGCAAAGGTGAACATTGACAATGTCTTCTACAGTATACAAAATTCAATGATTGTATAATGTATTCAAATTTCCAGTGCTTTAATGGTGGCTTTACTCAGTGCATTTGGAACCTTTATAGTCCTTTGTGAGCTTTTTGGACATACGCTTTAGTAATATTTCCTCTTTTTGATTCTTAGCAATCCAATATCTCTCTTACACAATGTACACCTTGTACAAACTTTTAAAAAGTAACAAAATAATGCAATAATTAAAAGTGTGAAGATGAATTTTGAAAACAAAAAAATTGATTTAACTTTATAATGAAAACATCTATATTCAAAACAAAAAGATAATCAACTAAAATTATAAAGGGGCGAAATATATTGACATCTCAACTGCTAAATAATGTTCTGTCATTTAGAGTAGATATAAAATAATCAATATGTGTTACAGTTCATCTGATCCCAAGTGAGTATAACATCAATTAGCAATCAAATACAGCTATAATGCTTTATCTGTTTGCTTTTATAATATTAAAGTTGTACAGCTGAGGCTGGCATTATTTACCTCTATCTATTTACAATTAAATTGGGTACATTTTAGAGATTTGTTAAATGTCCTGTTAAAAGCTATAAATATTTTTTGCTTTTTGCCATTTTGATCAAAATATTTAAAAGTAAAAAGTCTTCAAATGCTATCCTGAAATGTTGAATCGTGTAATAATGAAAAAAAATTATCTTAAACGCTTTCATGCAACTAGTTTAGTTGCATGCAGTCAGATATAGTTTAAATAGTAAAATTTAATTTTAAAATTTGGACTAGTATATGAGTAGTCTAATATTTGAGAGTTTAAATTTTTTTATTCAATCAAATTGGCAATTTAGTTGGTGGAAAACTCAACATTCAACACATTTTTAGAGAAAATCGCTTTTACTGATATTGTTTATTTATTTAACCAGTTTAAGCAGTATATTATTGTTCTTGACTCATTCTTTCCGGTAATCATTTAAAAATCTATGATTGTAATTCATCTTCTGTAATTAGTTTTGCTTTTAGTTCTAGTTCTAATAATTTTACATTTTATCTATTTGTTGTGTATTGTTTGTTGTGTAGTAAATATTTCAATGTCTCTAAATATTATTTTATTTTCTAACATTTTGAGTTTGACCAATATCAAATTTAATGATTTGAGTTTGACACAAGCTGGCAATTCATAGTAAGATTAAGTCAAAACTACTTTGCACCTAATCAAAGTTGGTAAAATGACAAAGTAAAAATTATTTTAAAACTATAATGTGATGCTTGAAAGAAAAACTACTCATATTTCTAAAACTATATTTCAGTAATAATTGTTTACTGGAATACTCAAGGCTTATGGGTACTTAATACTCATAATCTTCCATCTCCTAAAGCTCTGTACAATTTTAGAACTTTTGTGCCATGCCTTTCTTGCTGTGTAATCTTTTCTCAAACTCTTTCTTTTTTATTAGCACAACTAAAAACTGCTTCCATTAATCCATACCCAACGTCATCAACACTTTGAAAACCAGGTTAAAACTGTAGAAATACTCGTAGTTGTAATCACCCACTAACAGATGAGTAAGTTGATTAAATTTAACCCGTTTTGTTTTGATGTTAACTGGACAAAAGCTAAAAGAGTTCTTAATGTTTGTTGGATATTATGATCGTATGTTTTATATTACAGACAAGGCAGTTCAGGATACACCCCAAGAGATAGGGGTGGGCCTATCACTGGGCCCGTCATCCCTACAGCACCTGTCATCGAGGATAGCAGCAAGGTAACCACCATATACTAATTAGAATTTGTCATTTTAATAAATATATTTATTTGTGCATTTTATTTTCCAACCAGGGTTATCCTTAAGGTGAGGAAATTGTATTATTGTTTGTCTTTTCTGCAGTTCACACTTGTATCCTCTTCATTCGTAGGCTTTTGCAGCTGGTGTACCGAATGAAACACTAAGTCTGAGTTATCTTCTTATCTATGACTTATCTACTTAGTATCGAATTGTGGATATTTACAGGCATGCACTGTGGATGCGATGCTCCCTGGTGTGGATTAACGTCCGCACTAGTGAGTACTACGACTATCCGCAGTACTATCTTCATCTTGATAATTAGACCAATTCATATATACCATGGCAAAAATGTGGTTCGGATTCCACTATAAACTGTAGGTCCCTTAGCTGCCTTAGCTGTTTGGGCTATAACAGCTGTGTCTAAGGAATATGTCGGCCTTAGTTACTAACAAGACTACAAGATCGCGCCACTCATCCTACACTCAACCCCATTCATACTTGGCTTAAAATAACTACTTTGTATGGTCACCATTTCATTGAAAAGTATAAAGTATCTGAAGTTAAAATAGCACAGTTGCTTAATGTACCTGGTAGAGAGACATTATCAATCTTCCAAACTTAAGAATCCAAAGTACTTTTTGGCATCAACCGCGTTAATTGTGGATTTCTGCTAGATGTTTTGCCCCTACACTATGAAGAGACATCTTTAGTGGCTAAGATGAGAAACTGAGGATACCACTTCACGAAAACATCCAAAGATCCATATGCTCTTCCGTTTTGGTTATTCCTAGGTCTGGTTGTTGACAATGCCCATCCATCTTCTCCTATTTCTCCACAGTTTCTCTTTTTTCATCATCTGTCATCTCACTCCTTTCTTCTCCACAACCCCCCCCCCTTTCTCATCCATCCACCTCTTTGTATGTCTTCCTTTGTCACCATCAACTTCATATTACTCGAAGCAGTAATAATAATCAAATAAATTATTGGAAAAAAGTTTGGTTTAGGAAATGTTTTATTCCTCACGTATAGAAACAGGGTATCTTACAGTAAAATTATAATTTGTTATATTTCCATTCTGTAGTAGTGATTTGGACTCTTTATAGCTGTAATACCAACTTAAAAGGATGCTTCTTTACAAAAACCTCTCTGTGTAGAGTATGGTGTGACTATATGTACAGCGGTAATAAAGATGGAATGGTTGTTTAGAATAGTCACAAAACTATTGTAAATCTAAGTTTCATTGATGGAGTGTTTTTGTATTTTGTTTTATATATTCCAAACCCTAGAAATGTATTAATAGGCTAAGTGGAGGGCAAAATAAAATAAAAGGAATGGCATCAGTGCCAAAATACTACAAAATTACTAGTATAAAAGTTGTTTTCTTTAAACTTTAAGCTCTACCAATGTTATTTTTATAATATCCACTTTTTAGATAAAGGATGTGGGAGTGTTCACCCTAGTGCAGCTTAATAGACCAGAGTGGGGATGGCTATTTCTTGGTCTTCTGGCCTGTATCATCAATGGAGCCGTAACTCCTGTTTATGCCTTCTTCTATGGAGAAGTGTTTGCGGTAAGTATATTACAATAGCGAGAGCTGTGGATTGGGAAAACAAATTTGGAAAAACATTATAAAAAAATGCTTCTGGTTAGATATAGGGACTACTCCGTTCATCACTTTGTATCACTGTTGCAGTTTGAGGTATTATTTTGCACATTTTCTAAAAATTATTATTATTATTATTATCATGATTGGTAAAAAAGGTTTAGTGATGTTGTGGAATGTGGAATCTGACCTTGAATCCACATGAGAAAGTTATTAAAACAAAATTTAGTTCACTAATCCACTTAACACTTTGAAACAGTATACCAGCTGTTATTGACTCTATTCGTATATGTATAGTTTGAACAAAAATTATTTTGTTTGATTTTAATCAAAAAAAGAAAAAAGTAAAACCATTGAAAATCCCCCACAAATAGTGAAAATAGAGCGTTATCAAACACAAAGGACAAGTATGCAGAAGAAACAAAAAAAAATCAGCTGCAAGGCTTAAGATCAGCTGATTTTTGTCAGAATTCTTCTTTATTGTTGACCTATGAACGATTGCAGCAGATTTTGGTTTTGAACATTTGAACAAGCAACAGACATATAAGGAGGATTGAAATCATCGTGATTGAATTAATTTACTAGACCTAAACATCAAGGGGCTCAATCTCCTAGCCATTATTTTATTTTTAGTTTTTTTTCAAATCTAGTTTCTAGTAATATAAGGTAACCCTACTTAAGAGTGGTATCTATCTAGTATTTTTAGTACATTATACCTTTCACATCAATTTACAGGTTCAAGCTCAGGGGGAAGGTACAATTTTTTATCAAGGGTGTTGTTACTTCTCAAAACGTATATTTTCTCAATCAAGCTTATAACTTTTACATCATTTTACAAGCTCAAGCGCAAAGGGGAAGGGTACACCTTTTTAACGAGATGGTTGTTACCTATCAATTTAATATACCGGTATTATCATCAGAACTTTTACATGTTACTCGTGTTTTTCAGGTATTTTCTCTACAAGGAGACGAGCTCGTACACACAGCACTGTTGTGGTCTATAATGTTCGGAGTCCTCGCTGTTGTTTCAGCTTTAAGTTCTTCCTCCCAGGTAATTAGCACATTAAAAAACTTAACAGATAACTGACTTTTGGGAGTTTTACATAGGCTACTTGATTTCGCATGAACTGTTTTCAATCACAAATTATTATTTTAGGTCTAATAAAAATAAATTTTGAATAATATAAAGTTTAGGAAAGTAATGCATGCAGCTCATTGTTTGGAGAAAATGCAACAATTAAGTTACAAAAATATTGATAGCCCTTAATTAATTATTTACTTTAATATTTATATTCATTAGTGTATGGATCAAACCTCTAGCTTGAACAGTTTGATCACTTTACCATTCCCATCTAAAAATATTACTATTAATTTGTCACAGACTATCAACATGGAGATGGCTGCTGAGAAGTTAGTGATGAGGATCAGACTACAAGCTTTTACCAACATCTTGACTCAGCCAATGGCGTGGTTCGATTTCAACAAAAACTCTGTTGGCAACCTCATTACCAGATTGGATAGAGACGCTCCTCTCATCAAAGGGGTAAAAATATAACTTTGAGTCACATAGCAATTCACATTTGAACAGAATAGAAACAAAAGATGAAATAGTTAGACCGAAGCCCAACTTATTAGAACAGTTAAAAGATCCATCATTTAGGGTTATATATTATTCAATTCAATAACTTGTGTATGTGTATTCCTATTTCATCAACTAGATTTTTATCTTTGGTAAAACAATCTAGGTAAAGCCATCACACAAAACAAAGCTTTCTTGATAAAGCTGATACAATATTTTTCGTAGGGTTTCAAAACAAGTTAAGATTGTTTTAACTGGCAATGGCGTAAATACTTGCTCGGTAATCTTATTGCTATTTACACCATTTACCAAGGAAAAAAGTCGGCAGAGTGATAACCTTTTCATCAGTAAGATAATTGTGTATGCATTCGTTTGTCCTTTAGGTATTCCTAAGCTAAACTAACTCTTTCATCTATAAACAGTCTAACCAATATACTAAATTTATCATAGATACAGCCTAGTACCATAGGCTAATTGAAATAGGTTATTATTAAGATTTTCACTCATCCAAAATGTGCTGAGAGGTAGTAAATTTCCGTAGGATCCTGAATCTGAAGGGAGGCGATGTATCTAGTATCACAACATCATCTGACTACATTTATTATAGATCCAAATTTTTACAATATTTGTCTTATATTCTGCTGCCATAACATTTATGTACTTATAAATAAATCAATTCGTTAAAATGCGTTTTAGAATGTTTTATACTTAAACCCAACGAAGGCCCAACGATTCTTTCCTTTGTAGGGCCAAAGAATACCAGTTTCCGTTGGGCCAATAACGTTGGCAAATTGTTAAAATTTCTGCCACCCATTTCCCAACTGTGCCGACCATTTCCCAACGTTGGGCCAACGATGTGTGCTACTTGGGGATGATGATGTGTGGCGCAAGTCCATGCAAAAGAGATGAGAAGAACAGAAATCTTAAACGTAACGACCTGTCACTCCCAATGCATTGCACTTTACAGATTATTTGCGCTATTTCAGTTTATAGACGATGATATCGGTTGCCCAAAATGTGGATCGGGTTCTTGAGCACAACACAAAGACCGCCACTAACATGGGACGAATAAATAAATTTAGAGAGATTTTAATATTAAAAACACCCAACCCAGGGAGTGTAATTATTGACAAATGAGGACATGCACAAATACGGAACAGAACCCCGCAGTGTCTACATGAGTGTCAGCCAAGAGAAACGATGCGACTGAGACTGAACGTTTGCTTGACGAATTCAGCGTCCTTGAAGGTAAAAGGAATTGGAACATCTGAAAAACTGAATTTATTTTAGCTAGCAAATGTCACTGCAGTTTGCAGGTATGCAACATCCTTCAAGAAAATCCCCCCCTCTCTCTCTTCTCTACACATGCAACAACCAAAAGTAATACATGGACTCAGCAATGTTTAAAACTATATACAATCTTATCTAAATACTATAAACAGGTGGATTTGCTTACCTTTGGGGAATTATTTGACATCTGTAGACCAAAAAGTATATCAAAGCGTGCTGTGTAGTCATTGTTGTCATAGTGTGTGTTGTCCAGGCTGCAGGTCAGAGAGCAGGCCACGTGATTGGCTCTTTCGTCATGATCGCTCTTGGCAGTCTCATCGCTTTCATCTTCAGCTGGCAGCTTGCACTAGTCCTCGTGTTCATGATGCCCATCCTCATCGCTTGCTCCTACCAAGAAGTCGTAGTCTTGCGAAGCTCACAATTGAGAGACACTAGACTTATGGACAAAGCTGGAAAGGTAATTAAAAATATAATAAAACACACAACTATTCATTTTTTATGTTACCGTACTGCTTATGGTTACTTACTACATGTATAAATTCAAGATTTGTATTTATCGTTACATAAAAGATTAAGCATTTAATTTTAATATCCCTACTATTCCCTATATGAGACATTTCTTAAAAGTACTGTATCTAAATTGGCCTTTGTGTATGAACACAATCCCAAATCTTGTAAGTATTTTAACAAAAAATAAATAAACTAATAAATACAGACATAAATTTTATAATTTTATTGATTTACTTGCCAACGTTTTAAAATATTGTTAAGCAATTAGTTCATGTACTGATCCCAAAAGAGGAATCAAGCTAATTAAATGTCTATGTTGATGCTTTCAGTTTAAGTAATACCAATTCTTACTTATTCAAAAATGTCTTACTGTTATTTCAGCTTGCCTCGCAGTGTGTTCAGCACATTAGAACCGTTCAAATCCTGGGCTGCGAAGACAGATTTGTCAAGCTGTACTTGAAGTATCTTGCACTACCGTTTCAGTAAGTAAAACAAATGTCAAATACTTTACAAGGTTTATAAAAAAGTATCCAACCTTGTTCAGGAAAAGCATAATTTATTGGTCGGTTTTAATATGAGTTTTTTTTTCAAATTTTCCCCTTTTTTGTCCATGTATATTGAGTTACAACACTTTAATATACTAAACTATTTGTTTTTAAGCTTTAAAAAATAGTTTTAAAAGAAATATTTCATGTTTTGGGGGTCAAAAGTAAGAAAAAACTATTTTCACCCCATAAAAGAACCCCGTTTGCATAGTCCAAGTAACGATCATGCTGTTACACAGACTTTTTTTTAGGTAAAATTTAGGTTACCGAATTCGAATTTAATCAAAATCGGAGGATTTTTACTCGTGTAATTGTTCCAACCCTTTTAGAATCAGTGTAGACTATAGTTTTTGTAATAGTTATGCATGTACAGTCTAATTACTTAAATTATTGAGATTGAGAATGTATTGTGTTACAAGAACAAAGCTACACCTTCCATTGCTTTTCCGGCAAAGACTCGATGTTTTAACATGATTAGCCATATTTGACAACAAATGTCTGTTTCGACAGGGAGGGCAAGAAACAAGCTGTTGTGTTTGGAATAATCTTTGCTCTGTCACAAGCCACTATTTACTGGATGTTTGCCTGTACATTCCGTCTCGGAGCCCATCTCGTCAGTACAGGGGAGACTACTGCTATTGCCACCTGCAGGTAATCTCTTCAAATATATGATGGTATAGTTAGTATATAAACATACATACACACACACACACACACAAATATAACTTACATATTTATTTTGTAAAAGTTCTCTTATTTTAGAATAATAAAAAAATGCTACAGTAGAACCTCACTAATTCAACACCCGGTAAACTCGACAGTATGTGTAACTAGACAGTCAATATTTAAAAGGGTGCACACAAAAATAAGAATTTTTCCAGAAAATTTAATTTAGTTTTTATTTTATTTCCTCATTTAATATTCGACATTGGTTTGAAGATTGTTTACTCAATATGTAAAAATACTCATGTAAGTAATAAATTTATATGTATAAATTAGTCGGTTTTGAATTCACTTTTTAAAAATCGATTAAAAATGACACTGTTCTGGATAACTCGACAACCCCAAACTCGACAGCCTCTGTGTCAACAAATAGTCGAGTTAGTGGGGTTTTACGTTGTTTTATCCTAATTAAATCAAATCCATTCAAGTTGTGAGTTATCTTCATATAAATATCTCGTCCTTGGGCATTTTGGGGAGTGACTAGAATAAAGTCTCAATTCAATTGTCACTTTTATTTTCTCTTAGAAAATGAGTCAGCCCAAATCACTAATTAACTTTACCTTTTGGAAATGTACTAGTATATTAAATTTAAAAAAATAAGTTTGAGCACGAGGAGGTGCTTATACTCTGGTCACAAAGCAGTACAAGAACATTTTTCAGAATTGATGTTTTATTTGGCGTCACTAGATGAAATGAAAAACTTCAAACCCTTTCTAAACAGATGTTTTCTTTTTTTTAGCTCAAATACCAGATAGCAGCCCACTGTATATGCATCCTCACCTTTACTGTGCTGTGCATCCTACTGAATGCACAGTAAACTTTCAATTGGAGCGAATATTCTAGGACACAACTGTATCAGATAAATGTTGACAGCTTTGGGGAAATTAACACTATACTGTATTGATCATTGTAGGCCTCCTTCTTCAAATATGTGTTATATGTTGTTTATTTATTTAATCCATTAACCTTTAATTTATGTTTTATCACAAGTTAATACATCTCCCCCTATTGCAGGGCAATAGTTACCACCTAGGCACCTAAACATAATTTTAAATTTCTTTTAGCCCCTTTATGCCCTATATTCAATTGTAGACATTCAAAGAAAATTAACAGCTCATCTCCATGGTGCAAATATTGTTGTGGAGGTGGAGCTTCAAAGTGAGGGCTATTGGGTGGTTGCCTCCCAAGTCCATCTAGTGCCTCTTCAAAGCAAGAAGGGATGTCTCAATAACCTCTATGTTTCTTGAAGTAACTCCCCTGATCTGTTACACAATTAAGTTACTTCGTCTGGGCATAACAGTTCCGCTATGAGTTGATCCTTCGAAACTTAATGTGGGATGAAAGTGAGAGAGCTCTCCTGCTTTACCTTCTTAGAAAACTCGCTTAAGATGTGTTTGTAAGAACAATAACTAAAAACGCAAGGGTTGATACATAAAATAATTAAGTTTAAACATTCATAGGAGAAAGTCTAGTCTAAAATATTTCATAGGTTTTAGGTTATTTTCAATTAAGATACATCTTATGAGATAATTTGTCACATAGTTTTTCCAGCTTATGCCGTGATTGTTTTTACAGGGTGTTCTTTGCACTGACACTATGTGCTGCAATGGTAGGCACAGCTTGTGCATACGTACAAGACTTCACCAAAGCAAAGATGGCTGCTGCAAGGATGTATCATCTAATAGATCGAAAGTCCGAGATCGACAGTGGGTCTGAGGAAGGCGAAAAACCAGTGAGTTACATAAAAATATAATAGTTTGAATTTAATTAAGTAGAAGATGTTTATTAAAACTTTGTGTTAAGTAATTATCATAAAAAATTGTGACAAACACATGATGAAACATCTTATGAATATTTCTATATGGTATCTCAACAATAACAGAAACTACTACTGTCCACTCCTAGTAAAATTTTGTACCATATTCTCAAAATCACCCTAACATCTGTCAAAGCATGTTATATTAATGGAAGAGCAATGTTTACTTTGGTGTCTACAGTATCCTTATCGTTTTTTAGGACATCAAAGGACATGTTGTATTTGAGAGAGTGAGGTTCAGTTATCCTGTGCGATCCGAGACAATAATCCTGAAAAACCTGACGTTCTCTGTAAAGCCTGGTGAGACATTAGCACTGGTGGGTGAGTCAGGCTGTGGCAAGAGTACAGTGGTCGCTCTCATGATGAGATTCTACGACCCCTTCAGTGGAACTGTGGTAAGTCATCTAGGTGTATGATAGCAGTACAAAAGTTCGTACAAAAGTAGCGAATTCTGACATTTATTACATTGTAATGACAGACAATTAATTAATTAATTAATTTATGTTCTTAAAGATGCTTGATGGCATAATTGTTCCCAATATTCAGTGTCATTGTTGTAACGTATAACTGATGGCATTTTTGTCACAGATGATTGATGACGTTGACATCAAGAAGATCCACGTTCCACATCTCCGCAGCTGCCTAGGTCTAGTGACGCAGGAACCTGCTCTCTTCAACACCAGCATCAAAGAGAACATCGCCTTCGGACTGGACACTACCAACCTCACCAACGAGGCTCTCATGGCCAAGGTTATCACGGCTGCCACCATCGCAAAGTGTCACAACTTCATCACCAAGCTGCCAAATGTGAGTCTGTTATGGATCAATTTTTTTATATCTAACGTTAATGTTCCATTATAGTTCACACTAATTTTTTTTATGTCCAATCTCTACTTCGTAAGACTTAAGTTTCTAGCCCGGAACTTTTTTACAAATTACTTCAGGATAGGTCAAGATGGTTGAGGCATTATTAATGAGAAAAAATCCATTGGTGATGATTTGAATCCAGGACTTCAATAATCGATGCCCTGCGCTCATTACTAGTCCAGCTTGCTACCCTATATCAGCTGTTACCATTCCATCATATTCATTAACAGCTACGCTAAATAGCGTTCTGAAGGCGAAAGGCTTATTATAGGATGCTCTTTCGGAAGTCTAAGAGACCACCAAGAGACCAAAAGAGAGAAATTCCCATTATATCTTAAATAAAATAGTTGTATAGATTAGAAGTTTTGTCAGGGGAACGGGAATAACCGTGCAAAACCATTTCAGAACCTGCCTTTGCTTTATCTCTATATCAATGTTTTTAAAGTGTAAAACTGTAAAACAGTAAAAAAAATTAAAAGAAATGTTCAAACATATATACTGATACTCATAAAGTGATGGAAAGGATGCATTGTTGTGCTGAGGAAAAATTTGTCCAAGAAGGGAACTAGACGAATAGTAAATGATAGAGAGGAGTCATAGCTCTTGGTTTGTTTCAGTTACAGTACCTCAGATTATATATCAAGAAGTAGTTTACAATTAATTCTGGTTTATCTGGAGTTCTTAAGAAAAAAAAAATAAACTATTTACTTGTCTTGGAAAACACTAGGTACTGAATTTGATAGTGAATCAAATTCACATTTCAGCAAACTGTTTTTAAAAACCGTATACATGTTAAAAATAAATAATAAATTGTTATTACTTTTTTACTATTGAATTATTAAATTGAATTTTCTCTAATGTAGGACTATGACACACATGTGGGTGAGGGAGGACAGCAATTGTCTGGTGGTGAAAAGCAGAGAATAGCAATAGCAAGAGCCATCATACGGGACCCCAAGATACTGCTGTTGGACGAACCCACTTCAGCGTTGGATTCGGAAAATGAGAAAGTAAGTCTTCAGTGATTCTTATACATTGGGATATTATTATTATATACTATTGAGATAGGAGTACAAATATTTGAATCTATTTCAAATCAAATCAAATAAAAATCATGTTTATTTCAAAAAGTAAAATACAGTATTACAGTACAATACTTTTTCAGTAAAAATGTTACATTAATGTAATAATAGCTACAGTTATTTGACTGAGGGTTAGTGTAAAATGAAGGAATATGCATTTATAAACCTTTGTTAAATATCATGTTAGTTAGGATGGCGTATAGGGAAGAATGAAGAAAATGCTTCCAAAAATATTGAGTCACACCACTAGTCGAAGTTGATCTAGCGGCAATTAGTTGTTGATACTGTACAAAATAACAATAGCGATGGGGGAAGGGTTTTTGTGGGCTTGCGTATCCTGCTTATTACTCTAACTGACACAATCTATACAATAAGCTGTTTCTTTAGCTTACCATCCATCAATGAAAAGTACCTAGGTCATAAAAATAGAGGGATACACGTAATCTTGAACCTCAGTTTTTTTTTTTTACACTTAAGGGAGGAGCTTAAGGGGCAACCTCTATATTTTTATGGAGGAGTGCCTGATAGATTATAATCTTCAAGAAAATATATTTTTAAAAGCATCATTCTTGTTCTCCACTTCTTAAAAGTTTTTGTGATTAACTGATATCCTACGTGAATATGACGATTGCTCCCCAAAACCTTTATCACACAGTACTCAAGGTATTTTAAATAACCTTTCATTCAGTTATCGTATCAATTGGAGTGGCGTGCCGGATGCACCCTCATAAGACTCATTCCCCACTATCATTGCTGTAATTTTGTACGGTCATCTCAACAATTGATTACAGTTTTAATTTAATAATACAAGTGTCTAGTGGTGTGTCTCTGGTTGTTGTTGAAAGCCTTTCTTTCATCCCACTCGCCACCAAATGTACACAATCTTTAAAACAGTGATCCATACATTAAAAATATATAGAATTAACCCTAACTTAACATAACCTCCACAGGTAGTACAAGAAGCGCTGGACCGAGCGTGTGCCGGACGGACGTGTATCATCATCGCACATAGACTGACGACCATCCAGCGAGCGACCACCATTGTGGTGATGCAGCAAGGCAAAGTAGTGGACATTGGCACTCACACGTACCTCATGCAGAACTGTAAGGTTTATCAGGACTTGGTGGCCAAACAGGCTGAATTGGCTACCTCATAACCTGATAATGTAAACCAATTGTTTCTAATATGTTGTTCCCTCCATTTCTTCTTTGCACACTTTTAAGGCTGTGTTTAATTGTATTGTTTATGTTAAGGTTGATAAAAAATTCTGCTAGATTGGAAACCTGAATTTATTGATGGACTGTGATACAGTTAATGTGACTAGATACAAGACTAGATAAAATACGCTTTAGTTCAAATTTCAAAACAACTTTTTAGAGGAGAGTCGGTGGCTCAGTTGGATGTGTAGCCAATGAATACATGAGTTAGGTAGTAACAAGACTAGTGTTTGGAAAACTCTTGTACTAAAATGTTGAAAAATGCCAATGGTGTCAAAATACACAAATAAAAAATAAAAAAAATTGAGTTATATAGTTTACACTTGTACTGTACCGGTTCACCCCTTACTTTGCTCGATAAGTTCCACACACAGTCCCATGGCCCATGTGGATGTGATTAAAAAAGTCTGCCAACCTCTTTTCGTAAAAACAAAACTTTGCTGGTCCAAAGAACTTTCTAAACCAATTGTTTGTTACAAATAATTTATTTTTTATTTATTTCTTCTAGCACTTTTCTAAAGGCTGTGTTTAGTTGTATTGTAGTTAAGGTTGGCTATATTGTTGATTAAGATAAACACAATTATGTTGAAATGCGAAACTGACTTGCATTTGTTGATTTATTGACCAGTGATAATTTAAGGACGAGCTCTCCGCTTAGGCGTACATAAAGGTACCTATTATGAATACACAATCAAATTTATTGGGTTTTTAATGGACTGTGTACTATCAAACCTCCTGACGCTCTTTTCTTGTGTAGTTCATTATGAAACCACTCCTTCTTCCTTGAACTACACAGTAATCAATTGTATTAATTCATGGCAAATTATATAACTATATCATATCACTGGTAAGTTTTTAAATATAATTGTGTTTTAAATACCTTTTCCTACAGTCACCCGACAAAGTTGGCTTCCTTGTACTGTTTATAGTACAGAAAGCTGCTAATTGCTGCATATTTATACTTTGCCGTACTGTTTATACTTTGTCGTACGGTTTATACTTTGCCGCACATCAGGATTCCAACAAAACAACACAAAACAGCGTGGTTCTATTATGCACGTAATCCGTGTACGCTTGGAAATAGGTTGGCAACACTTAAAGATAATAATACTATGAGCAGCTGATTGACTATTATAACTACGATTTAACCTGTCATTTCGTGTTTATAGTTTCGGTATTTCTGAACTTTCTGGACTTTTCTTTTAAACGTTTTTAAAACAATCCTACGATCTTAATAAACAAGAAAATACCTTTAAAGCATTTTTTTAGGCGCGGAAACCACTTCAAATTACAAAAACATACGGAACTATATTCTCAAAACACGGAGCACACTTCTTGCCGAGGAAAAATAGCGGAGTGATACGGACCGCGGGTACTACTTTCTCTAGGGCACCATTTGTGTTGCCAGCTAAACCTAAAAACGTGTTGTATAGTGTTTGAAAGACTAATTATTTATATGCTTTATAGTGACTGTAGGAAAAATATAATGTGTAACACGAGTGAAAAAGGCCTTTGCTGCACTCGAGATCTTTCATCATTCAGAATTCGAAAATAGCCCATTTCCATACAGCTAAGTTCTTTGAAAATCGTTAATATATTTCCATACACCAAAAACAAATAGTGACCAGCTGACTTTTCCTGAGAACACGAAATATCAATTATTTTTTATGTTTGATGAAGTAGTTTTTTCATCGTGATAAAAATTATTGTCAATACTTTTCACGAAAGTCCCATTTTGGGGCTAAATAGTGTTTCCCATGCTCGTCATCGACTCGCATGTCACACAACACTGTCTCGCCCCGAAATGGGTAATTTTCGTGACTAGTAGTGAAATATACTATTTACAACCGGAATAGTTCTTGTAGTCTGTCTAGGCTACCGGTTTCCAAGACCAGTTTAAGTGAGTCTTCATCAGGCCCCAAGGTGTCAATTTTTGTTCTTTTAGAACATGTCAGTTTTTTGTAGAGCAATACACACAAAAATGCACGAACAAAACACATAAAATACAAACATTTGGCCAATTAATTAAAAAGTAATCTGGAGCAGTCTATAAATATATAATGTTCATTTCATGATATAATTTACGTATGTTCAAGTTTGAACCTTTGTAGTCCAGTGCAATTAGACAAAAAATGACCTTGACCCGGACAAAATTGATAACAGGCTGAAAATTGGTGGAAACGTTCAGAACAATGTCCTGAGTGGCCCACACAAAGTCCCAAGAAATCCCAGTTGGGGAACGGCCGCCATCTTGAAAAAACCGCCGCCATCTTGGAAATTTAGATTTCTTGCTGTATCTTTTGAAGTAATAGTTCGAAAGGCATTATTTATGTCTCAAATTAAGCGGTTTGAAATCATGTATGAGTGTAGTATATAATTAAAGAGTTTAATACGTTCTAAGCATAAATATTATTTATATTACCTAAATATATATCCATAAAAATGATTTAAATTTACAAAATATTTACAAAATGAAGTTTTTTTTTTCTTTTGTTCTTAATGGACTTGTTAAAGCCATTAATCCTTTTGGCATTTCATGCAGTTCACTATGTTTAGTCTTTGGAATTGGTTAAATAAGGGGTGAAGTCAAGACCCCCCTCCTCTAATATTTTTCTAAGTAAGTATACAGAAATATCCTTTTGGTGGTGTTGCAATCTTAGTTTCATTTGATGATTTTGAAATATTTGAGTGTCCCCCAAAAAGAGGGAATTTTAAGGGCAACTCAAAAATTTTAAAGTAAATCCTATTCAAGTGAAGTGTTCACAAAAACTTAAAGAATGGTGAAAACCAGAGTTCCCTATATCTTCTCTATCCAAAATGGTAGCCCGTCAAAAGTTTAATAACGATAGTGTTATATTAATTTTCCTGTGTAGTAAAAAGTAATTCCCCCCCCCCCTTTAATTTGTTCCGAAGTAAATATTATAGAGTAATCCTTTTGGTGGTGATGCAACCTTAGCAGGAAGTTTCATTTTATGATTTTAAAATCTTTAAGTATTCTCCTCTGTCCAAAATGGTAGCCAATATTACAATTACGAACCAATATTACCATTGATTTTCCATAACGTTTGACGGGCTACCATTTTTGATAAAGATGAAAAAGCAAACTCTGGTTTTCACCATTCATAAAGTTATTGTAAACTCATTAAAATGAGATGTCACTTGAAGAGGGTTTACGTTTAAATTTTTTGAGTTGCCCCCAAAATACCCCCTTTTTGGGGAACATTTAAAAATTTCAAAATCATAAAATGAAACTCCCTGCTAAGATTGGACGACCACCAAAAAGGACATCTCTGTATATTCACTTAGAAAGTATTAGAGAAGGGGAGTATTGACTTTTTATTCACCTAAATGCTGTAATTTGTTATTTATTTATTTATTCCAACGGCAAGATCACCAATTTACAATGTGGATTCAAGAAGCCTAAGTGGTAACAACATCCATTTTAACAGAAAACTTAACGAACTTAAATCTATAGCAGGAGCAGAGCAACATCGGTAACAGGAAATGTAATCTTGACTAGGAAAGCATCAATTTAACAATGAAGTACAAAATTAATTATGAAAAAGCAATTAATAATATCGTTTGTTCCGATTTTAAAAATAGAATCATCTAGATATAGTTGCTATAATTGATTACCATTATATTTTAATATTGCATATAAACTTATAATGTACCTACTCGCTGTTAAATGTTATTGTCGGTGATGTAATCTTCGTTGTAACTATTGCGGTTGGCACATCCGTGTCCAGTGCAGTATCCATGCATCGTGGTGCATTTAAGACCATAAGGGTAGTTGTACTGTATCCATGAATCCATTCCAACCTGGACTTGGGTTGTCATTAAGTTGGTAGTTAATGAGCCATAGGGTGTCAGCAAGACCAGCATCTACAACCATTTTTGGTTCGGAAAGTCTCATAATTGACCTTCTTGTATGTCGAGCAAACTCCAAGCTACGATAGAATGTCTAACAGCAACTACGAGCCATACCGTCTGTGAAGGCCGAGCAGCAGGGGCGATATGAAAGATCGTGGTCGAGCTGCAGCAATAATTGCATGAGCTGTATTAGTTGTCTCCTCTTTAAAGCTTTATCATAGTTAAATGGATATTATATTTATATTTAACCAATTCCAAAGACTAAGCATTGTGGGGTGCAAGAAATTTCAATAGGGTTAATGGCTTAAACAAGTCCATTACAAAATAAGAGAAAAAGCTTATTTTGTATATATTTTGTATATTTATATCAATTATTTTAGATGAGGACGCCACTATGTGCGTATTTTATCAAAATATGAGTGAAGGATGAGTGTAGGATGAGTGGCGCAATCTTGTAGTCTTGTTAGTGACTAAGGCCGACATGTTCCTTAGACACAAATGTTAATTAATAGCCCATACAGCTAATGACAACTAAGGGACCTACAGTTTATAGTGGAATCCGAACCAATTTTTTCCTTGTAATTAACGAATTGGTCTAATTATCAGGATAGTACTGCGGATAGTCATAGTACTCACTTGTGCGGACGTTAATCCACACCAGGGAGCATCGCATCCACCTTGCATGCCTATAAATATCCACAATTCGTATAAAAGGGGGGACATAACCGTATCTATATCGTTATTATGGATATTTTTTAGCTTAATATAATTAAAATGTATGCTTAGAACATAATAAACTCTTTAATTATATATTACCCTCATACATGAGCACAAAACGTTTAATTTGAGACATAAATAAGGTCTTTCGGACAATTACTTCAAAAGATACAAGAAGAAATCTAAATTTCCAAGATGGCGGCAGTTTTTTCAAAATGGCGGCCGTTCCCCAACTGGGATTTCTTGGGACTTTGTGTGGGCCACTCAGGACATTGTTTTGAACATTTCCACCAATTTTCAGCCTGTTATCAATTTTGTCCGGGTCATAACCTAATTGCACTGGACTATTGGCTGATAATTTTTATTTCTTGATATCTTTGCAAACGTTTACACACAACGTATAACTAGTTAGAGGCACGGAGTGGGATATTTAATATTTTCTTAATCATATGAACAAAATTTTTTTACATGAAACGGTTGTGAATGAATATGATATAATTGATAGTTGGTAGCAATGATGACTTAACAAAGTACAACATCCATTACTCTGAGCAACACCCATGCTGACCCTTGTATAACTGTTTGCAGAGAAAATTAACAACTATGTATTAATGAAACCAATTTAAATGTCTAAACATACCTTAACCAATCCAATTTAAAACGTTTCAAGATCAAATTTAAATATTTGCTGTTTATTTTTTTCTGTACTGCATTTAAAAATTCTTTTCAATAAAAAATGTTTGCAAACAAATACAATGTTATACAATATCACGATTAGGCCTAATTGTTTAATTTTTTACTACCAACAATTTTAATTGAGTAAAACAAGCATAAAGACAATATGTTAGAATAACTAAGTTTTGCAATGATTTATGTGATTTTTTAACCAAATACGAGTGTGTATCCTATTAATAATTCTCCTAATAACTTAATAACTTCAAGCAATGTGGCTTACGCAATAAATTCTAATTGAAACGATTTATTCAGGGCTTTTGAACCTGATGTGGATGGCATTTAAAAAATAATCTTATAGTGCTCTTGTATTATACTTGCTTTGTAACGAATAAGAAAACAGTATTATTGCAACTTCTTATGTATCAATACACTTTAGCCATAATTTATGCATTACGCTTATATTGCACAACAATACATAAATGCTACATGCATCACATAAAATATGTCCCCATAATTTATTGAGTTTAAGTAAGAACTATCTGTGATCAATAGATTATGGGAAATTTCTCATTTTCTCGTTTATACACGCTTTTGTAAAAATGTATGGAAAATTTAAGATTTTGTTAAACTTAAGTATTTGTAAAAATGTTGTATACTTATAATAAATTTATATGTATGTAAACTGTTGTACTTTCTCAATACTCCAAAAAATATTCTGATTTACTTAAATGTTAAATATTGAATATCTTTAATTTATTATCTCAATAATAGCTGTTTATAAAAATCTAAACTAATTTAACAAAATGCATCAGGGCCAAGCGGAAAGATATTTTTGTTATAATTCAGCAAAACGCTGTTTTCAATATATGTGCTGGGGTCTAAAGTATAGGCCTAGCTCTTTTCTCCCTAAAGGTGACAACTGACTTTTAGCAATGTTTTTTTTTTTTTGTGCTTTTAGATGTAACAAATGTGCGACATTTTGTGATTTAGTTAGCTTCGCTTAGCTTGATTGATTGATTGATTGTGTGAGGGTGGACTCAAGGTCCAAGCACGTCAACCGAAGCTTATTGTGCATCCCACTTGCCACTAACTGGGTAAGCCTATACCTGTGTCCCTAACTAGGTGCAGGAGCTTTTGCCCAATGTTAGCGTCTGGTTCATCACCTGGCTGCTTTAGACCAAACAGAGCCCTTCTCCTAGCCCGTAGTCCATCGCAGTCCAGAATGATGTGTTTAGCAGTCTCATCGGACTGATTACAAAGTCGACACTCCTGCTTGTCATTGACAATTCCTAGAGTGTGGAGATGATTCCTGAAATGGCCGTGTCCAGTGATAAGAGCAAGTACCTGCTTGACCTGCCCTCTCCCCAGCTTTAGCAGCCAGCGAGTGAAGGGGGTGCTAGGTTCTGAGAGCAGTTTTTTGCCAAGTGATTGTCCAGGATAATTACGCCAACGCTCAAGGTGTTGTCCCCTGGACCATTTGTTTATTACATGTTTAGCGGCCGCTTTGCTGATGCCACAAAATGGCTCTGGTCCAAAGAGTGGCATGCTCGCACCTTTTTTTGCCAGCTTGTCTGCACTCTCGTTGCCGCCAATGCCTACATGGCCTGGGACCCAGCCGAGAGTTACAGAGTTCTGTGATGCAAGTCTGCAGAGGGTGTTGAAACACTCCCAGACCAGTTTTGAGGTGACTTCATTTGAGTCAAGAGCTTTGAGAGCAGCCTGACAATCAGATAAAATCACTATCCTTTTGTCTTGGTACCGTCTGGCTAGTCCTAGATTGGCACAAGCCAAGATGCCATAGATTTCTGCCTGGAAGATGGTACAGTATTGTCCCAGACTTCCTGATAGTTCTGTTCTGGGTGATCGACAGTAAACCCCAAAACCAGATTTTCCATCGATTAGGGAGCCGTCTGTGTACCAGACGAAGCTCTCCATATCTTGGAGGTGCCCTTCCTGATGTTTCCACTCATCTCTGGAGCGGAATTCAACATTAAAGGGTTTGGTGAAAACTGCTTCCTTGCTTAGGAAGTCCGAGGTCATGTCAAGCACAGGACACTCAGCCAAAGTCTTAGCAATGGCGCAGTGGCCTGCCCCTGACAGGCCTTCCCTCCACAGATTTGAAACCCTCAGACGGTAAGCCGCCTTGAGGGCCTCAGATCTGATGAAGATATCCAGTGGTAGCAGCCCAAGAGTGACTTCTAGAGTAGCTGATGGACTGCTCCTGAAGGCTCCAGTGGCCTGTAGCGTGCCGAGCCTTTGCATGCTTTCTAGCTTGGCTATGACAGTTATCTGATTCACCTTTGTCCACCAGACTAGTGAACCATAGGTAATCTGAGGCCTGACCACAGCCTCGTATAGCCAGAGTGCTATGTGGGGTTTAATTCCCCAGGTGGTTCCTGCAAACCTCCTGGACGTCATGAGCGCCCATTTGGCCTTATGCAGCGCCTTATTCAGGTGGTTGTTCCACGTCAGCTTGGAGTCAAGTGTCAGTCCTAAATACTTGACCGTACTCGTCACTCCCAGCTGAGTAGTGCCAATTTTCAGCCTGGAAAGAGAATCCAAGTTCTTTTTCCTGGTGAAAGGAACCACGACTGTCTTAGAAGGATTAATGTTGAGTCCCTCTCTGAGACACCATTGTTTAACACATTGTAGGTTGCCGTTCATGACGTCAGCTACAATGTTTGTGAATTTTCCTTGTACCATGAGGACTATGTCATCTGCATAGCCCTGGACAAAGATGCCCTTGCTGGTGAGTTCAGTTAAAAGACCGTCCACCACAAGGTTCCACAGTAGGGGTGAAAATACACCTCCCTGTGGGTGCGATCACAATTTTTTTACCAAGAAAGTCGGCTACAGTGCGTCTTGAGTTAAGCATAGACTCTGTCCATCTACACAGAGATTGCTCGAGTCCACGCTCACAAACTCCCCGCACCATTGCTCCGTATGTTACATTGTCGAAAGCTCCTTCAATGTCCATGAAGGTGCATAGGGCTATTTCCTTAGCAGCCAGGCTGTCCTCAATTCTGCTGACCAACTCGTGCAGAGCGGTTTCGCAGGACTTGCCTGGCTGGTAGGCGTGTTGATTGCGATGAAGAGGTGTGTTGAGAAGTACACCCTTTCTTATGTGCCTCTCCACCAGCCTTTCCAAGGTCTTGAGGAGAAATGAGGAAAGACTGATAGGACGGAATGATTTAGCATCAGAGTAGTCTGCTTTTCCTCTTTTGGGAATGAAGACCACCCTGCTGAGACGCCAGGCCTGAGGGATGTACCCGTAGGCCAAGCTCGCTCGGAAGAGTTCACATAGGAGGAGCTTGAGGGCATCCGGTCCTTGCTGAAGCATGGCTGGATAGATGCCATCTCCCCCAGGAGACTTAAATGGACCAAACTTATTGATTGCCCATTTAACTTTAGAGAGAGTGACAACCCTTCTGGCTGTATTCCAGCTTTCACGATCAGTTCTCGGCCAAGAACTTATATTCGTGCAACCGGACACTCCTGTGTCGTCACTCTCAAAAATGCAACCAGGGAAGTGAGTCTCAAGGAGAAGTTTGAGACTTCCTCCAACCCCAGTGGTATATTGCCCTCCTGGTACCTTAAGAGATCCCAAGAGTCCAATAGGTTTGGAAGCTAGAACCCGCTGAAGGCGGGCCGCAGCACTGAGACTGTTTACCTCCTGTGTAAACTGTCTCCATGAATTTTGTTTAGCTTTTTTTATTGCAAGGCTGTATTCTGTAAGTGCCCTTCTGTAAGGCTCCCACATACGGCTCCGTTTGCATTGGTTGAATAGTTTCCTGACACCCACCCTCATGCGAGTCAAATCCGCAGTCCACCATCTAGTGCTGGTACTGCGTTTTCTTTGTCCCAGAGGGCAGTTGTCATGGAAGCAAGTGATCATTGCGTCCTGCAAGTCGGTCGCAATTTGGTCAATGTCTGCAAAGCAGCTGACCCTCCCACTCACAGATCCCAACTGGAACTGTAGGTCAGAGTTATACTGTGACCAGTCTGTTCTCCTGGGATTACGGAAGGAGGAGGTGACAGTGTCACTTAGTATGCAGAAGCAGATGTATTTGTGGTCAGATAACGAGGCCTCCTTACTTACGTGCCAGTTTTCTATGACTCTGTGAATGCGTTCTGTACTAACACCTATGACCTCCTATGACCTCCTGCCTTGTTCTTGTGACAAATGTCGGTTGGTTGCCCACATTACAGATATACAGATTGTTTGAAATTAGATATTGAAGGAGAGACTCACCTCTTGGATTGGTGTCCGAGCTTCCCCATCCGTTGGCGTGGTGTGCGTTGGCGTCACAACCTAGGAGTAGTTGTTGACCACCAGCGCTGGTTGCTTCCACCAAGAGCTCAAGCTCTCTCGATGGAGGTGGTTCCCTGGAGTCGTATGGCAGGTAAACCGAGCCTACTGTTGTGCTCCATTCCCTGCCACCATTTCTCCAAGTTATTGACACCGCAGTGAGATCTCTGGAGCAAAATTCGTTTAAGGTTAGAAAGTTCAGGCCCTTCCTCACGAGAATACATGTTCTGACATTCCTTAGGGAAGTGCAGTAAACTAACTCACCCTTTGATTCTCCCAGGCCTGCAACTCTTCCTTGGTGCAGCCATGGTTCTTGAATGAGTGCCAGGTCAAATCCTTCTTTGAGGAAGAACTGGCAGAAGGCGGCAGAGGCAGCCTTGTTATGCTGTAGGTTGATCTGGAGGACCCTGAGCATTGTCCTTAACCGGAGTTGTGACAAGTGAGACCTGCCAGAAACCTAGATTGGCTCTGAAGTTGGTGGACTACATGACCTTGAAACAGACCTCATCCAGGAAACAGACGAATCCGTACCCTTTCGGATCTGGTTTGGCCGGCAGTATCTTCCACTCCTTGACATTGAGAGTGGGATTTTGCATAGTAAACATTTCTATGATTTTTTCTGGAGTTTTCTTCAGCAACTTTGGATGTGCTCTGAAGAATACTCTCGTGGATTTCATGATGTCCTTTCTCAGCCCTGCTTTGAGGGTGAGTTGCTCCTCTAAAGGCTTGAGAGCCGGGAACAAACCCTCCAGCCATCGCTTGGTGGCGTCGCTGAGGCAGGCAATGATGAGGGCACCTTTTTCCATATAGATTCCAGCAAACGCTGGACTTGAACCATCCTCTAAGGGCTGGAGTCTTTCCAGGATTGCTTCCTCAATTTTTTCTCCTTGCTCGTCATTTAACTTAGCCTCAGGATAGTTATCAGGGACAATGGCAATTTTGGTAGCGGTGATGTCCCTGTAGGATGCTTCATTGGGCGTTGCAGGTTCCCCTGCGTCTTTCACCCCCTCAGACCTCTGGGTAGAACACCTGGCCTTCTTTGCAGGTCCTTCTGCCGAGGGTGGAGTGACCGTTGCGCCTCTAGGGCGCTTGGTCACCCTCGTCTCGACATTTGGACCCGCAGTTGGGCCTGGTGTCCTTACCTCCTGTGGTCTTTTGGGTTTTTTCTTTTTTCCCCTGCGCCATTTTTCAGGGTCGAATTGTTCCCCTCTTTCTAGAAGTTTTGCCTTTAAGGCCTCCCTTCTTTGTGCCGTGGAGAGGTTCGGTTTTTTCATCTTAAGACGACTAAGTCGCTCAGTGGCGTCATCAAGTGTCTCAGTGGAATTTGGTGTTTTAGGACTGCTTAAAAGCTCCTCTTCTCTTTCCAGCGTAGCTGGTGTGAGCGGGGATTCGTCCATAGTGGAAGTTCCTGGTTTTGAGAGCGTTAGAGCCTCCTGTGCTCTTGGTGCACTCTTTTCAAGAGCGGGGTCTTGCTCTGAGTGAGCTGACCCCTTAGATGTGGGCGGTGCAACTTCTAGAGTTGCTCCGAGGTTTGGTTTTGGTTGAGTTTTTTTGTTTGTTTCCATGGTGTTCCCACGAGTAGCAAGGGAAGTAGGAGGTCGAGCCTAGACAGAGCCCCGCATGTCCAGGTAAGGCTGATTACTCCAGGAGGTCGCCCGGTTGCCTGGAGGCTCCGTACGCACCACCGCTGGGGAGCCCGGTGGCATTCACCTCTTCAGCACGGGTCGCATGACACCACTGAGGTTGGCTGAAACAAGAAAAAAAAAAAAAAAAAAAAAAGCGAAAGGAAAAGGAGAAGGGAAGAAGATTCTTCAATAGGAAAGCGAAGAAGAAAGAAGGGCCAGCAAAAAGAGGAAGTTAGCTGGCCATAGAACCCAGAACGAAGAAGAGGAGAGTTCTGGGGGTTGGCTAGGGTACCTCGGGGTTGCCAGCCTACCAGAGGCCTCCCGTGTAGTTGACAGACAACAACCCCTAAGGGACGCTTAGCTTAATACTCTAATATTTTTCCAATCTCTGCTTATTCTACCTACCCTCAGTTGTTTTAAAAAGAAGCATTTGATAAGGGGTTGAAAAATGTTCAAATTGAGCTCATTTAAAAATTTAACACATTTTATAATCTTCATGCTTAAAGAATGGTACAGTATGATGAAAAATACAGTACACTGCAAGCTTAGGCCCCAGTCATAAAATTACACTACTGTACTTCGTTATACTGCAGCAAAAAGAGTTGTGTTTGGCGTTTTTTATAATGTAAGTACATGTTAAGGGGCCACTAATGTAGATTTTTTATCACTATACGGGGGAAAATCAGCTGAAAGTCGAGGATGTCCTCTGTGCATGTACCCTTTTATAAACAGATAAAAAAATAATAGCAATAAAGATGAATTCATTTTATTATTAATTTTAAAAATATCACATTGTTTATTTGTGATTATTATTGAGATATTTTGACCATTTATTCTACTAATCTTTGAGATGTGTTGTACTTATTTTCTAATCTTTGAGATAAATCTTACTAATTATCTTGATCCCCTAATTGTTCACTATGAATAGTTTTCCTTGTGAGATAAGATATTTAGATGATAGTTGGTGTTAGCGTGGGGATTGAAAGAAGATCGAAGTCGTCTGATTAGAATCTACAGTTAATTAGGTCAAGCATGTACCATAGAAGCTTCCTTTCCTTAATTTCATTATCTTGTTTATTCTACTTTAGTTTTCCTTAACCTTCAATGCTATTTATGTTCAATCGATGTAAGGTTTAAATAAATTTATTATAATGCCTAGAACTATGAACTTAAAAGTTATTCGCTGTGATTGTAAATATAATAAGCTGTTGATTTTAGAAAGCCCTATATAAAATTCCAAAGTTTTCACGAATTAGGCTATTTTATAAATATTTTTATAATATAGATTTCCTTTTTATATAGGAACTACTTTAATGGCAATTAAATAACGTAAGCAATTCATAATATTTTTCGAATGGAAAACAGATTTCTGAAATATTTCGGCACATATTTTCGTAAATACTCATGATTTACTACAGGGTGGGGCAGGGAAGTATCCCTAATTTTGAAGGTACATTTAAAGACAACCAAAAATGTTAGAACCAAACTTTTTATTGAGATTAAAAGATCACGTCTGGGAGTTTATTTTAATATAACTTAACTTGGTTTTAAACAGCATATCCTGCAAGTGGTGTCCCTAATCTTAAATGCACTGCTGTAATCTGGTTCTGGAGTTCATAATAACTTTGTGAAGCATTTGTTGTGGAATGCGGCAAAATTCAAGGTGAATTGCATCCTTTAAGGCATCTAGGGTCTTCCCTTGAACTACCCTAGGCTTAGCATCACTCCAATAGAGCACATTCTGCTTATTTACCGCTCCAGAAATATGG